GGTCATTCCGGTGGATTTTTCACAATATTTACACATGTGCTTAGTACAAAAATAAACTACATAAAAAGCAAGCTTTTGTTGTGTAGATACAGATTTGTAAATGCCCAAAACTGCAGTCTCAAACCAAATTCAAATTTTGTTTTTGAAAAGATTATGAAGCCCACATAGTCCACTTCATCATGTATATGCCAATTTTAGTGCTGATTTTTTTTTTATTTGATACATGTTATATTACAGGGGTTATTCATTGTATAAAAATATCACCCATGGCCATCGTACGCTACTCTACACTGCTACCTCATACATCACTTTCTTTTTCTCAAAATTTAATTAAAACCTTTTAAATGTTTGGAAAATGACACAATGAACAAAACGATGTATCTGTTCCCTTTCTCACTTTAATAGTGACCGAGTAATATGAATTCTCCTGACAGGTGAATTTTTACCAATTCTGCTCACAAACTACCAACAAAGGGAGGTAATCTGAAAAATGAAACCTTGAATAGGTTAGTGGTTTTCATGAATAACTTTTTGCAAAATATGCCAAAAAACATGATTTTTAACCCAAAATTTGACCCCCGCAAGTAGTATTGTTTTTCTTAAAACCTGTCTGAAATTAAATATCGCCTACTCGGTAACAAAAATATTCACGTTTTAGCATAGGTCATTCCGGTGGATTTTTCACAATATTTACACATGTGCTAAGTACAAAAATAGACTACATGAAAAGCTAGCTTTTGTTGTGTAGACACAGATTTGTAAATGCCCAAAAGTGTAGTCTCAAACCGAATTCGATTTTTTTTTTTGAAAAATTATGAAGCCCACATAGTCCACTTCATCATGTATTCCGTCTTTTCGTATTGTAGAGTTATCTTCTCTAGAGAGTAGGTATTGATTGTTACGTCATTTGTTTGAGAGAGTAACGTCATCAATTTTTGAGAAAACGACGTAATTTTCTCATACAAACCAATGACGTAACAATCAATACCTGTTCACAAGAGAAGATAACTCGACGGAATATGCCAATTTTAGTTCTGATTTCTTTTTGAAATTTTGATACATGTTATGTTACCGGGATTATTCATTGTATAAAAAATATCACCCATCCATGGCCATCGTACGCTACAGTACACTTCTACCTAATAAGAAGAAAAAATGACCTATACGTATGTCCTAGACTACTTTGATAAAAAGAATGTAAAGCTTAAAGCTATTATAAATACATGGAATAGAAAGAACTTGACTCCAGTAGGTAAGATAAATGTTATTAAATCATTGTTGATTTCGCAACTTAACTATCTTTTTTATAACTTTGCCTTACCCACCAGAAAAATATGTTACACAGTTAAATTCTTTATTTTTTTTATTCCTTGTGGAATGGTAAATGTCATAAGATGAAAAAAATATGTTGTTATTCAAAACTATATGTACATCCTTTTATTGATTCTCTTAAGTTAGGTTGGGCAAGAAGATTATTGCATTCATCTGGCGATTCTAAAAAGCTGTATAACTGTGGAAAGGAATATATTCATTTATGTAAATCCAACTGTCACAATTAATTTGGAGGAGTGTGTTTAAAGCATGGGGTAGACTTAATAATTCTGAATATATAAGGCTTCCTAAACCAGATTCAATTTTAGAATCACCTCTTTGGTATAATATAATAGTTTTTTATCCAAATTGGTTTGAGGCGGTCGTGCTTACATTAAATGATGTAAATAAAGATCCAGTTACTTTGACTTTTCTCTCACTTGACGAATTCTTTCATAATTTTCAAACTAATTTAAACTTTCTCCAATACCATGGACTAGTCTCTGCTTTCAAACGCTGTTTACAAAAATATGATTTCCTGACACAAAGACCTTCCCAGCCTATTATACCTCTCTTGTTTGATGAATAATGTCAAAATGACATGACAATTGTGAGTAGGTGTGTCACTATGACATGATGATGATGATGATGATGATGATCGATGCTGTTTATGATGATGAGTGTCATTATGGCACAATTAAGATGACTGAGTGTAATGATGATGATGATAGACCGGCAATACTATATACTAGTACACGAGTACACAGTTTAACTTATTTTTAAACAATTACGTGCGCAGATGTTGCAAGCCACTGTACGTGCAAACAGTGAAACAGCAAAATAAAGCAACTCCTCCTGGACAACACATGGTGTTTATTAGATTGGATCATATAATGTGCTGCTGATGAAAATGATGATGATAATTATAGATTATCACACTGTATTTTCAGGGTTTGTCGTGAGAACAATTTTCTCATCGCGAGCACGTGGATAAAATCGAGAGGCCAGCGCAGGTGGACTCGAGATGTTATCTACGTGCAAGCGTAGATAACCAACCATATCAATTGGATGCGGCCAATGGGATTGCTAGAAATTATCAAGAACATAATTATAGGTATTATCATCATCACTATCATTAGCAGCACATCATATGATTCTATCTAAAAACACCATGTGTTGTTTATATGTTATGACGTATATGTATTTCTGCTGTTTCAAAATACCTTCTCGGTGAATTATAGTACTTTATCTAGAATTAAATCTGCTTCATTACTGTCTTTTATATTTTTATCGACATTCTAGTCAAGAGATAGGAAAATATGTCCTTTCGTCAAGGACGGGGTGAAAAGTAATAGCAATACAAGTCGTCGTCATCGCGTCTTATATAATTCTCTTGCAATGGTAATGATGATGATGAAGACTAAACGGAACCCTATACGAGTCGGTAGTAGATTGACACTAACGTGAGTAAAAAGTTTCATGATGAATAGCTTTGAATAAAATGGACAATAACAGACGCGTCATTTTCAAAAATTCATGCGGGAATCTGAAGCCCTGAATCTGTATGTAAAAGTGGTCGATACGCCGTAATAATCCTAATCCTTGATTTATTTTGGAAATATTTGATGAAAAATTAGTTGATTAGGACAAACTGTCATCGATATAAATACCAAATAATTTCTCAGCATGTACCTGGGCCACGGTTTCTCCTCTAGTATAAGATTGAGAGTTTCATTTAGTCTCCCAAGTTTCTGCTTATTAGCAACTAATATACATTTAATTTTATTTACATTTACTAGTATCTTGTTTTCATTACACCACGTGTCAACACTTGTCATCCAAGTGAGTTTGTCGTTTCACATAGTTAGTAGTACAGTACTTAATGTGACAGAAATAGAACCGATCATTGCAATGTGAGAAAGATCAATTATAAGTACTTCCTGGGAAATAGTGATAGTATTCTTGAACTGTCAACATCCAAGATGACCGTCTGCAACCATCTTATTTTTTTATGATCACTCCCTAAATGAAACATGCAGAACAAGCATTCATTGTTTTCTGTCAAAATCAAAGATGGACACCTGGCAGTCATTTTGTTCCTTTCAGTTTCAAAAGTATACATGCACATCTGAATACCAAGAGGAACCACCATATCAAATAGGAGATATGTCCCTCGAGAACTTTCTGTGAAGTTTTTTTTTGTTAGTTTGGGGTTCACGTTCTCGTAACAGACAGGGTGATATAAGGGACATTGAGACACCACCGGAAGGAAGAAGTAGATAGAAAAGAAAGACAAGACAAATAGGAATAAACCAAGAACATATTTTGAATCATCAGAACAAAGTAGACGTAAGAAAAACTGGACAACACAAGGTGTTTATAAAATCGAATCATATGATGTGCTGCTGATGTTAGTGATAATGATAATACTTATTATTTTCTTGACTTCCCATTGGCTGCATTCAATTGATTTGTTATGTATTTTTGTGTCGGTTGAACAACAGCCTGGGTCATATCAGGACAATTGCTTAGAGAGACACCGCCTTAAACAAAAAGTAGATAGAAAAGAAAGAAGACGGGAAAGATATGAAACGAAAAATATCCCAAGTGCTACAATGGGGGTAGCAGATCAATTTTGGTATCTTTAATGTCCTTTTTTGTAGACATTTATCCATATTACAAGTACAGATCTTAAAGAGAAAGAAATAGAAACAACCATTGCAATGTACAAAGTACTTCCTGGGAAATAGTGGTAATATTCTGGAAATGACAAATTCCAACATGCCCTTTCTCTCAAAATAAAACATGGGACCAAAGGAAATCATTTCAAATTTTTGAAGGATCCATCCATTCCTTGCTGAGAAATAGCAATAACAAACATTAAGTGCTCGATGGGCGCTGGTCAGACATTTTGTTTATCCGATCAGTCTCAAAAGTAATCATGCAGAACTACAGACTAAGGGGAACCTACATCTAAATTTTAAGAAAGATCCTTTCAGTACTCCTGAGAAATAGCGATAACAAGAATTGTTTCAGGAAGGACGGCGAAGAGCAATTTGAATAGCACACCATCAGATAATGGTGGGCTAAAACATCCTGATACCATTTCCATATCCTACCTTTATATACCCTTGACCTCCATATCAGCCCTCGGGGAAGGATTTGGAAATGGTGATATGATGAACTTTAACGATTGCAGACACGGCGTATTTCCACCAGATTAGATATTGAAGTCTGTATTATAAGCAATGAATAAGATTATCGAAATTACTATTACCTGCAGTTGCACGGTCATAAAATGCGTATATTTAATTGCATTAATTTGTCTATGTTTTTAACAATTCCATGTACACAGTTATGTATGGTTACAATAAAAAAAGCTACCGTTTTAACGTGCTCGCAATCATCAACTATATAAAGCTGAATCCACGGACTTGTATATAATTCCGGGCAAAAATGTGAAGAGCATATACAACAAAATGGAGGAACGTCCTTTAATGACCTTGGCTGTTGATTGGACGTTGAACGTGTACAACCAACCGACCATGCGCAAACGAACAGATTATACTACATTGCTGTTTTAAAAATGCGCTATGTAAAAGATTGAAGATAAGTTATTTGAAACAGACTATACATCGACTATATAAGCAAGTCATGATTTCTTATTTCGATATTGCCTTTGCGTCAGTTGTCAGTGATGGAGTCCCTAGTACTATTCACAATCTGTTTGATGACAATCGAAAATGTGCGGAGTCTTCCAGTTGAAATGCCGACTGCGACTTATTTACAACAAAGAGCTCAAATTGTGAACGGAGAAGCCAATCTACGAGTGGGAGGAAGCATTCAATTATCTGCTCGAGAACAACAGGTCAATCGACTACTGATGGTTGCTAAAGGAAAAGAAATCAACAGCTCTAGAACAACAAATGGTCCATCATTTCTACCTTCCATTCACTTTTTCCACGGAAAAGACTTAATTGAAGAAAGCGAGGTTTTCCAGATAATCAAGACAATGCCAAAAGGTAATTATCGATACATAAAGTCGCAATTATATCAGAAGTCCATAATTATACACAGGGTGGTAAATTACAAACTTTGAAATTGTCTTTTTTTCAATATCACTATGGTGTGAGATACTTACTCGTATTTTTCCTAAGTGCGTCGTAATTGGTCTGTTTAACGCATTTTGTTTGGCTTAAAACACATGAAACAAATAATAACGACACATGTGAGGAGGCAAAATAATCAATTAATTTGTATTTACCTTGATTAAGGGTTTTTTCATCTCCAACAGATTAAGTTCAATAATTAAAAAATCCCAAGCATAACAGTGGAGCAGCAGATCAATTTTAGTCTCTTCCATGTCCTCTTGTGAGAAGATTTAGAAGAACGTCCGATTCTGCAGAGGACCCAACATTAGTCGCCTTTTACGATACACGTGCGGTCGGATACAGCAGTTCTTTTCTTATTGCTTTTTCCAATGTCTTCTTATGTCCAGACAGCAAATGAAAAACTAACACCCGATTCTGCATGGGGCTAACACTAGTCACCACTTAAGAACATGCACGGGTTTTGCCGTTAAAGAATATAATAATAATTATAGTTGTCACCAGCTAGTTTTCAGCTGTGGGTGTTCCCATTCACGTTTCCTCTCAACCTTGATGTCTGCTGACGACTTGGTAATGGACGTTCATTTAGACTTTACTAACATTCATTGATAGTTTGGCTCTTTGTGCCCGATGACTTTAAATTGCGACATCTATTGGCAGTTTATTCCATGACAACTTGTATACATAAACATTTCATAGATGGATGGGCTGTGGACGACTAACGGCACTTTGAGTGTTGATGTGAATCGTCAGTGTTACTGTTTATCATAATCTTTATATATTACGGATATATAAAGTTACGGAGGAAGGATCATTTGTTCTCCATTGCAACACTCAACTGCTGTTGATACGCTTGGCAACCGATTTTACATTGTTAACATATACACTTACACAATGTATTGTAGGTGGGGGCCTCCATCTGCACGACTGTTCCATGGCTGATATCACCTGGCTTGTGAAGACAGTCACCTACATGGATCATTGCTACATGTGTACAGATCAAAACAATCATATTAAGTTCCACTTCTATCAAACTCCTCCTTCAAATCCAGGTAGGTAAACATTACCAAACGACGTTTTATCAGTTTAGAAGTAAATATTGACAATACATGACATTCAGAGATACAGTGCAGCAAATTCTATTTTACATATTTTTTCGTGTCTATTTATGAATGCGATTTCTCTATGCATGTGGTTAAATATTGAACTATGCTATTCAGGCGGGTGTCTCAGTAAAGCATTGTTAACATTTTCCTTTTTTCTACCAGGCTGTCCATGGAAATTGATTGCCACAGAGAGACAAAATGCTTCCGATAAAGAGAAATTTGACCAAATGTAAGTACAGTCCACATTCAGAAAATTCTCAGTGAAATAAGTCTACATTCCCAGATCATCTGCTGTGTATCTTTTTCTCTCATGCTCAATGTCATTAAACAAATAAAAGTGCTATAGAAGAGACTTTGTTCTATAGCATGTCACTATAACACTGTTGTTTGGCCTTTACAAGTAAGTGTTGCAGTTCAGATGACATTGTTATTCTCATGACCATAATGTCAACTCAACTGTGTTATACACGCAGCAAAAAAAAGAAAGGCTGTGTTATACATGTATACTCAGCAGAAAAATGTTAACACTACCTTCATCTTAGATGAAGTTATCATTTTGTTGCATTTGTATTCAACTTTGTATCAATCTATTCATTGAAGTTTTGGTTTCTTAATTTGTCACAAATCAAGAAAAAAATTCGCGCTGAATTGAGTTTATTAGACGTCAACGCAGGATAAGTCGGGTTTCTCAAGTAACATGTCTTGTACCCTGTATGATCGTCGTTTGTATCGTCGTCGCTTTAAACTTGTAAACTAACGGATAGGTGAGCGGGGATGATGTCCGATTCATCGGATATTGCTTAGGTCAGCTCCTGCATTTTCGGTTATTGCGTTTCCTAACTGTTAAATAAATATGCTGCACCCATTGCAGATTTCATATATTCATATTTTCATATTTTTCAACGTTTTTATTTCCCAATGCCTTCGTTGGCAATACCTCACCTTTGGCCTTAGTGTTGAACGTATTCCCAGGTAAAGAAGATATTGGTTCTATTCCAAGGCCAGCCAAAGTCCTTAAAAATGTAGTAACTATTCCCTGATTAATATCAAGCAATTAGGGTAATCACAGGTTTACACGTTGTCAGTATAATGTGACCGAGTGGAATAATTGTGCTTGGTGTCTTCGGCATGGTGAATCAGTAATGTAGCATTCTGTATTCATATCCGCGCTACCGCAAGGGGACAAATACATACCCAGTCTCCACCATACATACACACAGGTACGTATATATAACGCACACGGAGGCACGTCCTCAAATGATAAAGCTATCGAAAGGACGCTAAACAAAACATCAAACCGCTGTCAATAAAATGTGGCCTGGTGGAATGCTGTTCTGGGTTCCTTCGACATGGTATTTCAATGAGATCCGCGCTATCTCAAGGAGACGAATACACCAACATACCCAGCCCCCGGCACACATTCACACATTGAGACATGTCCTTGAATTACCTCGGTTTTTGATAGGACCATAAAAGCTGTACAATAACCAATCCATTACCATAACACCCAACGATGATGAGTACGGGCTCAATCGGAGTGGTGTTTATTGTGACGCCTAAAACTTCGAAGTTCTTTCAGAGTGGTTGGACGGATACACGCAGATGTAGTAGCCGTATCCGGCGGACGTCACAATAACCTGCCACTTAGGTTTAATTTGTTTTGCACTGCAATCAAGTTGTCGTGTATTTTGACAGGCCTTTCTATCTGAACTTGTGACAGTCAAGGTATAAAGAAAATGCGCATTGGTGATAAATTATTTTTTTTATTCTTTCAATATACAATATAGTAGACTCTGCTTTCGGATTTGTCATTCACTCAGGCTTGTCGTTAACTTGATAGTCATGTTCATCTGTTTTGAATATTGGTATAATTCATGATATGCACACTATGACACGTTATTAATTTCAAATCAACCAGTAACCCATCTGATTTATGAGTTCATATAATGCAGGGTTTTTTATGAATCTCCCCTTCTGTTTAAACAGTAGTTAAGACTAATTTGGAGTTCCAACCTTTGGCCCCTATCAACACCGATGAGATTTATAATGACGTAACAGCTTTAGGTGATGCAGTGTAGTTCAATGTTTGGCATACGGTGTCTATTACCTTAGATTATATGTGCATTCACGTGTGCGTCTTACTTAATTTTTTACGAGTTTTCAGTCATCACTGGATTGGAGAAGACTTAAGTATTTTAGACCAGTCATTGGTGTAATTCACGAGTTATTTCCAAAATCGCTTTTGGGCCAACAGAGACTTTTACACTTGAATGATTTTAATGAACAGAGTTTCATTTGGTATGTATTCCACTCCCTAATGTGTATACTACAAAACATTGTTCTATTTTCACTGATTTATGTGTAGAAGCAGGGGAAGATGTCGGCTTATTTTTTTATTATATTTTTCTTGCCGAGTATCTGTTTCAGCGAAAATTTCAAATGCCAATAGTTACATGTTCTATAATTGTAAGGTCTAACTGAACCATTTTAAGGATCTTCTTCCAGAGGTCTAAATTTGTTTGTGGTCAAGAATCAGATAATGCGAAATAGTATATTGAAACTCCGTAATGTATTTGTAGGTTGTACAACAGTATGTCCCTGATCGTGCCTGACCCTGTAAAGACTTATCCCACCAAAGACGTTGTTTGGAAGGCGTTATATAGAGTCTGGGATGTGGCCAATGGACTCATCAACTATGAACCCGTGTTTGGAAAATACTTTCATCAGGCCTTGAAAGAATTTCATGAAGATAATGTTCAATATCTAGAAACAAGGGCATTGCTGCCAGTGGTAAGTTTGTTTCAAGAAAATGTACCAATGATCTGATAAAATCTATATAACAATTACGTCAAGGTAACATGTTCACTGAGTATAACACTATTTCAATGATCTGATCCTATATATAAAAGTGCAATTTTTTTTAAATGCCTTGCAGTTTCGGGGAAAGGAATATGCCTGATGTATTCGTCTACATGTCGTAAAAGACGACTAATGCTCGTCTCCCTGCAGAATAGGTGTTTTTTCTGTTTTCTGCCAAGTCGACAGAAGAAACATTCATGATCTTTCTATTTTCTCTCTACTCCTTTTGTTTCCAGGCGCATCTCTTGGCAACACCACACTCATGGTCTTAATGTTGAGCATTCGACCAAGTGTCGTAAACATTGGGTTGTCCCCTAGCCGGGACATACAAAAGTCTTTAAAATCGGTAGTTGTTTTGCCCTGTTCAGGATTCTGTATTTAGAGTAATTGCAACACTGGTTTATTCCTTGTCGGTATATGACCAGTCGGAATATTTTAGTGAGGGAGCACACTGAAGTAGGTATCAGATCCGCGCTACCGCAAGGAGGCATTTGATATAAACTGTCACTAGAACACATACACGGAGGCACGTCCTTGAATGAATTTATCTGTTAATAGGATCTTAGTAACAAAATAAAACCAATTCGTGTATGTTCCAGGAATGAGTGTTTGATATAAGTCGACTTATGTGGGCCCCCTACAAATCGGTGATTTCTTCTAATGGGAAGGCATTAAAGAGAACAAAAAACCCGAAACAGACAAACAGATGTACATATGTAACCGGTATCGACCAATGATAATGCTTCTTTTATTCCTTAACAGTTGTACAATTTAGATGGCAGTACTATTGACAACAGGACATTCGTGATGGAGTTATACAAACAGAATCTTGACCAGTTTGTGAAGGACCATCCCGATTTTACAGGTGGCCGCATCATCAGATCTGGTTACAAGTAAGTTTCACTGTTTTAATGGGGAGTCGCATCATCTTTTCTGGCCTGAATTTAGGGACGAATGGCTATCAGGTGTTTTTGGAAAATGAATAACCCTGGCCAATTTTTAATGTCTGTTCCAACTTTTAGACGAATTCGATCACCCATGATAGATGACCTTGAACCACTTTCATCGTTAAAATATTTACTAAACTTCTTCTGAAAAACCAGACGTCTTGATGATAATGATTTGTCGACAGCTTGATGGGGTGAAGAACTGTTAAGTTTGCTCAAATGAATGAATTCTACCAACCTTGAATGTCACATGAGTTAGATTTGTTATAAACAACAAAGTGCAATGATTATATTTGGCCAATAGCTTAACGATATGAAGGGCTATTAAGTTTGCTCAATTAATTGACATCGGTTGACTGTCAAGGTCATGGGGATAAAATCTATTACGAAGTGTTGGGTTACGATATTTGGCCAGTAGCATGCTGGTATAAAAGGCAATCATGTTTGCTCTAATGGATGATTTTAACCTACGTTCAAGATCACATGAGTCATATTTGACAAAACACTTTTAAATCTTCTTTTAAATAAACAACAGGCAAAGCGTGATGATATTTAGCAAGTAAAGTGAAGAGATGAAGGCTATGAAGTTTGTTCAAATGGCCTACTTTAAGGTTGCAGAGGTTAGATTTGTTAAAACCTTTTCAATACTTCTGAATACAAAATAGGCTGCGCTAATATCATGATATTTGGCATGTAGGCTTTCCCACATTTTTGTCAACAGGAATAACTTAACATTGTACAGCACAAGACACAACTTAAACACGTCATTACATACTTATAACTGATAATTTGCCCGATAATTTTACAGATAACTAATTCGTTGCCCCACACATTTGTATTATAAACAATATTTTGTCAGACAGATCTATATTATAACCAATATTATGTGACCCTGAATTGTACTTTACCCAAACCTGCTCTTGTGATACTAGATTTATTGTTAAACATTTCATGATTACGTGTAATGATCTTAAACAGGCTCGTGATATTTATTTCAATGCACAAGACATGAAAAAACTTTTTGAACCATTATTATGTACATTGTAGTATTGACACTACTTGTGCTACATTGTACTAAAATTGCTTTTGATGTTTGTACAAGGTCTTTTGGGTTCCATACTTACGCTTTAGCCCTAAAATTACATTCTTGTGTGGAGGGGCTATTAAGCATTTACAATCAAACTCTGATATAATGCAAAGGTTTGTATCACGATTTGTACTAGACGCATAACTAATCGTTTGTCCCACAGATTTGTGTCCACTAGCGATGTGCTTCAGCAGATAAAGGAGTCCATAGCGATGTTACAACAGTACCCCCAGCTATTTGCTGGATACGATCTAATGGGACAGGAGGACCACGGGATCCCCCTGATAGAGTACATCAGCGCCATCGTCTACCCGTCACAGCAAAACATTACTCTACCTTACTTCTTCCATGCAGGAGAGACAAGTATGTTACTAGAATCACCATCAAGATTTAAGAATGGAAATTGTACGTGTTGAAACTAAACGCGAAAACATCCACCAAATATGTAGAAGGACAAGTTGTAAAAGATCATTTAAAATATCTCAAAACGAATGGTAAAATAACTGTAACAACGTTTGATATGGTTTCTGCCTTTCCAAAAGAATCAACAGTAAACCACTCGAAACAAATTAACCGTCTAATGAGAAAACACATTTAAAATTATCCTCGAACAACAATGAACATAACAGTCTCCCATTCCCATTATTAGAACTCCAAAAATCGTGGGAAAATAGCATGCTTCTGCAACAGGACTTGATGAAATACATGATCAATTTATAACCCTCATTTAAAACACTCCTAGAATTTTAATGACGTATATAACACCGACAGAGTCCATAGTTCATGGGGAAATGCAACAACTACGTATTCCTTTTCCTTAATAAACCTAAAAGGTTTTCTTAAACTGTCCAATGGATGATTTGAATGACTTTCTAATATGCTACTGGGCAAAACATACGAATACAATTGAAAGACTGTTGCAGCCATGTTTGAATCAACTTCAGATCTGTACTGATGATGAAAGTTTTTAAATTTTCAAAATCCGAATGCATTTTTGTCAAGTATGTTAAACCCATGACAATCTCACACTTGACGGCCTGCTCATTCCTGTAGTCAAACAAGTTAAGTTCCTGGGCGTTTTATTCGATAGAAAGCCATCGTTCTTTCCTCATATTAAGAACCTAAAGGTATTCTAATTTTATTTCTAAATTAATGTTAACACTATCCAATCATTTTCACCAATAAATGTTCTTCCATGTCTTGAATTTTACGCCTGTCGTTATCCTTTTTGAAACTGCAGTTGAGACATTAAAGATTTCAATCATTTTATACTGGTTATATCATATGGTCGCAGCAGCCATGGTTGCAACAGATGCTGGCCTCCGAATGTTTTATCAATATTTTCTGCGGAAGCCCATGAAATCTATCTCACTCTTGAACACTTAAAATCAAATGATGTGTCAAAGTAAATAATGTATTCGGATTCTCTGTCTTTCCTACAGAACCTTGGCAACAAAAATATGAGGAATATTTCAATGATTAAAATATTAACATTTTTACTTAGAATTACCTCAAAATGTCATATTACATTATCCTATGCTGAGTTTCCGGACATGTCGGAATACCGGGTAATGAAAAGCAGATTGCGGCGCCAAAGCGGCTTTATTGCTACCGCCTGTTAATTTTTAACCACATTTTACAGATTTAATATCATTGATAACAACTTTTGTAAAGTAGCAAAGAAATTGGATTAAATGCGAAGGTAACAAATTACATTCTGAAAAAACCTGAATTCGGTTAATGGTATCCGAGGTATAGAGACAGCCACTGAGACGAGGTTGTTTTTGACTGTCCCCTGTTGTGTCATTCATACATTACCCATTGATATCGAGGCGTAGCAACCTCTGTTGACAAGCCAGTACAAAGCTCACATAATGGGATTGTGACAGCCACGTAAAGTTATGGGAAAAGTGTTATTTTGTTATCTTTTCTGTGTTGCAGCTTCCTTTTCGTACCCTTATTTAATGTCTTGTTAAGTATTTAGTATTGTCTGAGATTTTGACTTTACTCACATTTGTGCTCTGACTTTTATTTTACTTTTGTTTGTTTTGCAACATTTACATAACCTTATTGTAACTCTGACCTCTACATGACCCTGATGTGGTTTTAACATATCCTAATTCATTGCATTGACCTTTGCTTGACCTTTATATTTTACAGACTGGGAGGGGACACCCACTGACAACAACCTCATAGATGCTGTCCTCCTTAACACAAGTCGTATCGGCCACGGCTACGCATTAACTAAACACCCCGAGACGATGAAGCTAGTTAAGAGTAAAGGAATAGCTATAGAGGTTAATCCCATATCTAACCAGGTTCGTAGTTAACAAATATAAAACCAGGTTAAAAGTTAACAAATATCTAACCAGGTTAGTAGTTAATAAATGTATCACCAAGGCAGAAGTGTATAATGGCTAAATTACATTTGTAAATGTTATCATAAAATATCATAACAAGTTCAGTAGCCTTTAAATATACTATTATGTTATCAGTCAACAAGTATCTGAAAAATTTAGAAGTAGAGTCAGCAATTCTCTAAGATATGCTCGTGGAAAAAATAAATGAAGAAAGCTTATCTATTACCAGTGTGCAATGAATGCATAAACTTTCGACTTTCCTTCAGGTTTTGAAATTAGTGGATGACTTAAGGAACCATCCTGCTTCCAGCCTGCTCGCAGAGGACTTCCCTGTGGTAATCAGTTCTGATGTTCCTGCTCTATGGGGAGCCCGTGGACTGTCGTACGACTTCTATATGGCGTTTATGGGTATGACCGGTGCTGATACCGACCTGGCAATGCTGAAAAAACTGGCCATCAATTCTCTACAGTAAGTAACAGATGGTTTTCCCTACCCCAGACATTTTTGTTTGTTATCTCTGTAAAGGATTTCTACCTGTACATGTTTAGACATCAGCTATGCTGAACAGAAACTAACTTGTAATGGTAGTTGTTTAAAACAGATATAGCAATAGCTACGAAGAACAGACAGGAGGAAAAGACATTTTCCCGACTGTTGGAGACAAAGCAGTCGAAAAAGATTTTTTTTTAAATGAGACCAGTCATCTGCAGAGCCTTAGATTAGACATTTGAAAACTTACCCCCTGTGTTGAGAAAATTGTTAGTGAGGAAAGATTCTAATATTTCTAATAGACTTTGTACATGATATTAATTGTTAGCTCACCTGGTCTGAGATGCCATAGCTCACCTTGTCTGAAGGTCCGTTTGCTGTGGAAGGTTTGATTGGTTTCTTATGTAAAATGTTATGTTAGCAAACTGAATCAAATAGTATATGAATCACACAGATTTTCGTTAAATCAACAATTGATATGAAATTTCATCTAAATCCCACTACTTGTAATTGCCTGTTTACGGGCATGTGCATACCTTTTAGGATTGTGGTGATTTGCAAAGCAAATACACAAACAAACAAAAAACAAAAACGATTTTGAACATTTCATTTCTGTATCGCGATACAATACGATATGCCTGTGTATTGTGATGTATAGGTTTTCAGATATATTGTGACAACCCTATTATATTACCCGTCAACATAGGTATTAATTGTAGTTTCAGTTCTTCTCGGATCATCATCAAAATATCATAAATAAAGCAGAGAAAGGGAGAGTAAATAAAGCAGAGAAAGAGAGAGTTTATATCATATAATGTCGTCCTGGTTAAGGTCCCCCCCCCCCCCCTTATATTTCTTTGCTATACCTCATACCTCATTTCATTTTTATTGAAAAATTATATACTGTAAATTCTTATTTTTAATATAACAGTGAACACTGCAATATATGTAGGTCGAAAAATAGATGTATTACCACGCAATTAACTGATTATCTACAATCTCAATTTTATAAAACTTGCTTTGAACTGAAGTCACTCAAGTCCATTGCAATAGTTTATCTTTCTGAAATGAGCGGCAAGTCATGTGGTTTTTTTATAAATATATAGTGCATTGTCCTTTTTTTATCCAGCAGTAAGCCAATGCCTGGCAATAAGCTTACATATTGTACCTATGTTTTGCAGCTAGAAATACAACAAATCCAGATTCGAAATACAACAAATCCAGATTCACTGTCCTAGAATAAACCCATCCCCCTATTTGAGTTAGAGATTATGTATTTGCTCTCTTTGGTAATTGCAAAATATATCTGGAGTATGGTGAGAAGTTAATGCCTTATTACTGCTTTGCACCCATAAAATATACTACAGACTTCTCAATTCACCATTGATAACAACTTAATTAATACATATTAGAGGTCACGAACACGCTGGTCGAATATAAGTGAAATCTTGAAGTATGGCTAACCCAAACTAGTGTTCTAAATTGAAGCGTATCACCCATGTCCCGTGTTAGTAACGTATTAGGTAAAGTTTAATGTCAGTAAGAGAAGTCTCCAGATTGACTTTATCTAATTCCGTGTCCCTTTACGTTTTGTCCAGATACAGCGCCATGTCGCCTTCGGAGAAGAGAACTGCCATTACCCTATGGCAGAACAAGTGGGAGCAATTCATAGACAGGATCTTGGGCGACGAACCTCCTGCTGTTCCATTCGTTGGCAAACAATGATGTAGCAGATATTTTATGAGATAAAATTAATATTGTACAAGTACCCTATAATCAGATATTAATGAAAGTTGTTATGTACATCCCCCCCCCCCCCCCCCCCCCTTCATTGCAGTAGGTGATGTTACAAAATGATAAATGATATACTGTTGTTTAGTGGTGTCAATACTGACCTTTGTTTAACACCCTATTGCTGTCTACTTCACCCCTGAAATTTCATAATGAACTATTCCAACATTGTATATGGAAGAGTTCAAATTCGTCTTGAGGGGTGAATGAGTTAATCCTCATTATTATTACACAGGTGCTTGGTTTTAGTTCATTTTGTGCATGGTGTTAATATATTTATATATGTTAATGATTACATTAATTGATCGAAGTCAATGTTAGATTTCCAATTTGATATGAATGGCACTACAAAAAGTGTTTTGATATTGTATGTATCGTTCGTTTTTATTAATTCCGAATGTGTTTTATTTCATCTTCTTCCTTGTTTACATTATTAAATGAAAACGGTGTGTTCTGACACATAGTCCAGTACAGGCAGTGTGTTGGTGTGTTCTGACACATAGTCCAGTACAGGCAGTGTGTTGGTGTGTTCTGACACATAGTCCAGTACAGGCAGTGTGTTGGTGTGTTCTGACACATAGTCCAGTACAGGCAGTGTGTTGGTGTGTTCTGACACATAGTCCAGTACAGGCAGTGTGTTGGTGTGTTCTGACACATAGTCCAGTACAGGCAGTGTGTTGGTGTGTTCTGACACATAGTCCAGTACAGGCAGTGTGTTGGTGTGTTCTGACACATAGTCCAGTACAGGCAGTGTGTTGGTGTGTTCTGACACATAGTCCAGTACAGGCAGTGTGTTGGTGTGTTCTGACACATAGTCCAGTACAGGCAGTGTGTTGGTGTGTTCTGACACATAGTCCAGTACAGGCAGTGTGTTGGTGTGTTCTGACACATAGTCCAGTACAGGCAGTGTGTTGGTGTGTTCTGACACATAGTCCAGTACAGGCAGTGTGTTGGTGTGTTCTGACACATAGTCCAGTACAGGCAGTGTGTTGGTGTGTTCTGACACATAGTCCAGTACAGGCAGTGTGTTGGTGTGTTCTGACACATAGTCCAGTACAGGCAGTGTGTTGGTGTGTTCTGACACATAGTCCAGTACAGGCAGTGTGTTGGTGTGTTCTGACACATAGTCCAGTACAGGCAGTGTGTTGGTGTGTTCTGACACATAGTCCAGTACAGGCAGTGTGTTGGTGTGTTCTGACACATAGTCCAGTACAGGCAGTGTGTTGGTGTGTTCTGACACATAGTCCAGTACAGGCAGTGTGTTGGTGTGTTCTGACACATAGTCCAGTACAGGCAGTGTGTTGGTGTGTTCTGACACATAGTCCAGTACAGGCAGTGTGTTGGTGTGTTCTGACACATAGTCCAGTACAGGCAGTGTGTTGGTGTGTTCTGACACATAGTCCAGTACAGGCAGTGTGTTGGTGTGTTCTGACACATAGTCCAGTACAGGCAGTGTGTTGGTGTGTTCTGACACATAGTCCAGTACAGGCAGTGTGTTGGTGTGTTCTGACACATAGTCCAGTACAGGCAGTGTGTTGGTGTGTTCTGACACATAGTCCAGTACAGGCAGTGTGTTGGTGTGTTCTGACACATAGTCCAGTACAGGCAGTGTGTTGGTGTGTTCTGACACATAGTCCAGTACAGGCAGTGTGTTGGTGTGTTCTGACACATAGTCCAGTACAGGCAGTGTGTTGGTGTGTTCTGACACATAGTCCAGTACAGGCAGTGTGTTGGTGTGTTCTGACACATAGTCCAGTACAGGCAGTGTGTTGGTGTGTTCTGACACATAGTCCAGTACAGGCAGTGTGTTGGTGTGTTCTGACACATAGTCCAGTACAGGCAGTGTGTTGGTGTGTTCTGACACATAGTCCAGTACAGGCAGTGTGTTGGTGTGTTCTGACACATAGTCCAGTACAGGCAGTGTGTTGGTGTGTTCTGACACATAGTCCAGTACAGGCAGTGTGTTGGTGTGTTCTGACACATAGTCCAGTACAGGCAGTGTGTTGGTGTGTTCTGACACATAGTCCAGTACAGGCAGTGTGTTGGTGTGTTCTGACACATAGTCCAGTACAGGCAGTGTGTTGGTGTGTTGGACCCTATTGAGTGCCACATTGGAAAGAATTCACTGTACATTTGTATATGTATTCAGGCCATATTTTTGTTTAGGATTTTAATTTCATTATCATGCATGAATATTGTTTTTAGATTACTAATTGCAAATGAGGGCTTTTTCGATCCATTGTTTAAAAATCATGCTTTGGAAATGGACATGCTTCCGTACATAAGGACGAGACATTATATAGAATGTAATGTTATGCTTCTTAAATGTTGAGCTTTTTAATTCTGTTATTCCGTAACAATCCTGAGAAATGGTTTAAAAAAATAAATGTTCATCGCTTTAAAACGGTTGTCTGTTCTTATTAACATTTATGTTTGCTTCTTCTTATGTGATTCCTGTCTTGTGAGATTCCTAACAAATAAATGCAAAATACTATTTGGAAACGATACATATATGATGCTTTTATTTTAAACGTCTAACTATTAAATGATAAACGAAAAACCTTGATGTTAACAAGCAAACAGCTTTATGGTTGTCATGTCCTATTCTTTTCAATTAGTCTAAAAACTGGGTAATGTTTTCTATAACAATGTTTACTGTGAAAGAAGAGAGTGGTATGATATGTTGATAGTGACTGTAGCGTAACATGATGTATTAATAGAAACGGACATAATGAAGATACAACAAGCGAATTCGTGGATCCCCCGCTTGCAGAACATATTGTAGGTAAACATTATTGAGGTTAGGTTTAAACATGCGAGTATCGTGCTGGTGAGACATAATGTATAGCTTGAAACTCCAAGAATAAACAACCTTATACAGAAGTTAGACTTTTTATTGAACATATAGGTATTACGATGTAAATTAATCGTTTAATCCATCAGAATTTACTAACCTCATTAATTATCCGTAAATATGCACAAATCACATCGGTTGGCAAACTTAGCATGAGCCGGATGTGCATACGGAATCTGGTTGAAATATCTGCACAACATCTACAGCAATTATCACACGAAAACCAAAGAGTGCCCGAGATGGGTGGAAAGACAGAGGAACACGAACAATGTTCTCAAGTTTGAAGGAATTTGGCTAATATTTGCTAGAGTTATTAAGCAGAAACTGCAGATAATGACTAGACTAGACCGAGCCCTTAATGTGTTGAATCCTGTTACTTAGTTTGAAGACAATCAGATACTATTTGCGAGAGTTATTGAACAGAAACAACATATGACGTTTTCCGAACTTGGCCGAGCCCTTAAGGCATTTAACCCTTTAACCAAGTTTGAAGAAAATCGGTAAACACTTGTTGCAGTTATTGCACGGAAAAGAAGCGTGACAGACAGACGGACAAACCCAAATTAATATCCCCTGTTTCGGTGAAAGCGGGGAATAAAAAGGAGTGACATGATATGCTGACAAATGCTAGAGACATGACGTGTTAACAGATACTAGAGAGAGTGGCATGTGTTTACAGACACTAGTGACATGATGTGTTGACAGACACTGATGACAGTGACATGATGTGTTGACAGACACTGATGACAGTGAAATGATGTGTTGACAGATTCTTGAGAAAGTGGCATGTGTTGACAGACACTGAAGATAGTGACATGATGTGTTGACAGACACTGATGACAGTGACATGATGTGTTGACAGACACTGATGACAGTGACATGATGTGTTGACAGACACTGATGACAGTGACATGATGTGTTGACAGACACTGATGACAGTGACATGATGTGTTGACAGACACTGATGACAGTGACATGATGTGTTGACAGACACTGATGACAGTGACATGATGTGTTGACAGACACTGATGACAGTGACATGATGTGTTGACAGACACTGATGACAGTGACATGATGTGTTGACAGACACTGATGACAGTGACATGATGTGTTGACAGACACTGATGACAGTGACATGATGTGTTGACAGACACTGATGACAGTGACATGATGTGTTGACAGACACTGATGACAGTGACATGATGTGTTGACAGACACTGATGACAGTGACATGATGTGTTGACAGACACTGATGACAGTGACATGATGTGTTGACAGACACTGATGACAGTGACATGATGTGTTGACAGACACTGATGACAGTGACATGATGTGTTGACAGACACTGATGACAGTGACATGATGTGTTGACAGACACTGATGACAGTGACATGATGTGTTGACAGACACTGATGACAGTGACATGATGTGTTGACAGACACTGATGACAGTGACATGATGTGTTGACAGACACTGATGACAGTGACATGATGTGTTGACATACACTGATGACAATGACATGATGTGTTGACAGACACTGATGACAGTGACATGATGTATTGACAGACACTGCTGACAGTGACATGATGTGTTGACAGACACTGATGACAGTGACATGATATGTTGACAGACACTGAAGATAGTGACATGATGTGTTGACAGACACTGATGACAGTGACATGATGTGTTGACAGATTCTTGAGAAAGTGGCATGTGTTGACAGACACTGAAGAAAGTGACATGATGAGTTGACACAAACTGAAGCTAGCGGATTTACGTGTTGACAGATATTTGAGAAAAGTACATGGTGTATTGACAGACACTAGAAATAGTGACATGGTGTGTTGACAGACACTGGAAATAGTGACATGTTGTGTTGACAGACACTAGAAATAGTGACATGGTGTGTTGGCAGACACTAGAAATAGTGACATGTTGTGTCAACAGACACTAGAAATAGTGACATGGTGTGTTGGCAGACACTAAAAATAGTGACATGGTGTGTTGACAGATACTAGAAATAGTGACATAGTGTGTTGGCAGACACTAGAAATAGTGACATGGTGTGTTGACAGACACTGGAAATAGTGACATAGAATGTTGACAGACACTAGTAATAGTGACATGTTGTGTTGACAGACACTAGAAATAGTGACATGGTGTGTTGACAGGCACTAGAAATAGTGACATGTTGTGTTGACAGACACTAGAAATAGTGACATGGTGTATTGACAAGACACTAGAAATATTGACATGGTGTGTTGACAGACACCAGAAATAGTGACATGGTGTGTTGGCAGACACTAGAAATAGTGACATGGTGTGTTGACAGACACTAGAAAAAGTGACATGGTGTGTTGACAGACACTAGAAATAGTGACATGGTGTGTTGACAGACACTAGAAATAGTGACATGATGTGTTAACAAGACAATAGAAATAGCGACATGGTGTGTTGACAAGACACTAGAAATATTGACATGGTGTGTTGACAGATACTAGAAATAGTAACATAGTGTGTTGACAGATACTAGGAATAGTGACATAGTGTGTTGACATACACTAGAAATAATGACATGGTGTGTTGACAAGACACTAGAAATAGTGACATAGTGTGTTGACAGATACTAGAAATAGGGACATGGTGTGTTGACAAGACACTAGAAATATTGACATGGTGGGTTGACAGACACTAGAAATAGAAACATAGGGTGTTGACATATACTAGAAATAGTGACATGGTGAGTTGACAGACACTAGAAATAGTGACATGGTGTGTTGACAGACACTAGAAATAGTGACATAGTGTGTTGACAGACACTAGAAATAGTGACATGGTGTGTTGACAAGACACTAGAAATATTGACATGGTGTGTTGACAGACACTAGAAATAGAAACATAGTGTGTTGACATATACTAGAAATAGTGACATAGTGTGTTGACAGATACTAGAAATAGTGACATAGTGTGTTGACATACACTAGAAATAATGACATGGTGTGTTGACAGACACTAGAAATAGTGACATAATGTGTTGACAGATACTAGAAATAGTGACATGGTGTGTTGACAGACACTAGAAATAGTGACATGGTGTGTTGACAGACACCAGAAATAGTGACATAGTGTGTTGACAGACACTAGAAATAGTGACATGGTATGTTGACAGACACTAGAAATAGTGACATGGTGTGTTGACAAGAACTGACAGAGTCTATATATAGTGGCGTGATGTACTGGCAGATAATGACGTGATGGACTGGCAGATACTAGACTAGAAAAAGTGACGTGATGAAATGACAGATACTAGAAATAGTGACGTGATGTACTGACAGATACTAGAAATAGAGACGTGATGAACTGACAGAGACTAGAGAGAGTGACGTGATGAACTGACAGAGTCTATATATAGTGGCGTGATGTACTGGCAGATACTAGACTAGAGATAGTGACGTGATGTACTGACAGATACTAGAAATAGTGACGTGATATATTGACAGTGACTAAAGAGAGGTACGTGATGAACTGACAGTCAATATATAGTGGCGTGATGTACTGGCAGATAATGACGTGATGTACTGGCAGATACTAGACTAGAAAAAGTGACGTGATGTACTGGCAGATACTAGACTAGAAATAGTGACGTGATGTACTGACAGATACTAGAAATAGTGACGTGATATATTGACAGAGACTTTAAAGGTGACGTGATGTACTGACAGAGTCAATATATAGTGGCGTGATGTACTAGCAGATATTACAGATAATGACGTGATGTACTGGCAGATACTAGACTAGAGATAGTGACGTGATGAACTGATAGAGTCTATATATAGTGGCGTGATCGACTAGCAGATATTACATATAATGACGTGATGTACTGGCAGATACTAGACTAGAGAAAGTGACGTGATGTACTGACAGATACTAGAAATAGTGACGTGATGTACCGACAGATACTAGAAATAGAGACGTGATGAACTGACAGAGACTAGAGAGAGTGACGTGATGAACTGACAGATATTACAGATAATGACGTGATGTACTGGCAGATACTAGACTAGAGAAAGTGACGTGATGTACTGACAGATACTAGAAATAGTGACGTGATGTACTGACAGAGACTAGAGAAAGTGACGTGATGTACTGACAGATACTAGAGAGAGTGACGTGATATATTTACAGAGACTAGAGAAAGTGACGTGATGTACTGACAGATACTAGAAATAGTGACGTGATGTACTGACAGATACTAGAAATAGAGACGTGATGAACTGACAGAGACTAGAGAGAGTGACGTGATGAACTGACAGAGTCTATATATAGTGGCGTGATGTACTGGCAGATATTACAGATAATGACGTGATGTACTGGCAGATACTCGACTAGAGAAAGTGACGTGATGAACTGACATACTAGAGATAGATCCGCCTTATTACAAGAAGATTATTACACCAACATACCCTGCTCTCTGCACTCCTGGAATATGTCATGTCAAAATTGAAGACTTTGTGTGCACCACCTTGTCGATTAGACGAAAAAGACTAGTTTGATCTTTTGATGCACATCAAAGGAATCTCTCGGTCGCGTAACAGTAAAATTGACTGGCTTTGAAGTCTGGTGTCGCTCCTTTGCAACCTTCAAAGGACAGGTATCAGCCTAGCGATTGGTCGGTGGTTTTTTTAAAAGAGACCATTCATAAAGCTAGCCGCATGTCTTCAATTTTGCTACGACATATTCCTTGGGTGCAGAGAGCAAAAGTAAGCATATAACCCCTGGAGTATCCAGGATGCTGTTTATAGAACATTTAACCCTCTAAAACCAAACCCCAAGAAGACTAACTGAAGTTCCATCCATAAGAACGTTAGTACTATTCAAATTATTGTCTGGAAAACTGGTTTTTAGTGAACTTTGTAAAATTCCACTAATGAGAAGTTGTGCACTTTTCCCATTTTATTGGGAGTTATGCCCCTTCCTCTTTTACTAAAGCTTTTAGCCAAATCTTGTGTGAAGCAACTCTCGAAGTTATCCAACACCTTACGTTTTCAACAGATCCAACTATTTTATGCAATGGGTTGGCCATCTGCAAAATTCTTGGTAGACGTGTTCATTCGATATACAATATTCCTGAATAAAACCTTCTAAGGCATGTATGTCACAATTGAATTTTGTCAGCATTTGTATCGAAGAGTGGGAGGTATAAGTAAGTTTGTTACATTTCTACTCGGCAGTGTATCAAAACACACCCTTTCGTTGAAAGGATAACGTCAACCCTGGTAGTTTTGATCGGCGCATTTACTTTTGACTAGACTAAGTGTATGAAGGATTAAGAATTGTAACTTCGACATATAATATTAAAGTTTCAGCTTGTTAGAGACAGCAAAATCTGACAGTGTTCATTTAGATTTGCTTAGGTCCCATTTTCCAAATAAACCAACTGATACAGCTGCTATATTCGTTCTCAAAGTTAGCACTATGACAAGATATGTAAAGGTATCTGGAAAAGAAATTTCTATTTTCAGGAACGGTGAGTCGGTGACCATGACAAACCAGACTAAAAAACAGCAGCAAGTTGGCAAGTCGCATACCACGTTTGAGGTAGTTGCTATTATTCATTCTCAAGAAAAGTTATCATCTGGATAAGAAATGTAAAGGGACATCCTGCATGATTGCTATATTTCCCTAAACTAACCAAGGAACTCCCACTTAATTAGGGAATGAAAATGTATTACTGTCATGCAGTACTTCCAGTGAACTGTTAAGGTTGCTGTTGTTGAATGAGATACAGAACTGCTTCCAAAGATATCCATCAGTGTTTTACTTGTGAAATGATATAAATGAACTTTGTTACCGGACTCGCTATATAAATAAATTTGACTGTTTCCCAGACAATTCACTAAACGAACTATAGCTATTGTGTGCTACCGTAAAACTGTTGACTGGTCACCGTAAAACTGTTGACTGGTCATGTGATGAACTGGTGCTCACTACCCTACGACTGTTGACTGGTCACGAGTTTGGTAATTGAACGCACCTAAAATACAAGCACCCCGATGATCAAGCATTTTTGTTGGATTGTTGCGGTGGTCTGTCGGTAGATCTAAACATCACATTCAACATGGAACTTTTGTTTTTCATTGGTCAAGTAACAAAACAGTTGTTTTATGCCTTTATATCAGTCAACAGTCAAAACCATTTTCCCCGAGGAGTTGGGACCCACTAGATGAACCGGTTTCCCTCGGCCTGCGGCCTGGGGAAACAGTTCATCTGGTGGGTCCTAACTTCTCGGGAAAATAGTTTTGACTGTTGACTGGTAAAGCATGAAACAACTGTATACTGTCCACTGGAAACACTGCAGGACAGTAGATTAAAAATGAATACAAAAAGATCCGATTTATGTCTTTTTTTTTTATTGTACACCTTCTTTACTCGTTGTTCTCAGACCTCAACCTGGCATTTGGATTGGTCACTTTGATGGACAACTGCTGGGCACGCTCAACAATTTCTTTCCTCTTCCTACTGGATACATTATGTGCTATTTCGGCAGCAATGGTTCTGTTCTGCATTAACAGTACTTCAAGCTCCTGTAAAAATAAAAAATATTTTCCTGCACAATACATATCTTTGAAACAATAACAGGTCCATTTGCTGTGCTAATCACCCCCTTTTTTTCAAACAAGACAAGACATGTGATGTTTCTGGTTCATTCCCTTAGGTTTTCGCAATTCTTCAGACCAAATGAGTTGAAATATCATTTTTTTAAGAGTAGGCCTTTAAAAGTATAAATTGAAGAAGGGTGCACCACACTGTTAAGCTTACATGGCCATTCAGACCAGATGAGCTAATAAATAAATATTTTCGAATACACATGAACACTAAAGGAATTCATCTATATATGATGTATTGCAAAATTTAATGACAGACCAGCACATTTGTTTGAAAATGCTAGTGTTCAAAAGGTTTGTAGGTAAGAGGTTGGGAAGTAACAGCTATCCAAGAAGGAAGAATGACGACTACTTGTGTTTTGCAAGTGTAATAATTATTTTGTACAATTTTTTTACTTTCAGATTTCCGATATATTCCTATGTAAATTAATTGATTTATTTGGGGCTCCTACTTTCGAAAATTCCAGTTATATCTATCACTAATTGGGTACAAACATAGAAATAGACACCAAATTGCACAGGTTTTCAGGTTTATTTTCATTATCTAGGTCAAGGATACCATGAATTATATTTTGTTAACATGAATTTTGTAATTATTTTTTTATTCTCAAGTTAGGATGGTCACAGGTACAAAACTTTCACCCCAGGTAGTGGGTACCCGAAATTCTAAGCCTGATCCTTATCCCAGTATTCAAAATGTTTTATCCATGAACAATACACTCCTGTTCAGTGGGGTTTACATTGTAATAAAAAAGAAAAATTCCACTGAACATGGCAGAACGGTCTTTATGTAAAAACTAATTTCTGATCTGTTTATCAACCAGTAGTTATAACCTGACAGAGATATATCAAACACTTGTTTGTAGGTCACAAGTTGCGGAAACTAGTCTTTTAATAGTGCACAATATTTTTTTGGAAAAAGTTGCAAACTGACTGAGCCTTAATCTTCACCAGTGGATAGTTGCCCAAATTTTACAGAGACATTCCATATTAATCACAAACTCAGTGGTTTAGGTCTGGACTGCATAATGAGCAATTTTCTTGTCCATCCTCCCCCCTCTACTAATCAAATGGAATATATTGACTGCTTTAAATTCCGAGTTTTAAGACTCTCCACGATTAATTTCTTGAGGTAAAACATTTAAATGTCAACCTAAATATTTTCAAACACATCATTTGTTGTGTCTATCTTTCATACCCATTTCTTTACTGTATGTAAACTATACCTTGACATTGTGAATACGGAACTTCCTGAAACCATCGGGCATTAAGTGCCTTGTCTTCTTGGCAGTTCCATAACCAATGTTTGGCATCTTGAACTGTCCCTTGAAGCGTCGCCTCACTCTGTTGTCAATACCCTTGGGTTTCCTCCAGTTTTGCTGTAATGAAATATAATGTTTAAACCTTATTAAAAGACTTTCTAGCTGATGTTAATTCTGCCAAATACCAATCAGTTTCTCTTCTGTTTGGGGTTCTCTAAACAACACAAGGCCAATTAAAAATTATCTTGTGTTTCTGTTTCAGTATGAGTGGTGAAAGGGTTAACATGTACTTGGATCATGCCAACATTGCCAAAACCCTCGAACATTCGACAAAACCTCTCGAAATTTTTGCTGTTTGGCAGTGAATTATGAATTCCATGTTCTAGGCCATGAGAATGTGATCCGCAAAGTAGATAAGATTTCAAACAGTAAATTTCACATAAATATGGTAATTTTAGCAAAATTATAGATCTTGATCTAAAATTTAAAGGCCTTATAATGGAGATAGATATTTTTGGGGGGATATACAAAGTGAATAATATAATCTTTCCCTACTTTGGGGGCACGACTGAAAAATCTCAACCTCAAGGGGTAAGATTCTGAAATGTCTTGCTCGAGACTTTGTCGAGGGCCAGACTTTTAAGAATCTTACTCAAAGGGTTGAGATTTTTCCATCTTACTCCTAAATTTGAGAATTTTCTCCTATTTCAGACACAGGTGGTAATTTTATGAAATTCAATGTTGATTTCATGATTCCCAGAAAATTTTAGTTATCTTCTGTGATCTGCTTTTGTTGATGCGACGTCAATACATTGTTCATACAATTGTTATGACAGGAGAGTCCCCCAGTGTTTTCCCTAGGGTAAAACAGAAATATCTTTTCCTGACAGAAAGTGGGGATATTACTGTCTAATGGGGGAGAAAAATTTATCCTACCAGGTAACTACAAAATCCAAACGGATGTTCTCAAAAATCGAGTCAAACCTTGCATTAAACCATTTTGACATCAATTGAGCCTAAGGCCATGTTGGATTAATCCAGACATTTGTCTACCACTAGATCCTATACAGTGAATCAAGTCCATGTTGGATTAATCCAGACATTTGTCTACCACTAGATCCTATACAGTGAATCAAGTCCTGTAATAAAAGACTCATTTGGACTATCATTATTGACTCTTTATGATTGACTCAATGTTACAATTTTTCAGATTTTCTTCTTAAATTTTGTTGTGAATTTTTCGGGGTATCGCTCTGGACAGAACCGTGTTTGTGTCTTTTATATACTGAAACAGACTGCTCGATTGCTACAGAAATGAAATGATCATGAAAGTATAATTACCTAGAGTAGTAGGATTCTTCATTACAAATAAACTGTGATAGCTGCTAATACAACTTACCTTGACCTTGTCATATCGGTCCGACTGGTGACGAATAAACTTCTTGTTTCGTTTGTGTACATTTCTTAGCTTAACAAGTGGTCGGACAGCCATCTTGCTTCTGAAAAATAAATTTTTAAAAAAGTTCAAAAACTGCCACCTTATCTTGTAAAATGTTTGAGCAAAGAACACGAAGAAGAGGACATCAACGTCAGATCACCCTCCTTAATAGTCACTTACGGAATCGTCACAAGTACATGATGATTATTATACATCTAATACATATCTTTTGTTTAATTAGCAATAAATATGACATGCTGTGCATGTCCACATTAATCCCTACTAGTACTCCTATAACAAAAGAGGCCACTGGTCGGCTATTTTTTATTGGTTATATATGATATGATATCGTCTAGACACCCCTGGTAAAAGTTAAAAAAAAGTATCTTGCAGTGTTAAACCACAGGGATTCGTTACAAATGTCTGAAACGCGGTAACACATATATATGCTATACTGATATGGGTCACAGCACATGTATATGTTTATGTGTGCTGTGACCCATATCAGTATAGCATGTGTATTTCAGACATTTGTAAGGAACCCCCTGTGCTTAAACCTTTAAGATACAAGAATATATATTGAACGCTGCATATCAGAAATTCTGCGATAAATATCGGTATAATGATATTTAGCAAAAGCATGTCATGCAAATAAACACAGGCCTAAATGGATTATATGAGGTAAATAGCGTACAATATAGTTGTATTGGATCATTTGGTGTTCAACAGTTTCACCAACGGACATATTGCACGACAATTTTCATACTTGATTCCCGAAATGATTCCACCCTTGAATAGTTTAAAGAAATGGTCCACAACTAAGTGCACAACAAATTTCCTACAATGACGAGACCAGATGAAATACCTAAATGTTCTATTAGAACATAGCAAAATCACTCCTGGTGTGCAGCCAACAGGATAACATATTGATCACATAACATATCTATAAGTCGCTTACAATCACAATGATTACAAATAACCAGCAATATCAACATCACAAGTAACAACTGACAGAAAATGCACGTTTCAGCTGGCGAGTAACGACTCTTCATTAACGTTTTTAAACCTAACCACTTGTGATCTGCGATATTGAAAGACTGGATCATTTTATAAAATATGCTGGTAAATAAATACGATCATGTCAGCAATGAAAATTAAGTTTGATGAAGGATGGTAGTAGATTTTATTATGATAACAAGTTTCAGACCTTTGGCTGCCAGGAAGAAGACGGAAAAGGAAATACGTATAGTGTCGACCTCTAACGTGATTTGAAGGTAGATCAAGAGAGATGGGGAGATAACTCTAGTAAAGCATTCGGCAACGAGCTACTCGGTAAAAGTAGGTCTGGATAGAAACATTTTTTATCGTATTCAATTGATATCGAGACACTACCGATTTTTTTTATGAAAAAAAAATATGTAGTCTAAGTTACAGTAGAGATGTATACTACTATGATGGCTTTGAAGGTATTTAGCAATAGCATATTCAAAGCCGGTGTTTTGAATACTAATTAACAGCACGGAATTAGATTAGATCTAAGTCTGTGCTAACAGTAGTATACTAACGCCAAGAGTCATATATAATTTCTTGATTTATATTAAAAAATACCCAAAAGTGCCACATAAGTCGTTATCGATAGTTTTAATATTCATTGAATTTTAAGTTAACAGGTGTAAAATGTGTGATTTTTCTTTCTTCGGGTTTCTTTTTCAATTATTGAGAACGTTTTGATTAGATCATGGAATTAGGCTATCTAAGCCCGTGGTAGAACAGCGGATATGGAATCTTGGGGTCGTTGGTTCAATATCCCAATTGTGAATAGTGCCCAACGGACGTGACGGCAAATATGAACGAAAAGAAAACAATTATCGTTTATTTCTTAGAATAGTCGCAGGAACCTTAATTGAAATTCAGTTTTCACAAATATAATTATGTCAACAGCATTTATTTTTTTAAACTATTTTTTTTTGTTTTATGTGATATGGACATTGTTATTTTATATGAAATAACATAGAGGCAAGTAATTGCCTGCGTCCATCATGTATTCTATTAAATCCTATTTAAACATGTAGACTGTGAAAGTCATGTGTATGCATTACTTTTTACGAATATCCAACTTTTGGGACATTTATGAGATGACAATACGTTCATCATTTGAGTAATTTATCAAACGTTTGAACAGGGGTATGCCTGAAATAAGGTCCTTCAGCCGTACAACGCACTGTGCACGCGCTGTTTCTGTACAACGACCCTAGCGGGTGAAGTTATGTCTGAAGTTACGAGTATGCGGTGCCAGTAAATTCCATATAGAGCGATAGATTGTGAATTGGCTTCCAGTGGCGACCCATGGGTGTTGCCCTAGTTGCCCGGGCAACACCTTTTTCTGTAGTGTGTCCAAAAATAATCTGGACTTAGGTTTTTGAAGATTTTCCTCTTTTTCATATGATATTTTCTTCTAATATCAACCATCCTGTGAACTATGATTTTCTATGGCAAGCAGTAGTTTGAACATCTATATATGCAGTCTAAGGGCGCAGTTGCCCAAACAAGGACTCCACTACTTATACTCTAAACGATAGGGGGTTAATCCTCTTTTGTTTATATATTAGTAGGGTCTCCAGTCAGGTCAGTGGTGAAGGCTCAACGGATTGTCTACCTAATCGGATTGTTCCAATGTCACGATGTGGTGATCACCCTGTCCGTTGAGAGACATCTGTTTTATATTTATACAGATATACTAGGTCAGAGACTGAACAAATAGCTCGAAATGCATGACGTACTAGCAGACGAACAAAATGGTTTTCGCCGAAAAAGAAACTGTTTGGATCACATTAACTCGCTTTATAACATCACCAACAACAGAAAACTGAAAAACACTTCTACATTTGTATGCTTTGTTGATCTACGTAAAGCGTTTGATACAGTTAATAGGGACTGTTTATGGTATAAACTCTATGGATTTGGCATTAAGGGTGCTTTCATGGATGCCGTCAAATCATTATATAGTGACGTCAGTTGCGCGATACGTTTAAACAATTACGTCACAGATTGGTTCAACGTCACACAGGGCGTAAAACAGAGCTGTAATATTTCGCCTCCTTTATTTTCCATCTACGTGATCGACCTGGCAAGTGACATTAAGGCTATACAGTGTGGTGTTAAATACGATGACAATATGATTTCGCTGACAATGTACGCGGATGACATGACGCTATTAGCAACTGATGAACTCTCACTTCAACGGATACTGCAATGTCTAAACAATTGGTGCAGAAAGTGGCGACTTACGATTAACAGGGATAAAACGAAAGTGGTGCATTTTAGAAACCCTTCAACACCTCGATCTCGTTTTAACTTCAAGTGCGGTGATTTAGATATTGCTTATATTGATCGCTATCGTTACTTAGGGTACTGGTTTACGGAACATCTTGATTTGAAGCTAGCAGTGCGCGAACTTACCAAATCGGTAAGTAGAGCCCTAGGTGCAATAATTACTTAATCCAAATTCGCGGGAGGGATGTTGCTTGCAGTCTTCAAACAACTCTACACGTCACTTGTGGAACCTGTTCTATTCGACGGCTCTGCAAATGGGAACATAATAATTATCGCTTCGTTCAAACTGTTCAAAACCGCGCCTCCGGATTCTATTTAGGAACAGGGGAAAATGGCTCCAATATCTCCTTGCGAGGTGACCTTGGATAGAGCTCCTGTGAAGTTAACCAAAAGGTTGAAATGTGTAGACTTGTTAAATTTGAAATTCACTGAAGATGATAGATTACTGAAAAAAATCCACATCTGGTCTCTTACTGTCAGTCGCAGTTGGGAGAGCAGAGTTATCAAACTGTTGTGAAATAATAATTTGGAACATTTATTTACACCATTAATCTCGGTAAAGCGATATGTGAAATTAGTTAAATATCATTTTACTAGTCTGGATAATGAAAAGTGACATATAGATTTACATAATGACCGTAATTGTGATAACGGCAATAAGTTGAGAACATACAGATTGTACAAAACTAGTAATTACACGGAAACGTATGCCTCGATTATTATGGATTTCAGGTATAGACAGGCGTTAGCTAAATTTCGCAGTGGTAATTAAAGCTAAGCATTGACACTGGTCGGTATTCTCGCCCTAAAATACTTTTAGAAGATAGACTTTGTCCATTTTGTAATTTAAACTGTATAGAAGACGAATGCCATTTTCTGTTTGAATGTGATTTTTTATTTAGATATAAGAGCTCATCTTTTTACAACAGCAGAACAGATTGTACCAGGTTTTAACTATTTTAACACTGTACAGAAACTTGTTGTCTTAATGAATGAACCTAATTTACAATATGTCCTGGCGAGCACAGTTCATAAGATGTATCGAAGAAGAATGTGTTTTTAATATTAAGTCTTAACCTTTTTTTTTATTTTATTAATATCTTTGAACTGATTTTTAGTATTGATAAATTACGTCGTAATAACGAATATCTATAGTGTCTGGTAAGCCTCAGTATAGGTTGGGTGTCGATCATATATTGTTGTACATTTTAGACCATGCTTGTATGTATGTATTTTAAGCAATATTGACATGTGACACTTTAATAAAATAATTTGTATTGTATTTTATCTGTTGGAATTAGGTATATGTGTTAATTGTTATTTCAAAGGTAGAGTCCATTTCACGATAGATAAACCTGTATTTTCACCTGTGGTTTCTTGTACACATGGTAACCAGTAGTGATTTATTATACCTGTTAAAAAAATGTAAATTCCAAAATTTCAAAGACAATAAAGCATCCACCTTAGCATCACGTTATCAGGTGAATAATAACCAATGTTAGCATAAAAGCCTGGCATGTATATATATATATATCCTTTTTAACAGCCAGGTGTTGCCCTTGTACATATGCATGCATACAAATTCCCAATAAAAGACAAACAGTCAAATCATAATTCATATTTATGACAAAATAAATTAATATTTAATTGCCAAAATGCTCGCCTTAACCACATGCACATGAAAGGCATGACACAAACATCAACATTTTAACCTAAAACCTACATTTTTACCATTGTTTCAGAGAATTTGTTAACACTCGCTCCGCTCGGCCATCATCACTCATCACTCAGAAAACTATTCTATGCCTTATTCGATCTGTTTGATAATGGAAATAATGTCCGATAAATTCTAGCTTTCTACGCTTGGCAGTGCTTGAACAAGTTTAGTATTACATCTTCAGAAAAAAAAAATCCCCTCACAATCTCAGAAATAATGAAGTTCTATATATTGTTTGGTGCCAGAAAGTAGTATACATGTACAACCGACATGACAATTATAATTTATNTAGGTTCTCTAATGACCTGGCATTCATATGTGTTTTGTAAGTGTGATAGTACGGATCTGATGCCGACTTTATAGTGCTATCTCACTGAAATACCATGCCGAAGGTTCCAAGAACAGCATTCCGCCCGGTCACATTATACTGACAACGGGAATAACAACTACCATTTTTAGGACTTTGGTATGTCCCGGCCTGGGGACAGAATCCATTGCCTTCCTCGCTGGGTGAACGCTGAACATTAAAGCCAGAAGTTAGGTGTTGTCAAGCAAGGCGCTAGGAAATAAAAGGTAGATAGAAAGAGAAAGATTCCAAATCTTGCAATGGATGAAGCTTTTTTTTATTTTTTTTTATTTGGTCTCCAAGTAGAGGTCATATAAGCAAATCCCGAATTATTTCTCCACCCAGACCACCAGGGTGTATGGAGAAATAGCTATGCAGTAGATGTAGGCGTCATCAGGCATATTGACCAAACATGATTAGGTTACAATGCAGATCATATAAGCATTACCAATTTAAAATAAGATGACAAATGATTATCAGTATCAAGGATGCAACTTTGGAGAATTTAAAACACACCATAGAGAAAAAAGGTCTATGCCATTTATATGTATTACAGACCTACTTTATGTTTCAAAGACCAGACCTTCACGAACAAAATTTCAATTATATAGCTATGGTCAGAGTTCAATAACATACAAAAATAATAAAGGAAGACAGGATATTTCACAGAGGACTTTTTTCTCACTTCTATACATATCATTTAGCATAGACAGCTTGCATGGTCGAGTATGATCGAAATCAGCGATTCTCATAGACCTATGTACAGTGTTTTTCAATGTGATTGTCAATGGATGCATCATTAATTTCAAACTCTGAAAAAAATCAGCTCATTTTTATAATAAAGCATAATGATTGCCAAAGTTTCTTGAGAGACTTGTTAATAAAAGTCCACTAGCTATTTCATACATCTCCCTGATAATATAGCAGGTCTCAAATCTCTTTTCGAAACAACGAACATCTCTACAATAATAGACTATCTGAAACTGTTGGCCCTTTCCAAAAGATATCACCATGGACTTAGATCCCAAGTTATTCCGTTTTATCACTAAAGTAAATTCCGTAGCCATGCACTTTCAAATTCAAGTTCACGCAAGTTTATATATATAGTCCTTTCGCTTGCTAGCTTGATTTGTTGATGTCAATTCCTTATAATTGTTTTTAACGTAACACTAATAATAACTGAACCGAGTTTAAATGATAGTTTTTATCTCATCACAAAATAAGATGTACATTTATAAAAAGAACCATCTAATAAAACGGAGACTGAGCGCAGATCACTTTGAACAGCAATATTATTGATATAAAATCAACAATAAGTTTGAATTCATGACGAATTCGATATATAAGAAGGAAAATGTAGGCCAGAAGAGACCTATTCCATATTACAGTGTGTGTATAATGTATTAGCTAGCCGGAGGGTTGCTAATTTGTGATGGTAGTTAATAGTGCCTACTTACATATTAGCAACCCGTAATTCTGGCACATACAATTAGAACATACAATTAGAAACCGTGATGAACACAAAGAATCAACTTAGTTTAAATCCAGCTTAATCCTAGATCTATAGATCTACCTAAATATTGCATCTTTTTTATTGTAGATAATATTACCAAAAACCTGTCGATACATGTATATCAGTAAGTGAATCAAATATCATACGGAAACGTGTTAATATTTCTATTGCTGCCGAAACTTAGCTTAGTTGCCGTAAATTAGACACTTTACTTAAAGGAGATGCATAATTTTTCATTTTATCAACATAATAAATTCTCTTTTGCCTATTCTTTGACGTCACTTCCTACACAAATGTCCGTATGCGCATATTGATCGCGCATGTCTAGAACCTATGTAATATTTTCTGCAGCAACATAACATGCAAGGTATTTTCATTTGCTGATTTCTCGTTTACACGAAGATTTCCATTTTTTTGCAATGAACATATGATAGGGAAGTCTTGAAGGAACAATCTGACCGACGCAATACATTATTCGCTATTTTAATACAACGGTAGCACTGAATATTCGAGTCGATATTCCTCGTAGTCTTTTGACGGGAACAGATGGGGGAACTGGGTCATAGCCTCGTTTTCGCCCCTATGGATGACTTCGTGAGAAACCATCGTGTGTAAAGACGGGCGAGGGATATCTTTGTCAGCATGATCACGTTTTTGGCGACCAAAGCTTGTTTTCAGACACCTATGGTTTCAAACTTGTAGATAATTTTCTTTTAACTGTAATCGTTGTAGATGATATCCTAAAAAGAGTCCGATTTTCAGTTAATATTGACATGTTTTCATCACATCACTGAAACCAACGTGTGTTTTTTCTGTGTGTATTGCTTCAAATCAAAACCTCACAAATGAAAATTCACGTGCTCAAGATTTAGACAAAAGGTACGTTGTATAGAGATGCCGTGAAACTTCCTGGCATAGGTATACTATTACTCGGATAATTATTCGGTGAGTTAAATGTGCATAAAACAACACTAATCATCTACGAATCGTGAACAATGAAGTGACGAACCAATGTATTTGACCCGCTCCAATATACACATGGCCTCTGAAGGCTGATGCGTTGTTTATAGTGTTGATCACGTGAAGTGACAGTTTTGAATACTCCAAATCTTGGCTTCATGACTTTCGCTTATGAGTTATCAAAGAAACATAATCAAGCACAAATGTACAGATAAGAAAAATGTAATTTCTGACCAGTGAATGCCAATTTATAATTTGCTGGCATTTTTGTTTTGATTTATTGTTAACATGAGTTGGTTTTTCCCTAAATATGTACAAATTGAGATTATAAGGGGATAAACAACAACAAAACGTGTGAACTTTTGCATGAGCTGCCAATAAAGTGACATTTTGTGATGAGTCGGAAATCCAACCGTCAAGCACCACCATCACGAGATAATTCTGCTACAGCTCATCGTCTTGCCGACTACCTTGGGGAAACTTCTACACCTCTTGCAGGGCACGGTATTTCTTCTTCGCCTCAGAGTGGATCATTTGAACAAGTAGACTACAACAACAGCGCATTTAAACCATCAAACTCTGAATCTAGCACTATGGGCGACAGTCCAGATGGAACAGAGGAAATTATCATTGATGATCCTCCTATCGACACCGGAAAGGTGAGAATTACATGACACTGTTAGGCTTAATCGACACCAAGTAGACTTAGTTAGTGGCTGTACTTACATATTGGAACCCACAAAAAATATATATCACAAGCCTACAGAGGTGCACACTTTGTGTTTAGATGCTAGTGGTGAAGGATGGCAAAGTTGTGTTGTGATTGCAGACAAACATACCACATGTCTGTCTCTGATCACAAATAAATGTACTGCATGTCTATCCATGTTCACATAGATATAATATTACGTGTCAATGTGACTCGTGTCTGTCCATGATATACATACAAATACTGCATCTATCACTTTTCTTGATCAATGGACATTCCAAAATAAATATTCCCAATTATTGCCCGCCATCTACTTCAACCCTTTCATGGGTTCCGTTACTCACCAAGTCGGTTGACATTTGTAATGAAATCAGCTTCAGTAAGTTAAAATACATTATGAAAGAACATAGTTAACAATTCTCCCTAATTAGGGGGAAGACTCCTTATTTTGGACCCATATATTTAGTGTTTTCAACCAGTGAATTTACTAAATTATTCCTATATTCTAATGATTTCATCTTAAAAAACAACTCAAAATATGTCATTAAAAAGAATTATTTTGCCTCTAGGGGGTATATACACACCTGTTATTTATGTTTCAATTTTGAGCATGAAGAATCTTGCCCAAATTTAAAAATTTGGCAAGAATGAAAGAAAGTCAGTTATAATGAAATAAATAGCAAAGGTTTATGGATAATACATCTGAGTAACTGCATCATTATTAAGATGATCCAAAGTTGGCTCCTGTACTGTACATTGATAACTGCAATTGTCATATATTTATCTGTAATATGGGTCGTCTTGCATGTGGGATACTGATAGCTGCGCATAGGCCATATCCTGGACCAATCAATATCCACCCAGGATGCGCCATATCCACCCAGCACACGCCATATACGCCTAGCATGTGCCATAACTGTCCGGCACATGCCATATAAGTCCGGCAAGTGCCATATCTGTTTAACTTCTGGATCAAAACTTTTCAGAAAAATCACACCTCAAACTGGTAGTGTACACGTCACATATCTTTCTGTATTTGCTTTTTCTGTTCATTGTATTTTATTTCAGGTAAAATGTGATTTCTATGGTTATGCTAGTGAAATATAAATTTTCTGTGTTTTATTTGTTATTGCTATTAATTTGGTTATCATATGACCGTTTCCATAACCTACTCCGCATTAGCCCTCCACCAAAATCAGCCCTCAGGCCTCTGTTCTCTCAGGCGAATACGGAGTAGGATATAGAATGGTCGTATGATAACCTGTAATTACCTGTTCTTACTTGATCAAAGGGCCATTGATTTAATATATTAATGCTGTGGGTTGGCATCAGATTCTCAATGCCACCCACTATCAACTATTTTAAAAACAACCTTTTCTGAATAATATTGGACAGGTAGCCCAACACTGGGATAAAGAACTGTAAAAAAATCTTGGAATTACCTTGACCCAGTTTGGTCAAATGTAAAAAAACCTAAAAAGTTATGAAAAACCAGGCCCCGCTTGTATAAAACATCTCAACTCCAGAAATTTCCTCAAGTCTAAGATTTCCCATACAAAAACATTGCTCGAGATTTTTCTCAACTTAGAGATGTAAATAATGTCCTTGCTGAAATGTATTCTTTTTGTACATGACAAATGTGCATATCAAACTCATGGGTATGTTTACTCTAACTGTTTATGGGTGGTTGGGTGGCGCAGTGGATAGTGAAGCTGCCCTTCACCAAGGCGATCAGGGTTCGATTCCCCAATCGGACATGAAAAGGTATATGGGGGTCACCTGCCCGACCATGTGGGTTTTCTCCGAGCACTTCGGTTTCCTCCCACATTAAGACCCCATGCATGCTAACATCCGGGCCAAAAAGAGTGATTATATAAGTTGCGATAACTTGTTTCATAATTATTGTAAAATAAATAAAGGTAATTTAAATGTTTTGGGTTGGTTATGTTAAAATATAGGAAAATTTGAAACACAAATTAAAAAGAAATTGGCTTATATTGTTATTATGTAATTAAAGATAAGAAAATAATATTAAAAAAATGCATGTTTTTTCAATACATGCATACAGTAGACAAGATGTATTGAGTGGGGGGGGGGGGGGGGAGAGTTAGTGGACTTCTTCAGTCTCTGAAATTCCTTTGATAATCTTATATACTTGGCTTTTCATTTTGTAATTTCTCGCATCAAATTCACACAGTCTGCAGCACTCGAGCTAGCTATATATATCTATAGCTGCTAACACCCCTGTGTAAATTCTTTATTATTTAATTTGCTGGTAATTTTAACTGCATTCCTGGTATCAAATTCACTGATACATATCGCCAAGAACATCTGTGTTATCTATCCAACATTTCAGCTGGTTTTAAGTGTTAAAATCCTGTCCATGTTGCTATATAGTCAACAACATTAACCAAATATATGTACATCGTACCTACATGTAAATAATACACCGCTATGTATGCCTTTAGCACTTACGATTTGTTACAAATGTTATATATCAGATTATAGAGGTCAAGGTATTGTAAACAATTTTTTTTCACTGAAATTTCAAATATTCATATGCAGTAATAATGTAAAGGATATATATGTTCTACATGATTGCTCAACTAAGTTTCAGTCCCAGGTAACAATTATGTCCTTATATTAAACGCCTGTTATACCTCCCCTAAAATCCACAAGGAAGATTTATAAGAGGAAGTCCTCTTGCGTAAACAGCAAAAACATGTAAACAATAAAAATTCTTAGAAATGTTTTCAAAATAATTATATTTAGAATTCGTACTATACAATGTACAGTACATAATGTATTAGCAGCTCTGATAATGTGTGTCGGTGTAAAATTTAAATGTAAGACCTTCATAACTTTGTAAATATGTGCAGTTCAATATACTATAATACTGTCATAATGATAGAGGAATTTATCAATGTATGCAATAACAATTTTCAGTGCTGTACATGTACATACATGCTGATATTCTATGCTGAAATTGAATCAAAATTTGCATTGAGATTGAAAACATGTCTCTTTATCACTGTAACATAAACATAAACAATATTGAATACAAAATTTGATAATATACATGAAAACTTTTTATTTTCATTACTGCTTGTTCATATATTATGTTCGAAGCTCAAGTGATATACCTGGTAATGTTACGTAAGTTGTGGGTTCAAGTGAATAATAACACACTTGCCTTTCACCATGGATACTGGGGTTTGATTCCTCGATCAGACGTGAAAAGACATGCGATTACCTGTCCAACTATGTGCGTTTTCTCTGGGTACCCCAGTGTCCTCCCACATTAAGATGGTACTCCTGCAGATTCATATCTGTTGTAATAACTTGTTTCATAATTTTTTGTAAAATAAATAAAGTTTATATTTATGATATTGCCTGTAATTAGGAGCCAAACCCCATGCAGCAGTTAGCAGTTAAAGCCAGTGGGCTATATACAGGGTTTCTTTTGGTGAAACTAATTTCCAATGGACGCATTAAAGTTATTTCCTAAAATTGAAAATTTCAAAGGGCCATTTTTGTCTCGCCGCCACGAAGGCAAAGCAAGACTTAGGTGTTGCTTTTCCGATGACAGCATTAAGTTTTTGACTTTAAGCTAGTTTCTCTGAAAGTATAAGTGCTACACCAACCAAACTTGGACCAAACATGCATCTTAGGTAGTACAGTCAAATGCTGGATGCGGCCTACCTTTCATGGTCCATTGACTTTCTCAGCATCTCCATTAACTTTTTAAGTTTTTGTGTTTAAGTTAGTTTCTCTGATATGTGCATTGATGGTTTAAGTGGGGCATAGGTGAGACATATCAATCTGCATGGCTTGTTTTGTTGAGTGCCTCTAATATCAAGGTGTCCATATCTTTCCTAACATTTCATACCAATATGGTTCATTACCGGCTTTATTGTACTGAATAGTAAAAAAGGTTTGTACATTTTGTGTCAATAAGTAACAACAACAGTGAATTATTCATATTTAATATTAATCTTGGAGATAAATTCAACAAATGACCGCCTGATGTTAGAGGATTTTACGGTCATTCAATAATGAAATTGATTGTTAAATATCAAAGTATGATCACACCCTGTTTCTATAGTTGATACAAAATAAATTAACTCTTTGGTCAATTCTGCCTTATAATTTTAACTTCAAATTACTTATAATTACTACCTCACAGTATTAATTTACATTTGAACTCCTTACCGTTTATGGTGTCCCTCGTCTATGCTTATTACAGACACGTTTAAGAGAATTAAGCAACCATTTCAAGGCACGGTAGTCTAGTGGTAGGACGCCGGGCTCATCGTTGCGAGTTCAAGTCACGGCACAGCACTGAGTTGTATCTTTGAGCAATATACTTTACTCTGCTTGTTCCAGTTTACTCAGCTGTAAATGAGTATGTGGTTGAGCAGTGTTAGAATTGTTGAATGCTAGCTGTTGGAGCCAAAATAGCAGCTACGGCTGTATACTCCTAAGGGAGTTGAGAAATGTATTGGCTGGTTGCAAAGGCCCTATAACCACGGATAATAATTTGTGAACCGCTTTGAGACGACCTACGAACTAGGTTGGGATAAAGCTGTATATAGGAACCTTGAGTTATTGTTTTTATTAAAACTGTAATTATTTAACATTGTACTTTTTAATGTACAGGAGAAGAAAGGCAGTCTTGGCACCATTCCAGTAGACCCTACCAGACCAAAGATGGTAACAGTGAAGAACCCTGGCCAAAACAGGGCCAAACCCACTATGCCAGGAAAGAAATCCTCGCTCAAAGCAGACCTGGTATGTCAATTTATTTTTGTACCTGGAAAATATGTTGTCTTCTTGGCTAAACGAAAATGCTTTTCAGGATTTTTACCAGAAACTGACAATAAAAAAAGATGAAAATGGCAAAATGAAAGACTCTTTAAATGCAATCTTAACATTATATGTGTGTTTGTAAACATGGCAATTGTTTAATGTAACGGTATTATGCATGCTGTATTGTTGATAATAAGTAAATCTGTCAAATATGAAATTCTTGGAGAAATCAACTTGCTTATATTTGAAATTCTATATCTTGATTAGCCCCAGTCTATGGTAAATTTGTTGGACTATGCTAAAATGAGGTTTCATTGAAAGATAACAGCTGGACAAAAGGGCTGTGTTCGAATAATTTCTGCTTTTTCACACTGAATAAAAAAACTTAAGTGTGATCCTTTGCAGGGAATTTCGATCAGAGGTCAGACAATATATATATATATATAAACATCCAAGAATTTCACCTAGAGTCTTTAGTAAAGAAAACTCCTTATGCCTCCTGAAATTTGTTGTAACCATGTTTTACTGACTGTATATTTATTAACTTGGCTTCATTGTAATTACAGGATGTGGCGAAAGAGTTTAAGAAGTGTAAAGAAGATGAATCTACTCGACTTGACTTAAGTAAATCACAGGTAATGCAAGGACCTACACCCAAACACTAGCATAAAAATACAATATAATTCCCCTCCTTTAATCAATAATACAATATAATTAATTCCCCTCCTACGATCAATAATACAATATAATTCCCCTCCTACGATCAGTAATACAATATAATTCCCCTCCTACGATCAATAATACAATATAATTAATTCCCCCTCCTACGATCAATAATACAATATAATTCCCCCTCCTACGATCAATAATACAATATAATTCCCCTCCTACGATCAGTAATACAATATAATTCCCCTCCTACGATCAATAATACAATATAATTCCCCTCATTCTATTTCAATCTAATTTGCCCTGTGTTTCCAGGTCTAGATTTTTGCCTCCTTATGTATATATCTATCAACGTCTTTATAATGCTATCTTTCTGTGGGACAAAATGATTGCAGTATAGTTTTTGTGTCGCCTGCGAAAATCTGGTGACACATACGTATTGCTTTGTCGGCGTCATCGTCCGAACAGAGGTTTTCGTGCGATAACTTGAGTTTCCTTGGGCCGATCAAACTCGAACTTCATGCAGTGCTTCCTTACCAAAAGTGCTTGCTTGGGATTGCTTTTAGGTCCGAAGGTCAAAGGTCAAGGTCACTGTTACTATAAATAGAAACTTCACTAAAACTGTATACTGAACGGCTTCGATCTACCACTTGACCCACCGTGTATACCTCTGAAATACCGTCTTACTCCAAATGTTATTGACAACACTAGCTGTTTAACATCAAAATCCACAAGTTAATTCATTTATTTATGGGAAACCATCCGACAAATCATACAAATTAAACTTGGAATTGAGACAATGAGTATCCATAGCAAGTTCCTTAAAACTCAGAGTATTCTTCCCAAAATAACAGATTATATAACAAAATGATGCCATCCAAAAACATAATCTATGACTATTGCTTACTTTTAACATTATTTCTTGAAATAAAAAGTGTATCTATTTCTTCGTAATCTCCCAGCTTCCTGTGCAGGCAGGCGACACATCCACTTCCGTGGAATTCTTGTACTATTAATATGTCCGATACGTTGTCATGATTTACCAACTTCCCCAATATTAGAACTTAAAATCAAACTCGGCACTGAGTTAACAGTTGTATATATTACTACAGATAAAAGATCCAGTTATGCAAGCTTTGCAAAAAGATAGAAGGAAATTCCTGAAAGTCTCAGAGATATTAATGGCATTAGTCTTAAATTAAAACGCAATATATCTTAATAAGATATTTTTTGGTATTTTTCAGATAACTATTATTCCAAGTTCTGTGAAAGAGGTAAGTAATTTTAAATATTTGTTTTTAGTATTGATAATTTTGTTTGAAAAGCAGATTAAAAATATTAGTCTGTGTGATGGGAAGATGCATTTCAAATGAAACTATAATAAACCAGGGTATATACAATTCTCCTAGTCTGATGCCAGGGCTTATAATTCAAGTTTGAGATAGCACTTCAATAGCAGTGACTACCACCTTTAGATAAAAGCGAAAAATACAGCATTGTTCATCTCTCTAAGCCACTACTTTGAGAAAAGTGAGAAATGATATGTAATTCTTTCAAAAAAGTTCCATAAATTATTGCAAGTCTCTATCTATAAGTAGAATTGGCAGTTTTCCACCATAAGTTAAAAAGTGCAAATTTAACCACTGCGAAAGTTGTGCAGTATTTACAGTAAAATACTATATAGCAACATGTAACAGATTCCTTTAAATATTTATAAAAATGTATTCCAGCTGATACTGCTCCAGGAGTTTTACCTGTATGGAAATAAGCTAGGTACACTGCCAGCAGAGATTGGCTACCTAACAAACCTACAGAAACTGGGTTTGAGTGAAAACTCGCTCACTACACTGCCAGACTCACTGCAGAATCTCAAGTTCCTCAAGGTGCTTGATCTGAGACACAACCGACTTAACGAGGTAAAGTTTTCTTCATTGTGTTACGACAGAGTTTGGTCTAAAACTTGCTTCGAACTATGACTCATACTATTAAAATGTGTTTTGTTTTGGGACAGAGTGGAATAGCTTAAATGATGGTGCATGCAATATAGTCTTGCAAAACAAATATGACATGAGAACAGACTGAACAGTGTCCTTGGTCAAATATAGCCACACTCAGTTGTGTACTAAAACCATTATTTCCTATTTTTCAGGGCCCTGTGGTCCTCTACCAAAAGCACTGATAAATAATTTGCAACTTACCTATTATAACTTTTGTTTAATGAGAATGTTTTCACTTTTCTAATTTTCTTTATAGGCAGTTTTGTTAGTAATGTTTACAGTTCATTAATTATGTTGTGTTCCCTCCCACAGATCCCAGAGGTTGTGTACCAGTTGTTAATTATGTTGTGTGTTCCCTCCCACAGATCCCAGAGGTCGTTTACCAGTTGCGATCTTTGACTACACTCTTTCTGAGGTTCAATAGGATTAGACAAGTGGACGAGGATATCAGTAATTTAACAGTAAGTTCCCTGGTAACATTTTATCGTGCCCCTACTATGAAATGAGGATGTACGCTATAAATCTGTAGTGTTGGCCATCACCGTATGTCTTACTCCTGTGTCATCACTTGACTGGCTTCGATTTACCGTTTATGTGGAAGTATTCAAGTAAACAAGTTGACTTTCAGGGTTATGGATACAACGTCAAGAGAGCATTCATGTCTGACCATCATTGTTTAGTGTTGACATTTGCATGGCAATGTCACTAGATAACCTACTTGAAAGCTGTGTCGTTGATGAGACTTTAAATGACATCAACCCCAAAACACAATTCTCAGCCAATCATCACTTGACAAAACGCTGTTCCAGTAATTGAATAAACTATGCAGACTGTTGATAAGGCAGGAATTATAAATCTTAAATAAAAGTTGTAAGTGAATAAACGTGAAAGGCAGAGAAAACGTAAATATAAGCATTGAACTGTTTTTGGATGGCATTTATGATCTATTTTAATGACACAGTTTTGCAAGCAAACAAAGCATAATGCGCACTAGTGCATTTTGTTGTTTGCTTGCAAAGCTGTGTCATTCAAAAAGATCAAAAATGCCGTACAAAAAAACATTTAAAAAAAACCCTTTAATGCTTAGTAAGTATTTCTTAAATACGGTACCAAATATCATCATTTTTAAGTCGGCGGTATTTCATCTTCATGCTTACAATAAAGGGACTTCACTTGAATGATGAGCATGTTTTATATATACTGGGAAGTTTTTGCCAGTTAATTTTACCACCCTTCATGATGAAGTTGAATTAATTATGTCAGTAAATATGAGTCACTTCTTGCTTTATGAAATTATATGGAATTCAAAGGTTTCTTGGTATACAGTATTTTTGCAGACAGAAAATCAACTTATTTTTTTTACACTTTTTTTTTTTGCAGAAATTAACAATTTTCAGTTTAAGAGAAAACAAAATTCCCAAATTACCAAGGGGTATAGGAAAGCTGGTGAATTTGGTGACATTTGATATTTCACACAACCACCTGGAGCACCTACCAGAGGGTAAGTCAACATGGAAACAGTATCAACAAGCTTTTTTTTTAATTGAAAAATTACCTGATAAATTTACCAAAAGTCTTGATGCCATTTCCAATACCGAACAATAGACACTATTGTTCGTATTGGATATGGCATGTAGACTATAAGTTCCTATAGGTCCTGAAGAAGCCCACATATTCGGGCGAAACCGGTAGACATACAATAAAGAAACCAACCTATCCTGAGCTTGTTGCGATTGAATATTGCCTTTAGTTTCCCGTTCCTTAATCGCCCTGAATACCCCTGGGTATCCAAGCAAGGGATAACGGAACCTACAGAACCTAGATCAGAAGTATGGCGTTGGCTCTAGAACAGAAGTACATGTAATGGGACCATAGCAACATTTGTTTTAACTTTCATTACTTTAAATAATCATGTTTAGTAAAGTGTGTATGCGATATTTTGTTATTTCAAACTCCAAATGTCAGTTTGTGAAGTTCTTGGAGCTGCAAAGTCAATGCTGTCACAGATAGGTAACAAGTGATTTTAAAGTCTCTCATATTGCATTGTTTCTGCATTGTAATAGAAGAATGCAAAGCGAATGTAAACAGTGATATATACAATACATGTAACTTAAGTTGTCAGACAGTCTGTTTATGTGTGAAATACTGTATACATGATGTCAGTATTTTCTTATTGCAGAAATTGGTAACTGTGTCATGCTGTGTTCCCTTGACCTTCAGCACAATGAGCTGCTGGACATACCTGAATCCATAGGAAATCTTAAATCTTTATCTCGATTAGGATTAAGGTAAGCTGCATAACCAAGAAGTGTCCTAGGACTTTTGTCGGAGTAGTTTGGGAAACAGATTCCGTTAACTTAGTCCCTGTGCCCACTTGTATAAAACATCTCAACTCTTGAGATTTCCTCAAGTCTAAGATTTCCCATAGACAATACATTTGGCTTGAGATTTTCCTTAACTTTGAGATGTTTTATACAAGTGACCCATGGGTGATAACATAGAAAGGGTTGAGATCCCTACCCCAACCATGTAATATTATACAGCTTCTAAGAGAAAAGCAAAAAAAAACCTGCTAACAGGAGTGGCCCCAAGATCATTGCATTGGAACTGTGTAGATCCCTTCCCTATAACCATGGATACATTTGCTAGGCATGAAGAGAAGAATTCAGACATGCTGGGGTCTGGTCTGGCCCCTTGGGAATTGGTCTGTGTCTCATGGCATTGAAACAGGTGAGATGTTCTCCCCTTAACTGTATAATTATGCAATTTCTGTTCACGAAGAGGCAAATGCCATCATACTACCAGGATTAGACCAAGGGTCTTGCCCCAACTCTTGGGTTTTATTCCTAGAGTCTTAACCTAGGCCCTATCACCATATATACATTTATGTGGATCTCAACCAAATTTTCTGTGAAATAACTAATTCTGGGAACTTTGGACAAAGGAGGAGTGTTAACCCCTCCCCCTCCCCTGGGACTGAGGAACAAGTGTCAAAAGGCTTTAAATAAGGGTGTTTTCTCCATGGTGCCAAGAGGCAAAGTCTAAAATTCGGATATATTGCAATATTACTTTCAATTAATAAGAAGAACAGTTTGCCATTCTGTTGGAATTTAAGTTGAGTTGAATATATGTTACAGCTTATAAAAATTGTAAAAATGTTACAAATTCTGTTTTAGTGTTAACAATATTAAAGTTGTAAGTATTTCAAACAAGAAAATAAGTTACCATGACAAGAAGCAAGTTTTGGAAAAACAGTACAAAATAGTTTCATTTATGGAGACTGATGCATGTGTATATATATTAATAGTTGAAATTTGATTTTGAATTATGATTACTTACATAACATGTTTTAATTGTAGGTACAATAGGTTGACAAGTATTCCAAAAACGCTAGCACACTGTGTTCTCATGGAGGAGTTCAATGTGGAGGGTAATAACATATCACAATTACCGGTATGTATTCCCAAATATTTCTTCTTTTTCAATAATTTTAACTTCAGGTGTGTGAAATATCAGTCTAATTTGTAAAGTGTTGTTACTCGTGACAGTGTATGGAAGTAGTCACCGGTGTGTGAACGTCGCTTACCATGTTCAATATCCAAGTGTTGATCCAGACATATGATAAGGCCAAATAAAATTAATTACTTGGTTCACAGGCCATTTTTTTTCAAAATAGATGCGGCAGGGCGGTATTTTTTTTTTTCATTTTCAATGTCAAAAACGAGACGAGGGCGATTTATTTTTTATTGTGTAGTTTGTAAAACGTTCATTGTGGACATTACCTTGTCTTTTTATAGTTGTGTAGAGACCCATCATAGAGCAAGCCTCCGAAAATCCCCCCACAATGTTCCAGACGAGAATCACGAACCCCCCATTCTTATTTGTACCGAAATGAGCGCCATTTGTACACAAGACTAATAAGTCAATCATTTTAACGCTTGCCTGTATCTCAATCCTTACCTTTATTCTAACGTTTTTGGGATATGGGTGACTAATAAGTAAAAACAACATGCAGACCAATTTTCCGGATTTTTTTAAAGATGGCGGCTGGCGCATTCACGATTTTATTACTTTCACGATAAAATCGGCTATGCGCACAGTGCCATGAAATGCGCGCGGGCCTGAGAACCAAGTTATCAACTTTTTTTGGCCTAAGCTATAGAATATTTTCATTTGATGCAATTTTTAATCTTGCATTGCATATGATGCAGAATTTGGCAGTGTATGTATACATTTTTGTATATTGTGTAAAAGGATTTACAGGAATTTGAAATATTATTAATATTATGCAGGGTTTTCCTTTTATCAGCTTTTGTCTTACAAATTATAACATTTGCTTTTGATGTTGTTTACAGGAAGGGTTGCTGTCCAGTTTGACAAACCTGACCAGCATCACACTGTCTAGGAACGCGTTTCAGTCTTATCCTACAGGTGGCCCTGCTCAGTTCTGTTCAGTGTATGTAAGTATCTATAAGTGCCCCAGGTGGCCCTGCCCAGTTCTGTTCTGTGTATGTAAGTATCTAGAAGTGCCCCAGGTGGCCCCTCTCAGTTCTGTTCTGTGTATGTAAGTATCTAGAAGTGTCCCAGGTGGCCCTGCTCAGTTCTGTTCTGTGTATGTAAGTATCTAGAAGTGACCCTGATAACATTAAATTGTTTATCACTTATTCAGTTTTATGAACACTTGACAGTTTGCATGTTAAATCAGAAGCTGCTTCTGAAAGTTTGATGTACCATGCCTATTAATGAAATAACACAACAAAATGCAAAATGTCTAAAAATAATGCTGAACAGGGATTATGATGTAACAAGTATTTTGCCATATAAAAAGGTACTCCAAGATGTACGCTCAGATGAGTGCATTGCCTAATAAAATAACTTTTCTTTAAAGATGAAGTATTCCAGCAACTGTCCATACCTTGATAAGACATTTCAATATTAAAAGTGTTTATATCAAGAAATTTTGCACATTTTTTGGAAACATTTGATCAATGTAATGTACTATGCTGTATTTTGCTATTAAATTGTACATATTTATTGCAGTCTATCAACATGGAACACAATCAGATCAACAAGATCCCACTAGGGATATTTTCCCGGGCACAGAGTCTTACCAAACTGAACATGAAGGACAACCATCTCACTTTCTTGCCACTGGGTAAATTTGACATTTTCCATTTGGACTACTAAGAGTAGATAAAAATTCAGATAATAGCTGGGATTTTCCTTTATAGCTCTTTTTGGGTCGACACATTCCTTCATTACCTTAAGCAAAACTTCCCCATTCCACCAAAAATTGAAAAATATGTTGTATGGGTATTCTTATTTTTCAATTGCCCCGTATTAAAGGGTGAAAATCTTCCATTCTGTTGAACTTGGAACCTGTTAGATTAATTAAGGAAATTTCCTAAACAGTGGAGTCTTGCAATGAACTTAATCCAGTGTTTGGAGACCAGGGCCTATATTCATGAAACCATTCTCATCCTCAAGCATGGATTGGTGCTCAAAACAACTCTTTTATAACTCGCTTAAATCATGTCAAACAATCAAAACTTTAAAAACAGTATTTAGCTATAAGTCTCTTCAAATGTTCTCCAAATGTTGACAAAGTAAGTGTTTTTCATTACTATAATATATATATATATAACAGGAACAAGAAATTTGGCTTGAGCAAAAAAATCCATGCTTGGGCATGAAAAAGGTATCATGAATACAAGTCCAGTTCAGATTTCCATTAAAAATGTGGAATTTCAGAGCTGTTACTAAAGCATAGGTCTTTACCAAAAAGTATCGTTTGTATAGGACTACAAAGTGTAGGTCCCAGTCCAATTCATGTAAAATGTCCCTCAAGTAGGACTCAGAAATTGTAGATCCCTTGTCCCAATACAGGTAACTACATATACAATGTATGAAGTTCTTCAAATAGGATTCAGAAACTGTAAATACATGTAATATATAGGTCATGTGTCCAAATACGAGTAAAAAGAGTCCGAAAATGGGACTCAGTAACTGTATATAATATAGGTCCTGTATCCCAATACATGTGTAAAGATTCCGAAAATGGGACTCAGTAACTGTATATAATATAAGTCCTCTGTCCCAATACATGTATAAAGATTACGAAAATGGGACTCAGTAACTGTATATAATATAAGTCCTCTGTCCCAATACGGGTAAAAAGAGTCCAAAAATGGGACTCAGTAACTGTATATAATATAAGTCCTCTGTCCCAATACGGGTAAAAAGAGTCCAAAAATGGGACTCAGTAACTGTATATAATATAAGTCCTCTGTCCCAATACATGTATAAAGATTCCGAAAATGGGACTCAGTAACTGTATATAATATAAGTCCTCTGTCCCAATACGGGTAAAAAGAGTCCAAAAATGGGACTCAGTAACTGTATATAATATAGGTCCTGTATCCCAATACATGTATAAAGAGTCCGAAAATGGGACTCAGTAACTGTATATAATATAAGTCCTCTGTCCCAATACATGTATAAAGATTCCGAAAATGGGACTCAGTAACTGTATATAATATAAGTCCTCTGTCCCAATACGGGTAAAAAGAGTCCAAAAATGGGACTCAGTAACTGTATATAATATAGGTCCTGTATCCCAATACATGTATAAAGAGTCCGAAAATGGGACTCAGTAACTGTATATAATATAAGTCCTCTGTCCCAATACATGTATAAAGATTCCGAAAATGGGACTCAGTAACTGTATATAATATAGGTCCTGTATCCCAATACATGTGTAAAGATTCCGAAAATGGGACTCAGTAACTGTATATAATATAAGTCCTCTGTCCCAATACATGTATAAAGATTCCGAAAATGGGACTCAGTAACTGTATATAATATAAGTCCTCTGTCCCAATACATGTATAAAGATTCCGAAAATGGGACTCAGTAACTGTATATAATATAAGTCCTCTGTCCCAATACGGGTAAAAAGATTCCAAAAATGGGACTCAGTAACTGTATATAATATAGGTCCTGTATCCCAATACATGTGTAAAGATTCCGAAAATGGGACTCAGTAACTGTATATAATATAAGTCCTCTGTCCCAATACATGTATAAAGATTCCGAAAATGGGACTCAGTAACTGTATATAATATAAGTCCTCTGTCCCAATACGGGTAAAAAGAGTCCAAAAATGGGACTCAGTAACTGTTTATAATATAGGTCCTGTATCCCAATACATGTAAAAAGAGTCCGAAAATGTGACTCGGTAACTGTATATAATATAAGTCCTCTGTCCCAATACGGGTAAAAAGAGTCTGAAAATGGGACTCAGTAACTGTATATAATATAAGTCCTTTGTCCCAATACGGGTAAAAAGAGTCTGAAAATGGGACTCTGTAACTGTTTAAAATATATAGGTCCTGTGTCCCAATACTGGTAAAATAAGTCCTCAAGTTGGACTCAGCTGTAGGTTTCAAGTCTCATATTGTTTAAGCAATAAAATATAATTGACGGCATGATGGTAATCCTGTTTTTGGATACTGAAACCTTTTATGAAACTACCTTTAAAAGACTGTTTGATGTGCAAATCATTTGGTCTTACATCTGAATGGAAGTTCTACAAAATGAAGTAAGATATCATAAAGTGGTTCCAGTTTTCAGAAGATGAGTTAAGCTGTCCAAATTGTTCATTAGTATATTATGATACAGTTTTATCCCATTGACTTGTTGTAGACATCGGAAGCTGGGTAAATATGGTGGAATTGAATTTAGGTACCAACCAATTGACCCGCATCCCGGACGACATCCAGAACCTAGAGAAGTTGGAAGTTTTAATTCTTAGTAATAATTTGTTAAGGGTAAGTCCTCAATGTGGGTAGTTATAACTTCAGTTGAAGTCCCATTGATGCTGTAGACAGCTGTGGTTTTATGCAGTGTAATATACTTCATTTTATGTTGAAATTCCCGGTTATTGGAAAAGTCTTGGTATTCTATCCCATCAAGACTTTGAGAGCAATACTTTATGAACATTGACTATGAAGGAACCAAAACATTATCATCTGCTTATTTTGTTAACCGAGTCTGTAACAGTTTGGAAGGAGTTTCTGTTATATTCACAGCCACACCTACAGATTGTAAAATTTTACCATGTGATCTTGAAACTCTTCCTGATAGTTGTTATTTTAGAAGAACATCAGTTTTAGGAAACCATTATGATTACAAGAAAATAATGAGCAAGACTGTTATATGACATAAATTATATACCTTAAATATACTGTAGAATCATTTATTTTCGTTGGGTTAAAATTTCGTGGTTTTCTTATACTAGCCTGTTTCAAGAACATTATATTTCGCTGATTTCTGATTTTCTCCTATCTATATCATACCAAATTTATGTTTTCGTGGGGATTTAATTTTGTGGATTTTTGTTATCCACGTAATAAACGGATTTAATGTCCCAGGAAAATTTATGATGTTACAGTAGAAAAGAAATGAATAAAAAAGATATCTCAAACAGAATGTTTGTATTAAATGTTAAAATGATATTTATAATAACTCGGGGAATGTAAAAAATTGAATATCTAACACTTGAAATGTCATACATGTAGTAGTAAAAGTTGATGAGAACAAAAAAAGAGATAAAAATGGCAATGAGAGAATTTAAGAAGGAAGTCAAAATTGCATAATATAGAAACTGGAAAGGATATAATAAAAGAAAGGTTCAATGCTTCTGTTGGTATAATGGTTAAGGAGAGAGATTGAACAGATGTGTTTCTTTAATTTTATACAGAGGCTACCTCCTAGCATAGGTAATTTGAAAAAGTTAAGAGTGCTGGATCTGGAGGAGAATAAATTGGAGTCTCTACCTCATGAAATTGGTAAGTGAACTAAAATTCCAAGGTGCTCCTTTCTCTCAAATGATGGAGGGGCACTTACTTACCTTTTCTGTCTGTCCATCTATACCTCCATCTGTATAACTTTTTTTTTTTTGCCCCATTTCTTTTATCTTCCACTTTATTCCATCTGGTGTTTCCATGACTTTTCTCAAAAAGCATTGGCTTGAATTTAATGAAATTTTACATCAGTGTTTGTTAATGGAAGGCAGTGTGTAAATGACATTGTTCATCCCGCAAAGCCATTGCTGCCTCTGATTGGTTTAAATTTTTGTCTTGGCCCCCATTACAATCAGCACTTGTTAAACTTTACAGTTATACTGGAAGTACAGCAGTCGTCAAAATCCAATATAGATAAATCTTGAAGAGCAATGTGCCAATTTACAAAATGTAGGTCTCTATGGCCTATAATTTCCAATTCACTGCCTTTGGCTAGTGTTCCAATCAATTTTTTAACTCATGTTGAATGTTATTTAACCCTCGCATGAAAGCAACAGGTAACTATAGAGATTCAAAGTTTCAAATTCTATGTTTACAGGTCAGTTACGAGAGCTAACAAGACTAGTAGTTCAATCCAACCAACTCACAAGCCTTCCTCGAGCTGTCGGGTGAGTCAGGAACAACAACACACATTTCAACCAAGCAGCAATTAAAAAAAATGCATATTTTGTTTCTTATATGTTCCCTTGGCATAAAACAGAAATTCTTTTTTCATTTTTCTTTGACATGTTGTTCAATGTTTCAAAAACATCTACCAAGATAAGCCTTCAGTGGCAGGGGGAAAAAATACCTTCTTTGGATAAAAAAATAATGGAAATAAATATTTCTTATAACTTCGAGTGAAATATCTAACTCGTGTATAATATTGAGTATGGAGAATTTAAAATATAACCCAACCAAAAAAGATACTGTATCAATTTCCCAAAATGTTTAATCAGAATCTTTGGATCCAAAAACATTTGAGCTTTCAATATGGTTTCAAAATATTCTGATGTTTCAATGTTGGAAAATAGCAATATTGATTTCTGATTAAATGATTGAAATATGGTATCTGTGTTTAATTTGCATACATGACCATTGATGCTTTATCTAGTTTCACACACATTATTGGACATTCCTGTTGGCCAGCATTCCTGATTTTCAGCTACCAGTACATTTTATATTACAGTCTGAATTGAATGATTAACCTATTTGTTTTGATTTTTTAGGATGCTGAGTAAGTTGGAGTATCTTGGTGCTGGAGAAAATAATCTCACATCTCTACCTGCTGAAATAGGTAAGAGAATGGTACATCTCTGAACAATAGAGATGTTTTTGTTGTTAACTATCTATATATTGCATAATGAATGGTCGATCTGCAGGAAGATTTACGCCTTAAAACAGGCATATAATTATGTAGAGTGCTATTCTAGAAAAACTGAGGGTTTTGGGGAGGAAGGCACATTTTTAGCCCACCATCATCTGTTGGTGTGCTATTCAAATCACCCAGCATCCATGGTCCGTCCGTCATTCCGTTCGTCCTTAAACAATTCTTGTTAGCACTGTTTCTCAGAAAATACTGGAGGGATCTTTCAAAAGTTATATGTGAAGGTTCCCCATGATCCCTTGTTATGCATATCGTTTTTTGGGACTGATTGCAAAACCAATATGGCCAACAGGCAGCCATCTTGAATTTAAAAGTTAAGTTTGTTAGAGCTTTTTCCCGGAACTAACATACGCTGTCTCCTGCAGACACACACGCACAAGCAAGCACGCATACACTACACACATGGAGGCACGTCCTTTAATGACCTTAGCTGTTAATAGGATGTTAAACAAATTTAAACCAAACCAAACCCAGGACTTGTTAGAAGGATCTTTCTCAAATTTCACATAAAGGTTCCCCATGATCCCTAGTTATGCCATCATTTTTTTGGACTGATTACAAAACCAAAATGGCCGACAGGCAGCCGTCTTGAATTTGAGAATGAAATTTTGTTAGTGTTATTTCTCAGAATATTAAGGAAGGGTCTTTTTCTAATTTCACATGAAGCTTCCCCATGGTTCCTAGTTCCGCATTTTGAATTTTTAAGATGATTGGAAAACCAAGATGGCTGGCAGGTGGTCGTATTGAATTTGGTAGTTAAAGTGTTTCAGCAATAATGCTGAAAAACTCCTGGAGGGATCTTTCTCAAATTTTACATAAGGGTTCCTCTTGTTCTTAGTGATGCATATCAAATCATATCGGCCGGCCATCTTGTTACAGTTTAAGTTTGTTATTGCTATTTCTCAGAATTGACCGGAGGAAATTTTCTCAAATTTTGATATGTAGGTTCCCCTTCACTCAGCAGTCCGGAGTTGTGCATGTTTACTTTTGAGGTTGATCAAAAGATTGATTAAGATGGCAGATAGACAAACTGACAGATAAACAAACTGATCAAACAGATAAGAGAAAAGAAGAGAAATGATCAAACTGATCACATAGAACTAATGAGGATGGTACAATGGTGGGCGCCAAGATCCCTCTGGGATCTCTTGTTGTGAATCCCACCAACTATAATTCCTTTTTCCTGGGGATGACCATACAAATGTTAACAATTGTTGTAAACCTGGAAATGATTGCCTTAAGTCGGTATAAAAGTTATATTTGCTCAGTGTTATTTTGGTCCTTGATAAGTGATTACTTTATATGGTATGCTGTTTACTAATATTTGCTGTCATGAAAACTTTGCCTCATAGCATAGAGAGAGAAATTCGAGAGTTAAACTGTGTCGAAAGTTTCCCGGCATGCATAACTATAGATGCCACCACCTCTCAGTTTTCATATCTGGAATAGTCCTTAACCCTTTCACCACTCCATAATGGACTCATCCCAATAAATGCATGGTAGAGTCCTCTAAAGTTACCTAAGGGTGAAAGGGTTTAGAAATTTGTTGCACAGAACATAGTGAAAATTGAATCTAGGTTATTTGTTTTTAAAAAGGATTGTCTGAAAACAAAATCCTGGAGGTTACTCCTTTGTAATTAGTTAAGGTGTGTCAATATATGTGTGTCAATATACATGTGTCAATATATGTGTGTCCATATACATTTGTGTTACTATACTGAAAAACCACAGATATTTAAACAAATTCATTGTTTGTTTTGTTGCTAGGTACGTTGGAGAACCTCGAGTCGCTGTACATCAACGACAACCCCGACCTCCACAGCCTGCCCTACGAGCTTGTATTGTGTAGTCATCTACAGATCATGAGCATAGAAAATTGTCCACTTAGTCAGATTGCTCCAGAGATTGTAGCCAAAGGACCGTCATTAGTTATACAGGTAAAGCTGGATTCTGTTTAAAAAGTTCAGCCTGGTGAAGGTTTAATCTGCAACTTCTATTGAACAGCAACTGGAAGTGAGAGCGAGTTATTATTTGTAATGTTTTAGACATTGTTATCGATATTTTGTAACCACTTGTGCAGTTACAATTTAACAGATCAAAGGGAATATAATCTTCACTCACAATCTTCAGGTAAATGGTACCAATATATAGAACTGTATTATTGACATTTTCACTTGAATGAAATACTTGATGAAGTTCTCTTCAGAAGAATTATTCCATAAAAGTCACATGATGCAGAGTATTACACAGAATTGAACATAGAAATAGAAAAAAGAAATGGAAAACTGCAGGGGTTGACTTCAGAAATCAGGACAAAGCAAACACTATACCAGTGCCATCCAGGAGTTGTATTTGTAACACATCAAAATGAGTACCGTATTACATTTCTGGCCTACAAAGTCATACATCAGGTTACATTCCCATGTATGTCCTGGTTGAAACGGTTAAGGTGGCGCAGAAATATTCCACGATAACTGAATGCACTTGGACCAAACTATAAGCAGAGCTTAAAAAAAAACCTACAGTTTTGGAGAATAAATAACAATTTATCAAGAATAATATGTCCTTCTTTCACCTATCCACTAAATTATATAACGTATCTTAAATGTGACTTGACCTTATTTTATAAAGAATTATTGCGAATTAGCAATAATCAGCATTTTACTTTTGGTCAGACATGTCTGGACCCCTCAATCTACACGTGCTGAAAATTCCTGAGGTCAACCCCAGTTCAGATCTGCACCTGTCGTTTTCTTTCAGGCTCAACCGTTTTAACTGGTTGAACTGGATATGCGAAAGGGGCCTAAATAACTTGAAAGGGGAAGTAGCTCTAAGTCATAGAACTCCTTATGGTTGCTTCATCTTCAGTTTAGAGGGTAGAATACTCCCCAAGTCAAAAAAAGCTCCAAATGGAATGCTTAATTCTATAACTGATGCATTAATTTGAAGAAAGGAATCAGCGGACCAAAATACTTACTGGGTTGCTATTGTGTATGGCCATCTTGTACAATTGGGAAATATATTACTTTTTAAATTAAACATGGAAAAAATGAGGAGATTAGACCTGCTATTATTTATATGGTTCTGAAATGGGGCAGGTAGCTGTTTCATGTTTGAACATGATACCATGTATGTTAAGATATATATCAAGTTTAATGACCCCTAGGAAGTCATATAAGAGGAAATGAAGTTAACATCCCCCCTTCTGATAGAGGTCAAAGTGTTTAACTCATTCACCCCTGAAGACACATTTGAACTCTTCCAATTGAAAGGTTGGAATAGTTCATTATAAAATTTTAGCAGTGAATGAGTTAAATGGCTTCAAGTGAAGTGTAATCCATACTTTGTTGGGGATAACCCCCATCCCATCATGCCATGAAATTAGGAGTGTGACCGCCAAGATAGGAGTGGGTTGGCGACAATGCATAATGTGCGAGAATGATAATCTTTCTTGACGTGAAAATGACATCAAAAACCTGCACCACATTTTGTTGTATGCATAAAATTACTTATGTTGGCGATCAACGATTAAGAAAAATAGATGTATATCACTTCAATGGGTGGTCGAAAAATCTCTTTTGTAGTCTTGGTTTGGAGAATCTCCAGTAACTGCCCACCCCTGCTCATTTCATATGGGTTGATATTTTCCTGCGATAGCCTTTCAGCGTTGTTAATATGCTTTCACCAACTTAACCTTGCTTTTCCTTTCTGTTTCAGTATTTGAGAATCCAAAGTCCATACAACACAATGTGAAGGGGGATGGGACCTGGTGAGATGCGCTGGAGTAGTGATAAATGTTCTGTGATCTTAAACGTCTGTTTTCCCTGCTTTACTTCTGGGATTCCACAAAGCAGAGTTATTTATATCGGGTTGCTGCAAGAGACTTACAGACTGACTGCACATATTTATAAAAATGAAATCATGCAACAATGATTTTTAACAGTTACATGCAGGATTTCTTTATATAGACCAACAATATTTCAATTTTATTAATTTGCAGATATATGTACAGTTACACTGGTTCAAGTAAATGCTATTTGCAAACAGTTGTGCTGTATCTTGCATTTAGGATTTCTTTTGTGTTGTCGTACCTGACGAGGAAAAGGTTCTAAGCAGACTGGAAATGTACAAATGTGCCAAATGTGTCGGGTGGAGGAGATGAATTGCGGCGATTTTCCGGGAACCTCCATAAAACTGGCAGTGTTAGAGACACTTCTGTGTGGAGGGATTGTTTACCGTGACTACTGTAGAAGGATAGAGGATGCAGCATTCAGGCACAAGTACCGGGACAACAGTAACCTGAGACAACAATAGAAAAGGTGGACAAGGCTTGTCCATTGTTAGCTGAAACTATACACTAGAATGTGTGGTTAAAATCACAGGATACTTCTCCATAGTGATTATGTATGATTTTTTTTTAATCCTGCAATGCTGCGAAGTGGTGTTCTTTGCTTCGTATTAGCCCTCGTTTCCATGGCCCAGTCTAATTTGCTTTACCGTGGCAACCTGATATAGTGGTCGCCCACTTACTGATTACAGCCAGAGTGTCTGGTCAGTTTGTCTCCCTATGTAGTGATTTACTGTTGGTCAGCCATCACACCGGTCAAGTTGATTCCAGGTATAGACAGAAATGTCCACAGCTTTGCCCAAGGCCTCGTGTTATATAAATCACTTACATTTCGCAAGATAGATATTTTTCATGTCTGTTTGCAAGGAGAGTCGATAAATAATTCAAATGTCTGTGAATATTTATTCTGACACAATTTTACAATAGACAAACAGCTATTGTCCTTGCGAATAAATAATTTGAAAAATTATTGTGAAAAAAAGTACAAAGTACCTTTTACTGTGATGCTCCTATATAATACGAGCTGTGTATGTCGTTTACTGTACAGTATACTCAAGATTTGTTTAGAAACGTCTCTGTGTCAAGAGTAGTTTTAAATCAGTTGTATGCCATAGAAGGCTCAGCCTGTTCAGTATCCTTAGTAAAGCTAGGTTGAATAGTCAGCAGTTCCTACATGCAGTTAGTCACACAAGAATATTGAATCATGTTTTCATAAAGTTTGTTTACTCATCCTTCCCGAATTGTTTTAGGATAATAACTGTGTCAGATTATATGTGAATACATTTCTGCCAAATTTTGTCAGGGTTGTTCAACAGAAGCTTTAACCGCGCATATTAAATAGGAGTGCAGGTCCTCAATTATAAAACAGTATTCAATTATTGCTTTAAATACACAACTGCTTCATTTATAATGGAATACTGAACTAATGATCCAAGAACGGTGATAGCTTCACTCTGGTCCAGTCAGAAAATATTATTTCATTTGATGCAAAAATAACTTTTCAGACATATGTAGGTAGATACTGAGGCTCGTCAGGAAGGAGAGGAGCACAGTAGCTGCACTAGGCTCTCTTTTAGATTTGTGCCTGTCATTTTTACTAGAAAATGTTGAACGAAAGAGTTAACTTGATAATGGCCCAGGACGTGCGACAGATTTGAATACTATTTGTTTGATAACTGCAAAATCAGTACATTTTTCTTTGCTCAGTCAGGTCTCATTAATCAAGCTACCATAATCCAGTTGTCTTACTGTCCTACCAATATTTTAGAGTGAGATTGGCCTTTTTCTATTCAAAATTGTTTCCATAATCCAGCTGATCAAAAATCAAGCAATTCTTTACTAGGATGAATGTGACTTCAAGGGCTTCATCGTTACTAAGAAAATAACGAAATAACAGAATTTTATACCTAATATATTCCCTGAAATATTTACCCTGTTTGGTTCGGTTATGCTTTTGTAAATCAGATTTATTAGTTGATGCAGTTGAGATTACTCAACAGTATATCTGAGTGATGTTGTTTAAGTACGTAAGTGAGAAAACTCCAAATTATAACTATAAACTTCAGTCAAAGTATGCACATTGTCTAATTGTTCAGTGCAATGTCAGGCGGTGATTTTTTTCACATGTGTAAAGTATATAGTAGAGTACAGGGGATCTTCCTCTGTTCCAGCTTTAGTGATAATAAGAATGTGAAATGAATGGATTACTGGAACAATATTCTATAGAAATAAGCTTGCTCCCTATACTGGTAACTGGATAGTTCAGCAACTGAATTTGTAGTGGGTAATTTCTAAATTGCACAAGAATGCCATCAGAAAGGTATCGATGGTTTTGCCAGATTTACAGTTGGCTAGCCATGAACCATAATTAAGACTGGCATGTCATCAGAAAAGTCCGCTGTTTTCGTATTCAACAGTGTTTATATTTCTTGTTTGTAAGCCTTTCACTTATATAACCTTATTTTTGTTTTTTGTTTTGTTTCAAAAGACCTTTCTGATGGGAAGATTTCTTTCCCACCTACCTTAGCCATTGTTTTGGTTAAATGCTTGTTTCGACATGTACAATTAATATATTATGCTAAAGATATTTGGATTGCAAGGAAGAGTGAGGAGAAGAGGGAGACGAAAGACACATTTCAAAGTTGACATACATTGCACGTTACTTAGAAATAATTTTATCAATGATTAACGAATGTAATATAACATTTAACTGGTAGACCTGGTTTACTACATCTTCGCTAGCCAAGGGTTACACTCTGGTACGATCTGCTCTTCAGAGAGGGCAAGTGAGTGTAACCCCTGAGGTATCGGGAGTGGTGTACTAGTGTGCTCCAAAGGTGCTTCTATGTTTTCTATTGAAACATTTGTATTTAATTATTGATCTATTTTTCGATCATGGCATATGTATCGGTTAGTTGATACCTCTAGTCGTAGACACCAGACCAATGTAATAGGTACTAACAAGACAGGTCTCCCATACCTGTGGGTATAGGTAGGATCTTTCTTGCCAACTAGACTGGGATATCCACATATCCTAAAGGTGCTGGGAAATTCTGTCTGGCCCATGGGTCTGGATCACTGTAGTGATGTCAGAAAACAGTAGAGCAGGGATTACGTCATCACAATAACTGGAAGAAAAATATTGTTTGTCACTGATTTTCATAGCAATTGTACGGATAAATAGCCTAATAAAATTACTTATATCTCTTTTACCACTTCTATTTTTAACATTTCAGGATATCCTGGTATTGAATTGAATTAGATATTATAATATAATAAGTTGCTGTACATCATTGGAATACAAAATGTACATCATTTTTTCACTAAACCTTTCCTAATCTATCCCCCACACTTGCATTTGGTAAATCTATAATAAAGCATTTATGATCATGAACAAAGTGTTTTGATGCTTGGAATAAAATTAAATGATACATGGTCTTTCCACTCATAAAATGGGTCCTACCACTCCAATGGTGTCTTGTTCTTATGCTAAAAGTAATAATTTAGTTGACAATTGATGACATATGTTCTCTAGTAAAAGTCATGTTGCTTATCCACAATACATAGGAAAACTTATTTTTAGTTTTCCAAACTTGCTGCTTAGTCATTTTCTGACAAAATTGATAAACAACAAAATACAGACACAAATAGAAGAGTGTCTTGTCTAGAATGAGAATGTGTCAACAAAATACAGACACAAATAAAAGAGTGTCTTGTCTAGAATGAGAATGTGTCGTGTGTTGCCATGGTAATGCTGTCCGTTTTTGTCGAGCTTTGTATGGTTTTGTTCAACCACCGCCTGTTCCCTTATGCTAATTATATAAGATCACATGTTATGAGTGATGTAAACATTTGATTTCCTAAGTGTATGCTAGAAGTCCAAGAGGATAAAGAGGATACAGGTTATATAATGTAGACAATTATGAAACTGAATTTCTGGCTGTATATTTGTGAAAAGTAATGTAATGACACCCTTGATTGAAGAATATATGGCTTGCATTTACATTGAAATTAGTCCCCATTTAGTGAAACAGTATGGTGGGGCGGGGAACCTGGGACACCAGGCTATAGGTTAGAATATTAATCTGTACACGTGACATTCCGATTTGCATTTAGGTGAAAAAGTTTGAGAACAATATAATTCAAATGAGATAGATATCTTTATAAAAGAGCAGACAAATGCCTTGCCACTAAATAGTGTAACATTTTTATGACCTTAGCCACGAGATCAATGTTGCAAAATTGTTCTCCATTCAGCTGAAAACTAGACAAAGTTTGAAAGGGGATGTTAGAAAGCTAGACAGGAGGTAGGGAATGTGTTACTTAAAAATACTTAAAGGTACAATGAAATCAACATAAGAGTGTTCTAAAAGGAGTATTACTTAAATATAATCCTGTTTAATTGTATGTTCATCTTTCCCTCCCTCCATTTATCTTGTCCTTTACATATAGTTTCCTCCCATTCTGAAGTTGCAATTTTAATTAAGGATATCTTTCCCTCCCTCCATTTATCTTGTCCTTTACATATAGTTTCTTCCCATTCTGAAGTTGCAATTTTAATTAAGGATATACCAGTATTTGGTCAATGACTCAAATGAATGACTGATTGCCTGATCATGAATGCAAAAATCGGTTTTGAAGAAAAGAAATGGAGCATCCCAAAGTACCAAAACAATAATAATAGTATGATCATTGTCCCAAAGGACATTTAACATTAAATCATGTATTTTTTGCTAGTGAAGAAATTGACCACCAGAAGAAAAAGCTATTTCAACTAAGCGTTTATATGTCGGAACAAAAGTAGAAAGCTTTCATACTTTTTGATAAGAATTGATTCCTGGATTATCACATTTACTAAAGCAGCAGTCTTTTGAAAAATTGCATTCGGAAAGAGGAAACATCCTGTTTTGTGTTATTTAAGCGATTTTTTCCGTACATGTAACATATATTATTTTCTTTTCCATGTTGTGTCCCCTTGTAAAGCCAGCTTATAATTATACAGTATGATCAATTATGATAAATATATTGTCTAATTTCGCCAAAGATTCATGCATTATAAATATTTTACGAGCCATAAAATGGTATTAAATCGTTGTCACTGAGTCTATTGCTGCACAAGTCTTTTTTGTCCGATTTTGTATAACTATGTTTATCTGTTTTGTTAACATATATACATAATAAAAGTTTTGTCTCTGCATTTATCAAAGAACTACCAGTATAATGTACCATTGTGTACAGGGAATTTTTTGCCAATTTGAATATTTTTCCTTCTTTGGAAAATTAAAGTGTTAATTTTGCCCTTTACAATATTTATAACTGGTACATGTAATAAATTGTGTACTGAAAAACACTTTGAATTTTCCCTCAATACAGAGATCGAAAAGGGCACGACACATTCTGTGGCGAACATTTCCCTGTGGACAGTATTTTCCACCTGGTCACCATGACAACTGAGTACTTAATTGGGAATGTTGACTTAAGTGCTCTATACATTTTAGTGAAAGAGATTCAGAATGAAAAAATATGTAGTAATTTTTCAGGCGAGATTGTTTTTGCAGAAAGAATAGAAGCAATTATGATTGTTTTTGCAGAAAGAGCAGAGGCAATTATGATATATTTCTTAGGTTATTGCCAATAATTATTTCATTATTTGATATTATATTTATCTGCTTAATAGGTATGTCTATCTTCAAATATTTGCTGCAAATGTTCCATTTACAAATGAAATTTAATGACAACAGTCTAACATTGTTTAACAGTTTATATATACTTTTTTTCATGTTTTCACAAGGGAAAGCTGTATCTATCCTTGTTGAAACCTATTTGGCTGCATTTTCTTGTCAAACATAGATTTGTTTTTAGATTCATCAGTGGTTACCACTGACAAGGTGTACATGTCTGTTATATTAACATAGTCAGATGAGATCAGTTATATAAAAACAGAGATGGGTTCTACAAAATGCGTCGGAAATATTTAGCTTTGATGGAAATGACCTAATTATACAGTGTTTTTCCTGTGGTCAAGTGCATATAAATGCAAGTCTGTGGTGATAGTCGTGATGATTAACTTGACTTGTCAACATAACTTTTGAGAAAGGTTGTATTAATGAAATCAAACAACTGAATATAACTGGATGGCAGAAATGTGCCACTATAGAAATAAAAGAGTATAAGCTACCTAACTGTAACATCCATCTCGTTTACAGAAGAATTCCACGTTAAGAATGCTATGAAATGTCTTTATTGTAACTAGCTACAATTGTACACAATTAGTACACACAATGATAACGATAATCAAAACTTGTTAAGGGGAAATAACTCAAATAGCATGTGCAACACTTTATATAGTCTGCAAGGTAGCATGTGTCCTTAATTGATACAGAAATTATTTCCAAATTTTGCCCCTACATACTGGTACAGTACACATGTCAAAACGAATATATGTACTCATTTGTGAAATATATTCAACAATGAGCTAGTCATTGTAGTAAGTATAGTAAAACCTGTGAATGGTGAGCTGGAGCTGGCATTCATTGGAATGCGGACTGGTGAGACATGTGGAGAGAGCGACAGTGTAGGGTCGGTTGTTTTTCAGTGGTGCATCCATACACATGTATCATAAGATGTACTTGTTAGCATTTCATTGGTGAATGTAGACGGCTATAGCAGCACAGATCAGTATAGTTATATATTGACAGCAGTGTCAAAAGTCTTATAACAGTGAGAAAAGTTGGTTCAGAACAAACCATGTATTAACTGAAGTATGCATTTAGTGTGGATAGGTGCAAAAATGGGACACAAAGTTTTTTTGTTTTTTTTAAATAAGTTCATTGCAATTAAAAGTTAATTTATCAAATCTGAATGATACACCTGCTAACTCGAGTACTAGCATTTACTTCACATGATGTTGTAATACATTTAACATAAGGATTGATGTAACAATATGGAGACATTTTTTGAATGGTTGTTTGGACACAAGAATGCACCCGTTTTTGACATATTTTTTAAATTTTTCGTAATGTTAATTTAAAAACAATTAAGGGCGAGTCCATCACAAACAGAGGTGAAATGTGTATAGTAGCATATTTTTAACCCTGGATAATGTCCAAAATTGTATGTGTATTTCTATCTTTTGTGTTATAAGATTATGCCAACAGAGAAATAGCCGTTTTGTGGAGACAACATAAATTACGGGTATATGTGTCCTTTACACAGAAACATACCTATACTTGTGTTGAATTTCTCCATGAGAGAGGACTACAATTATGCTTTGCGGTTGTACTTTACCATTACAGAATGATAATGCTTCTAATCACAAGACCAAAACATAAATGCTGTTATGTTTTCAATAGACTGAACATGCTTTTGTATGAGTAGATGCAAGTATTAATGTTTTCAATAGACTGAAAATGCTTCTGATGGCTGGACCCAAGAATGAATGTTTTCTATAGACTGAAAATGCTGCTGATGGCTAGACTGAAGTATAGATGTTTTCTATAAACTGAAAAGGCTTTTGATGGCTAGACTGAAGTAAAAATATATTTTCGTCAGCAAACCTTTCACCTAAGTTTGCTGATTGTACTTAGTGGTTGAAATCAGTGATAAAACCATCAGGATTTTCTCTGTGAAACAAAATTGTACATGATATGTTAATATTTTGATACAGGTTCTTATTTATTGATATCAAAAGGATTTATTTTCTTTCCTGTGAATTATTTTGTAATAACATTTCAATGATTTTGCTAGAGGTTTTTGAAGTTTCATTTCTACAGATAGGCACTGACATTTTGTATTGATGTCATACTTAACATGCCAAGAGTTTTAACAATAGCTGGCATCCCTAAACTTTCCCGTGAAATATTGGCGTGTGATTATCAATGGAACAGTACTATAGTATTTATTGTTATTTTTGTATGCAGGAAATAAATTCAGCATGTAACTGCATCATTTTCATTGTTATTAAACATTTGAAACTCTGCTTTTGTTTGCTTGGTGTTTTTTTTTAGTTTACATCTTTGTAACAGCTCATTAGGTCATCTTATGGGGCCTCTCAAAGAAATGGAAATAACTGAACTTGGCATGATGCCTCTGCCAATCATTTTCTGGCATTGTGGTAATCAGAGGTGACTGGAGGCACTTAAGTAGCAAGCAAAGAGAGAAGTCTTAAGTCTGGTCAAGTTTGACAGAGCAGAATAAACCCCATCAAAAACGGGTTCCGAATTAGTTTAGTCTTAAACACCGCTTATTCAACATTGTATATAAAAAGGTATGTCCCCAAGAGGCACATGGGGCAAGGCCCAGTATAGTAAATAAACAAAAAGACAACTCCTTCAGTAAAGAGAAAGGGATATTAATCATTCAGAACAAAACATCACTCAAGAGGACACGTTTATGTAAATATGAACGGAATAGACTCCCATGGGGGCAAAGGGGTGATGACCAAAATGAGAAATAAAAGTAAGACCACTCTCTCTATGGTCATGTCAGATTTTAACGGAGCATCACTTGACCAACGGGAATTTACATTTTATCGGCAATTGATGTAGCCCCTTCAATGACAAGAGACTTGTGAAACAGTATTAAGGATCAAGGGTTTCCTCCTTCACCATTATGCAAATAAAAGGTGTTTCCTTCCTACATGAGTAAGGGGCAAGCTCAATATTGGAAATTAGACTAAACAAGAGGCTCGGAGGTCCTGTATCGCTCACCTGGATATTTGAGTAATCATGGGAAAACATTCTAAATAAAAGTACTTTTGCAAATATTTCCTTAAGTTGAGTCTCCTTGGCTTAAGAATGTTCCAGATTAAATGAAACTTTGTACTATTCTATCCCAGCACGCAACTGATCAAATAGCATCACCCAGGGCTCCTGGTATTGCATCTTCGCTAGCCAAGGGTTGATCCGGTACGATGTACCTACTCGGGTAGGTACATCGTACCGGATCAACCCTTGGCTAGCGAAGATGCTGGTATCGCGGCAAAAGCTATTTAAAGATATTTACATATTTGACCCCTGTGACCGTGAAAATAGGTCACGGTAATTAATTTGGGAAAACTTTAAAGCACTTTATCCAAGGTACCTTAACTGGCCAAGTAGCATTACTCTGACCTCCTGATTAATCCGAAGAAGTTGTTTAACAGTTTATTTTTTATTTTACATATTTGAACCTTGTGACCTTGAAATTAGGTCAAGATAATTTATTTGAGGACATTTTATAGCAATTCATGCTAGGTACCAACTGGACAAGTATTAATACTCTGGGCCTCCTGGTTATTCAGAAGACGTTGTTTAAAGGATTTTACATATTTGACAACTGTGACCTTGAAAGTAGGTCAAGGTCATTTATTTGAGGACACTTTACATCACTTTGTTCCTGGTACCTACTGGCCAAATATCATTGCTTTAGGAATCTTGGTTATTCAGAAGTTGTTTAAAGGTTTTTTGACCCCTATGACCTTGAAAGTAGGCCAAGGTAATTTATTTGAGAAAATTTATAGCACTCTGTCCTAGGAACTTACTGGCCAAATATCATGGCCTTAGGTTCTCCAGTCCTTCAAAGAAAAAGTTGACGGACGATGGACGACGGACAACACACCATACCATAAGCTCAACTCGCACTTCGTACCAGGTGAGCTAAAAACATTTGAACTTTCTCGCTAGGACTAATTATTTCAGCAAAACTTCATGCTAATGAATATCGTGTGATCAGTTGATATTTTAGGATCATTTGAAACCCAAAATGTTGACCTCGGCCTTTAATTGTTTTGCCCTAGCCAACCTTTATTTGAATAAAGTACTCCTTTGGTCTTTAAAATGTGCTGTTATTTATTGTAGATTCATTCAAAATTCAAACTAACCACCTTAATTGTTCTTCACGTTCATTCTCACTTATCATGCGCCAAAACATATACAGTAAAAGTGGAAAATGAACTTTGCATTGCGAACATTTTGTTATATATTCTCAAAAGAGTAACATGTGTAGGATAATAAACCGAAAGGGTTCTGTTTACTATTCACCAGTTTTGAATACAGAAGTGTCCATTCCCAACAGGTCATTGTCAGTAAAACAGAAGTGTCCATTTCCAACAGGTCATTGTCAGTAAAACAGGTACACCGTGATCCAGTACTTCTTCAAAACAAAATGTTTTTCTTCAAATTTACAATATTCAAGAATCCAAGATAGACTGTGTCATAAAACCGACATTTCTGCAACAAATGCTAACGCGTTTTTCTGATCGACTATGAAAATAGGCATTTGGTCTCGAACGGAAATCATTCAAAACCAATGTATTCAAAAACAATATTTATTTCATTCTTTGAACTTCAAACTTTCAAACACTTTTCATGGGTTAAGTTTTAGAAAAGTATTTTTTCCTCGACTAATGCATATCTACAGTACAAAACATTCGTTATTCAGCATCACAACCAAGATACTACCTCGCCTGTATCTCTTTAAAGTTGACTATCATATTGTAAACGTATATGCTACCTTGCCAGCCAGAGATACAAATCAAATATTACAGCATCCTCAATCGAAATGGTATGTTATTTTTATACTTAATTTGATTAACTACTATTAATTTGATTTTTATTTGAGAAGAAAAAAATCATTATGGTATCACTATACGTTGCATTAAAACAATAATGTATCCTTGTAACGTTTCTGTTCACAAAATTTGAACAAGTAACTTTATAACAGACTTCTATATTGAAAATAACTTCACAAAAGATCCAGACGTAATTAAACATCAAGGCGGTTTTAACTTATACTGCAAAAAGTGTGTACGCTAGCGTACATGTCACTTTTTGCAATCGTTACTCCCATTCAAAACTTAAAACAGATACGTTACACATTATATTGGTCAAGTGTTACACTCATACTACTTAACAGTATCACTAAAACAAACTTTTAATCGATGTTATTATCACACAGAAATTTTGTGATAAATTAGTGCTGAAATTAATTGTGTAAATAATTGCTTATTCATGAAAAACTTTAATCTTACCATCTATTTATTAAATTTATATTTCGAATTGTCCATATCTAACAACTCAAGTGCGAATTAATGCAACACACGTTTATATGACATTTAGACAGAATTTGACTATATACATGTGGCATTATCCTTAATTGTAATTACTGTATATCCTTTGTGACATTTGAGATAAGACTCATGTGTGAAGTTTTTATATCCCTAAGTACGTACTCTCTGTAAACTTACTTTCATAACTCATTACTATTGTCCATCACATTACGCAACATTACGCAACAGGATTAGTGTAATAGCCTTTACCTTGTGGACACTGACCACGGGTAATTGATCTAACAATTAGCGACACCTGTCACTTAAACCTCAGGTACCTTTATTGTACGTACATGTATTTAACTGTGATATGTTGTATTATAAATCAGTTAGGTTCTAGACTCTGTACGGAACACATCGGGTTTATTTTGGACACTCCAGAATATCCCGCCGTCAAGTCAAAAGTTATCTCTTATTAAATTTCAAAGTTAAACTTTAATCAACTCTTACGTCATCATTTCAACAAGATAAAACGTGCAGAAAAACCTTATGTTATTATGATCACTTGTGATCAAATATATGTACATATCTCAAATGCCCACATAACCAAGTCGATTTTACATGGGAAAATAATGCACCAAAACAGAAACGTGACCAAAAGAGAACATCTACGTTACATATTTTCCAAGTGATGTGATTTTCTTTCATAGCTTTTCACTAATTAATCCTTTAAAATCCATTTATAGCAGTCAATTTATTTGAACATCTACAATAACGTACACAAATTAACCATTATTATATATGCATTCATGTCTTTGGATTTCTTAAGATTTGAAGATATTCCCCTTGAAAACTAAGCCAGCTGGGTGCAAGTACAGTTTGTAAAAGGTCTTATTATATTGTTCCCATCACAATCTCACGAAACTAAACTAGAATCTAGAGTATCTTAGTTAGAAGCTACGATTATAGAACCATTTACAACGTATCTGTTTATAACGTATCTGGTCGGCAAAACTGTTAATGTCAGCAAAAATAAATTCACATTCTTTTTAAATTTACACATTGTACAACAGTTTTATCGTGTAACCTATACAAAAGTTCCCGCGACAATGAGTACAATTTCTGTTAGAATTTTAACGGACAACCCACGAATACCTAGTTTCATGCAGGATTCATGATATATGCTTACGGAATTAATGATGATATATTTATATGCGATATAAGATTCATTTAGTCAAAATACCAAGATATTTTAAACTTGTATTCACCCAGAGACGTATATAACACGTGTGTTATATACGTCTCTGGTCTACCTATCTTTCCTGATTTTGTGACTGGAAAGTCTAAGTTGTTAGATTCTGTTGAAATAATTACTAAATTTGTCAACTGCAGGCTTTATTTCTTCTGACACGAATCATTTTTAACATGGACTGTTTTTCTTTTTGTCATATCGATATGAAAATATGTAATGCGGGAGCATATCGTAGTGTGCTACCATAAATTGAAAATAAAGACGAGTTACTGTTCCTAATAGCACACTTTACCGGAAGTTGAAATATGCACTTCCTTTTCCGTTAGTGACATTTGACGATTGGTGCAACATTTTTGGTCGTGTCCAAAAGCCGGACTCATCCAACACCATTCTCTGACTGAGACATTGAGACCAAGTTGATAAAGTAGCAATATGCCTCCTAAATTTGATCCAACTGCGATTAAGCTCGGTAAGAAGGGGCAAGGCTGAACATTTTCAGTTCGATGTGAAACATCTTTTCACGTGTTGACATCGAAGCCCTCGAACAGGTTGACGTGGTAGGTAAAGTGGTAATAAAGATATGTCGTGATAAGCCTTTTATCACTGTGCTTTGCTTTTTGAATAGTCTCGACTACAATTGTTTAAACGTGTCGGTTAGATAACAGCAACAGCCCGCATACAATGGCATCTGCATCACACATGTGAAAATATGCAATAGTCTTCCCTACTGTATCATTTACATTGTGAATTTAGTAGCGTATGGACGAATATAGTAAGGTGGGGAAGACTGCGTTATATTTACACACCAGATGCCGATGTCTGGAATAACTAGGTGACCAGATTATATCGACGTCACCAGTTTTGACGAAATGGGACCGATCACAAGAACTGACCACAGGGGTTCGTTTTAAATTTCTGAAATACACGTTTGGTGTACTGATATGGATCACAGCACTCGTATAGCATATGTGTATTTCGGACATTTGTAACTATCCCCAGTGATCGGACTGAAGATGTGCAGGTAACATCTTTCAATGATTTCTAAGACATTGGTTAACCATCGAGTTATTTGTGAAATTTTTGTATGACATCCTCAGTAAAATGTTATCATTATGGAGAGGCACCTAGACTGACCAGATGTATGTTTATGTGTGCAGTATAACATATATTTATCAGGTTTGGCACAACGGTGCATATGGGTAATAATCCTGCATTTGGGTAACATCTTTGTATGTTATGGTTGAATGCACTTCGTATCTACTTTCACTATCCTATATAAAAAAATCAAAATTTTGTACTTCACTTGCGTTATTGAAAATCGCCATATCTATTGGTTATTATGAACAACTTTTGGTTTAAAGGTTTTTCGGTTTTGAAAGTATTTCACGACCTTTGAAGTCGGGACATCTAAAATCAAGAAACTGTCAAAACACGAAAAAACGTTCAACCAAAAGTTGTTTATATTATAAACACATAAATAGCAATTTTAATAAAGATAGTAAAGAACAAAATTTTGATTTTTTACATAGGATAGTGAAAGTAGATTCGAAGTGCATTCAACCATAACATACAAAGATGTTACCCAAATGCAGGATTATTACCCATATGCGCTGTGTGCCCAACCTGTTTATTTCAGACATTTGTAACGTGACCCTGTGATTGGAATGTAGAAATTCTACCGGACTGTGTAGAATTTGCGTCGGAACCAAGGTTTTGATGCAAAATTCTGCACCTGAGGATAAACTTTCCCAATCTCGCATACTTTCATCATAACTTTACTTTTTTTTCTCCCCCCTCTTGACCAAAATTTTGGTCAAGACACAGGGATTTGTTACAAATGTCTAATACACATGCTATACTGATATTGGTCCCAGCACACCTAGCATAACATCTATGTATAATAACGAATCCCTGTGGTCAAGAGGTGGGAAGATGAGTATACATCAGAAACAAAAAAATAGACAAAGACCATATTTGGGAAGAGGAGACAAATTTATCCTCAAATTTAAAGAGCCATGCAAGACGTTGCAGCAAGACTGTTCCCGAGATGGTGTCACTTGCTGACAGCAAGATTGTCAGTCAGTCAAGTGACATTTGAGAATAGTGTTCCAGCTAGGATTTTACAGGCGTATTGTTTTGATTTTTTTGTTTACTTTCAAGATTCATGATTTCCATTATGATGAATTAACTTTGTGAGCATGGCAGAAAATGCATTACATTCTAATGATAATTTCAAAGATGAGAGCATATACTAGAATTTGAAAGAATCGTATGTTGACAATAATGACGTCATGATTTGGCTACCAAAAGTATTAATCTTTTTCAAATTAAAGAATCTAGAAATATCTTAAAATCGTTATAATTTGAATTAAAAACAGTAGAAATGGGAGTTGCATCATATATACTTTTGATACATTATATAAACTTTACATACATTTATTACAAACCATCCAATCTAGATTTTTTTTAGCCCCCTATTTTAATGCACTTTGTCAGTTTAAAAGAGGACCTTTTAAGGATCGTCGCCCTTGTCTAGAAAAAAATCCTGGGAAATTACTGTTTGTATTCACTTAAGTAACCACATCATTTTGTTGCAATATTGATAAATAAATCTTCATATATTCTCGAGGTACAGCATAGTCATTAGTTACTGCGATAATTAATGATAAAACTTCAGTAAAGTCGTATTATTATTTAAACCAACGTAAGAAATTTTGACAGACTTTGTGAATGTTGGGTGGTAAACAACTTGCTTCTGTTGTTTCAGTGTACGTTAAGGCTGTAGGTGGTGAAGTGCCAGCAACATCATCCTTGGCTCCAAAGATCGGTCCACTCGGTCTGGTAAGTTGAAATCTACTCGAAATACAGATTTACAGGTAAAATGATCAGTGTAATGCATTGGAGATTATAGTTACCAACCTCGAGTCAGTTTATGTCAAAGTATTAAAAAGTATATGTGGAGTGGATTTAGTACCTGTTGAAATTTGGTGTTTAAATTGTCCTGGTTGATGTCATATTGTGATGCCTGTTTGCAATTTGACAGAATAAGCACACACTGCCTTGGGGTGATTTTTTTTAAATGATGTGACTATATACTATGAAAATTAGCAGTCTGATGAAGTTTGTGTTCATACTCAATTCAACAGTCTTTTTGATAAAACCTTGAACATTTTTGAAGAAAAAAATGCTTTGTCTAATCCATATCCCTCATAATTTTTGTTGTGCACCTTCTAATCTAGGTTTTTTACTTTGTTTATGTGAATAGGCAATTATGAATATGAAATAGTGTAAGGATCTTATTTTTGCGTACATATAGTAAAAGGATTTTTGGCTGTTTAATCTGACAAACTATTTTGTGTATATGTTTATGAATTTTCACCATATACAAATGTAGCAAGTACCGGTAGCTGTTGCTACATATAAGTTGATCAGGATTCAATAAATTTCGGATGACTTTGAATGCAAGCCTGTTTGTTATTAATTTCCTTTCTTTCTTAGTCCCCAAAGAAAATTGGTGATGACATCTCAAAGGGCACCCAAGAGTGGAAGGGACTAAAGATCACAGTGAAGTTGGTGGTGCAGAATCGACAGGCTAAGGTAGAGGTGGTGCCAAGTGCATCTTCCTTGGTGATCAAGGCACTCAAAGAACCCCCAAGGGACAGGAAGAAGGTGAAACATGGTAAGATTAAATCTTGTAAACATGGACATGATAATTTTTGCAACGGTTAGAAATATTGCAAGTCGCATAACTGTGTGTGCTTAACCGAAACTGAGTAACCGTGTTATTTTTGTGCCATGAAATACAGCCACCAATATGGCAACTGAATTCACTTAATGCATAAACAAAGATAACTCCATACCTATTCCTTGTAAATAATACTGTAAAACGTTGCAGATTCTCAAAACCATTATGAATTGGCTACATATCGCTAGCCTCCTGCCTGGGAAATCTTTGTAGTTTCACTTTACACTCATGTGTTGTCAACACAATGTGCACATATTTCTGTGCATCACTTCCGGTCAGATCACAGACGATAGACGCCTTTGAACATTGTTCAGCAGAGTGTCGGTCAAAGTTATGTCATGTTATGGCAAGTATATGGATCTTGAGTGTTTTCGGGGTCTTTCAAACAGTCAGGAGCGACCAGGAGCGACCTTTTTGACTGGGAAACCCAAAAAATATTGACCTACATTTTGGGACGGTTTTTGGGTACGTAGATTTGCTAACCAGATAGTACTCTTAACTGAATCGACCCGAACATGGGTACTCCGTTACCCGTTCCAGCCCTACTCATTTTAGCCTTATTACCAACTAGAGGTACATTGGTAGGCAAAGATCAAAAAAAGATAATTAAGTAATGAATTATAATGGAAGCATAAAAAACTATTTGCACTGTAAATTTTGATTTTCAAAATCGTATGAAGTTGTTCTGTAATTGTTTTAGCCGTTCGTCATCTTGGATTGAAATGAAAATCTCTGCGTAGAAAAGCAGAGAGACTTGTGACGGACCAAATTAACCGTTCACCAACAGATTTATAGGGAACAATATCGACTAGTTGGTTCACTTAACATTCAGTCAAAGGAGGCTTATTATTCAGAAATGATCGAAGAATGTGGTAAGGATCATACAGCTTTTTTAGACTCGCCAAAAACCTTATGGGCCAGAAAGGTGAAATTATCCTACCAAGCTTTAATTCTGAAAAAGACTTGTTAAATAAGTTCAGTGATAACTTTCTGGATAAAATCAGCTCAATCAGGAAAAATATTGCCAAAGTCGACTCTTCTGCTGACAATGATATCTCGCCATAGTCTTCGCTATCATTGCTATGTTGATGATGACGCACAAATTTACATGGTCATCAAACAACAGGACAGTTGGGATACAGTTTCAGAAAATCTGGAAGCTTGCTCGACAGATATCAGTACCTGCTGAAGCTTAATCGGGAAAAGACGGAACTAATCGTCTTTTCCCAAAAGTGTCGACAAAAATGGCTCCAGCTCAAGGTCGGTGCAAGAACTATTGAGACTGTCCCAGCTTTTAAAAACCTAGGGGTATACTTAGATAGTACACTGAACATTGGAGAAACAAGTGAACGCTATTGCCAAATACTGTTACTACCAGATCAGGAACATGGCTGTATTCAGCAGTTTATAACTGAAGATGCATGCACGATTTTGGTGCACTCGCTTGTTACCTCTTGGTTCGATTATGGTAATGCCCTGCTCTGTGGTATATCTGACAAACTAACTAGTCAAATACCCTGGCAAAATTCAAGAGGGACATCAAAACTCTCCTCTTTACGTCTGCATTTTAGGCTCTTTGCAAAGACGTCGTGTAAATACCACCCTTTATTTGTTCATTTATGTGTTTATATTAAGTGATTGTAAGCCTTTGTTTTTGTTTCACGATTATAACTAATACTATTATCCATATGTCTACCGGGCACTTTGATATCTTTGGTATTTTTTATGCCACCTGTGAGGAACCTCATGGATGTCATTAAATTGTATAAATAAAATGGTGTGTCAAAGAGTTCAATGCTGTGATGCGCTTGAATGGCAAGTTTTCAAAGTCGTGAATCCTGAATTACCTTCCCAGTAAATAAAAACATTTGATAACAAAATTGATGTCATAAAGAGAAGTCTCGTGATAACAGCGGCAAATGATCCTTTTCCTATGGTTTATTTATGCGACCTCAGATAATGGGTGCCAAGATCCCGCTGTGATCTTTTGTAATATCTGTGTGCCAGATATTTATCATATTGGTGTGGTTTGGGTCTGTCGTTAATTTCGCATGTTCAATTGTTTACTTAATAAACTGTATTATGTTTTTCCAGTTAAGCACTCTGGTAACGTTAGCATGGATGAGATCATCAGGATCGCCCGTATCATGAGGCCCAGAAGTATGGCCAAGACCTTGGCCGGAACATGTAAGGAGATTCTTGGTACTGCCCAGTCCGTTGGATGCTCTGTTGAGAAGTGCCCTCCTCATGACATCATCGACCAAATCAACAGTGGCGAAATGGAAGTGCCTGATGTAAGATACATTTCTTGACAGTCACCATTGTGTGACAATTTAGCATCCAGCTCATAATAATTTGAAATTGAGTAAGGTCACAAATATTTGATTATGATACAACCCATTGAATTAATACTTCCACAACAACTCACTAGCTAGAGTGAAAAGTCCAAGGAAAAAGATCAACAAAATAGTGTTGGCATTTTTTTTCTTTCAAATAGAGTTGTTGGTAGCTTCTCAATTTCTATGACTCTTGTATTCAGTAATTATGTTTATTAAGTTCCACTCATATAAGAATGCCCATATCTCCATTTGCTGTAAGTCGGTACAACAAAGAGATGTTGGCTTTCACTCACAAACAATAGTTGCTGCACTTCTTTGTCTAATTTCCCTTACAATTTGGACGTTGGAATGAAATGACAAGACTTGTGTCTAAATATGCTTTTTCTTTTCTTTCAGGAGTAAACCAAACAGAACATTTTTAAATAAAAGAAAGACCACTGTACAAAACGACTTTGTTTTCTGTTGATTGCACTGCTTATACAGTTTGAAATGGATTAATAATAAGGATAATGTGGGCATGGATTTGAACACTTTGTGTTTGTGTGACACTGAAACGCAAAAGAAGTTGAGGTGGCACAATGTTAAACCCTTTCACAGCTGTAGACCATAATGGATTCATCCAGATCAGTTAATGGTAGAGTCTACTGAAGTTATATAGGGGTGAAAGGGTTGAAGAAGACCATTTTAACCTTTCACACCAATCTGTAAGATCAGTAACAGGTTTAATTTAAACACCCAAAGGTTTCAAAATTTGACATTGTGGGAAGTACAAGTTTTGGGGTTGAGTTTTCACAACAGCTAATGTGTCGTATATGGATGGTGTTCACAGCTGATCATCATATCATTATGAACCACTCCAGGGCTATTTCAAGTGTACATTAGAATTTTTTGGCCTGAACAGACAAGTGAGCTTTTGCTGTGGTGCGACATCCGGCGTCAATTACTTGAAACAACTTCTTCTTAATAACCAAAAGGCCTAGGGTGATGATATCTAGCCAGAAGCAAACTGTGATGAAGGGCTAACACTTCAAATAAATGACCCTTCACCTATTTTCAAGGCCACATGGGTCAAATATGTTAAAAACATCTTCTGACAAATAACCAAATTGCCCAGGGTGATGATATTTGGCCAGTAGCATGCTGGGATGAAGGGCTACCAAGTTTTTCAAGGTTGCAGGAATCAAATGTCTTAAAAAATCTTAAGCAACTTCTTCTGAATAACTTGGGAGGCCTAGGATAATGATATTTGGTCAGTGACATGCTAGAATAAAGGGCTACTAAGTTTTGTTCAAATGAATGACCTTTACCTATATTCAAGGTCACAGGGGTCAAATATGTTTAAAACCTTGAAACAACTTCTGAAAAACCAAGAAGCCTAGGATAATATTTGGCCAGTAACTTGCTGGGGAAAAACGGCTTCAAAGTTTGTTCAAACAACTGACCTTTACATATATTCAAGGTCACAGGGGTCAAATATGTTTAAAACCTTTCAACAACTTCTGAAGAATAACCAAGAGGCCTAGGATAATATTTGGTCAGTTATTTGCTTGGATGCAGGCTACCAAGTTTGTTCAAATGAATGACTGACCCAATTTCAAGGTCACAGGGGTCAAATGTGTTAAAATCTTCAAACAAGTTCTTCTCGGTAACCAAATAGCCCAGGGTACCGATATTTGGCCTGTAGCATGCATGGAAGAAGGAATACCAAATTTGTTAAAATGAACGACCTTGACCCTTTTTCAAGGTCAAATGTGTTAAAATCTTCAAACGACATCTCAATAACCAAGAGGCCCAGTGTACTAAGAAGTGCTACCAAGTTTGTTCAAATGTATGGCCTTCATCTATTTCCAAGGTCACAGGGGTCAAATATGTTAAAAAGCTTCTTCTCAATAACCACGAGGCCTTGGATGATGATAGTTGGCCAGTAACTTGCTGGGTTGAAGGGCTACCAAGTTTGATCAAACAGATGACCTTTACCTATATTCAAGGTCACAGGAGTCAAATATGTTTAAAACCTTAAAAAAATACTTGTTCTGAATATTCAAAAGGTCCAGGGTAATGATATTTAGCCAGAAGTATGCTGGGACGGAAGGCTATAAACTTTCAAGGTCAAGGGCGTCATATGTTTAAATCATTTAATAGATTCAAATGAATCGAACACAGATATTTTGCCTGTAGCTGTATATTAGTCCATTTTTTTAAGATTACAAGTGTGAGATTAATACCAAAAGCGATTCAAGCCCATTGGGCCTCTTGTATTAAGAGTGGTATACTTTTGATGTGCTAACTTACAACTGATGGTCATAATGACCATCTGAAAACAAAAATGTTGAAGTTTTGTGTACACTTGAAGCAAACCCTTAAAGCATTTTAAAGTTGGGAGTGAATATTTTCTAATTACACATCTTTGAAAGACTGGACTGTGTTAGTAAAGGAATGTTTCAAACTAGTATGGAAAAGTTTCTATTGATATTTTAGAAGCAAGAATATAGGTTTGCATTACTACAAACTTAAACCAATTTATATACAGTAAAGCTTTGTTATTCGTTACACTGTCATCATTTGTTCAGATAAATTTTAGCCATATAAAGGGGTTTGGTGATTGAGGGAAATATATAAAACAATTATTAAATAAGGGATAAAAAATTACCTTCAAATATATATTAACAGTATGCAAGGTGCCAAATGAAACAAGCATTATATCATGGTTTTGCTGTATATTGTCGAGCATACTGCATGCTAGCCTATTATTGCATTCCAATGGAAACGTTTATAGAGTTGACTATGTATTAGTGCAACCTGAAGATAACTCTTAAGTAAGAAGATATGGGAAGTGGGAGATCCAACGTCTGTGCAAAGAGTTCATCGAAGTTCTGTCACCCAGCAAACGGATTCCACGAGGAATACACAAGTCCGTCCATAAATAGAAGAGTAATCAAAAGGTAAAGATGACCATGACAACATCGTGCTGGGTAAAACGGCTTTAATCCAAGTTTATGTTGACTAGTTTCGACACATGAGGCGTGTAGTCATCAGAACAAATACAAAAAGGCAGGTTTAAGGTTGAAAATACGGTGTCTAACCTGGTAACAGTAATAATAAGGTTTGCTTGAATGACATGATAAGTGAATGGCCATCAAACATTGTATATAGGTACATCATGAGAAGGCAGAGTGCTGCATTCTTAAATGAGGTCTTTGTGAACCTTATGACCTTTGACCTCAAGGACGTTAATTCTTAACAGAAAAAAAAAGACGAACTTCAATTATAATTTACATACTTCTTGATAAACAAGCTGGCCACTTGTGAAAGGGGCCTGCATCGCTCACTTTGTACTTATTTCACACTCGTAACCTAAAAATATAGCTACAGGAAAATATCAGTATCATTCAAAAGAACCTGTTTAAACATTTAACACACACATTTGAACTACTTTTTGACCACAAAAGTTTGATATGTGAACTCCTACAAGAGGTGATGCTTGTAATCAGATAAGAAATGAAATGTGCAGAGTGATGATGTTGTTTTAGACGGGTATGTACATATAACAAACGAACGTCTTGGCAGATCCCTATGGTAGATTAAATTTAACAAACACAAAAATAATATTTTGGTATTTTATTGAGTATTTATATTTCATATATAGATATTAAATATATAAAAATTCAGACTTCTTCCTGAATGAATATCTTACTGCTGTCAAAACAAGACTAATAAATACTGTTTTTAACATAATCTTTGACATGAAGTTAATATTGCAATTGGCTGTCCTCAAAAGGATGCAGAACAAGATGTCCATAAAAAAGAAAATGCATTGTTTCAATGTATTTCGACTCTAACTGTCAGAAGAAATCTACTTGGTTAAAAAATTCTGTTCAAAATACCAGTTTACTTCGGAACACGGCTAATATTGCTGTTATTGTTTTATACAAAGTATGCGGCCAGCGCTGCCATCTTGTCTTTTGGTTTTCCTCTACCCCTGCCCCTTCCTCTGCCACGCCCCCCTCTGCCCCTGCCCCTCCCCCCTCGACGTTTCATCACGGCATGATGTTTCTCCACCATAGGTTTGAACACATTGTCACAGAACACACAGCCAGAGTGTTCTGTATTGCCATCTGCCAGTGGCGTTTTACCCTGAAAATTGACAAAATTAATATTAGTCAATGCACATTAATTGTAATATATTCATTTTACATAATATATGTACATATCTGATTGCAGGGCATATTTTTATATTTTCTTCATAATATTTTCCAAAAGTTTCTCCTAAAAAGACTGAACTACGGTAAGTATATACCTACGTTCTCTTAGTAAAGTACATATTTCATATAATTCATTTTACTTCAGTTTGCAAATCGCCAATGATTTCATGGTACTATTTTAAAGTAAAAAATTACTCTGAAACTGGAAGTACTTCTGTATAAATGTTGTAGACCCAATGAAATTTTGAATCATTAAAAACACAATTTTTTTCTTTCTAAATTAGATTATTTTGTGGAAAGAAACCTAAATGTCAAAGAACAAAGAAAGCGACAGGAATATAACCAATTTACACCAACAAATAAAAGACAACAAAGAAGATGATAGTTACCTTGCTGAAGTCTACGTTTACTATGTGTGAGCCACAGTCATCACAAGTATCTTCGCCCACCGATACACGATGGGCATTCTCGAAGAAGTGCAGCACCACATTACACCTGTAATTACAAACAAGGTGTCAATAGGTCTGGTGAAGTGTTGACAGGCTATGTGATAACAGCAGCATGTTGGAGTGCTTGTGTATGGCACTGTTTGCATCTGTTTTTATTTGAAGAGAGCCTGGTTCAAAGAAAATATCTAAAACATGTTTGATTCTGAGGCCGCTGAAAAGTGGATTTTCCTCGGATGAACTTGCTCTACAATCAAGCTTCATTATTTGATGTCATTAACAAAACAATATTAATCACCAATAACAAAAATCTAACTTAACCATTTCGGATAGAAAGTAGATAAAACTTATCTAACTTAGGTGTCAATAGATCAGATGCATTTTGCTCCAATAAACTTTACTACACATAAAATGGTTAGACATAATCTGATATCTTTGACAAAATTAAAATGGTAAGATTGTTTCATTCTTTGGTAATGCTCTCCTATACATAAACCGTTATCTACATTCAATTCTACATTTTGATGACATTGTCATCTTTGTCACAATGTTGAAAAATGGTATACAGTGCACACTGCACATCTTAGAGAAGTGGTGTAGAGTTTCACTCCATACGTTAGTATAGCTTATGCTTGGTGTAAATCATTTGCATGAAAGCAGAACAAAGACGCCAATACGTCGAAGTAATCAGCAGCACAGTATTATTTCCTGTAGGCAGGACATCATCATTTTGACCCAACTCTATATCGTAGTACATACTGGCAAGTTGGCATACCTCAAACCATGGTGTACTAGTACATTAACATAATCACTACAATATACCTACAATCATGATCACAATCATAAACATACAATGTAGGAAGATATGTTACAGAAAATATCAACTAGTTTTGGTAATGAAACTATAAATCTTACTTTTAAATGTAACTATTGACACCTCTCCAGATCACACGGAGAACAGTTAAGAATCAAATGATTTGGGAATGTGTTTCGTCTAGGTTGCTTCATCAAGGTCTCACATGTCAGGTACAATAATTGAACATGTTTAATGTGACAATTGGTGACTAAATATTTTAGAATGCGAATATACACAAAATGTACTGTTTCATTTAATTGTCACACTAAACAAAATGCTGTTGTTTACATACACAATTTATGAACACGTTCCTGTATAATCTCTGTACTGAAACCTACTTGTTACAGGCCATCCTCCACTTGGGACTGGAGGTGGGGTCAAGTACTAGGACTCCATTCTCACACTCCACACACTCCGACACACCATTCTGGGACAGACTGTGCTGACAGCTAGGGTGGGTACACTCGTTACATCCATTGTTCTTCCGCATGTCCTTAAAGGGCGGGTTGTTGAAGCAGTAAGGGCAGAGTGGGAAGCTCTGAAACAACAGGTTATCACTCTGACAAAAGTTATCAATAAGCAATGTATCAACATACAGTAGCTGTTAGACTAGCATGTAAATTGCGTATCAACTGATACACATTAACCAGTGGTCTAACACACACTGCTGCAGTGCTACAGTCGTTATAAGGACACAGCACAGAAGGGACATTTGATAGCAGTATGATAATAGAAAATAATAATAATCCAAGGTTCTTATATTCTGCTTTATCACAACCTAGTGCGTAGGTCGTCTCAAAGCGGCTCACAAATTATTATCCATGGTAATAGGGCCTTTGCAACCAGCCAATATCTTTCTCAACTCCCTAGGGAGCATACGGCCAGTGCTGCCATTTCAGCGCTCACAGCTAGCATTCTACAATTCTAGCACTGCCCAACCACATACTCAATTACAGCTGAGTAGACTGGAACAAGCGGAGTAAAGTATGCTCAAAGATACAACACAGTGCCTTGCCATGACTCGAACCCGTAACCCTTCAGTCACGAGCCCGGCGTCCTACCACTAGACTACCGTGCCTCCTAATGACACCAACTCATCCGTAATGTCCCAGGCAGATACGATTTGAACATGGGGCTTTGTAATATTATACAGCTTGTTATGGTGCTGATGTGTTGACATCAACATTATAACACTAGTGACCTCAACAGTCGCAGATGAGGCAATTTTGTTTTTTGTGAATGACAGGGTTTTGTCTATACATTTGGTAAATTCCTCTCCTCCCCAACCTGTCCCCATTCACCTTCTCCCTCCACCTGTCCCCCACAAAAAAGTCACACTTTATTTTTGATTATAACAATTTTTTGAACCTGCATGTTTTATTTTATGAGGATTTTACTCTTGGTGTCAGTAGGTGCTGTGCTTCCAAAAAGGGTCTTTTTATGCCTGAAAAGAGATCTCAAGGTATCTCTTCATATCTGGTATTTCTGTTTCTTTGTTTAGAAAGTAGACAAACAAATGTCCACTAGGGGTGCAATTTTTCCCAACATAAGTATATGTGTACCTTTCCTCTTACACCAGTTGTCCACAGCACAAGTTCAAAGTCATCTAGCGGACATTTGATCTCCTTGTACAGCTTGATGTTACCGTTCTGAGGGAGGCTGAATGTCTCGTCACAGTTTGAGCAGTGAAGGCGGGACGGCTTGGCTTGCACAAACTTCATGAAACGTCGACACTTACCACACCTGTAAAAGTGAGGCCAAAGTTTAAAACATCAACCTCATAAGAAATTCTTACAGTTGATGTCCCTTTAGATTACTGTATCAACTTTGTATTATATAAGGCTTAACAAACCAGATTGATGTAATAAAGATCCAGTCAATAAAATGTGGCATATTCCATAAGGACTAATATCAGCAGACAGGATTCATGTAAAGTCAACTTAAGACATGCTTTAACCGATGAAATAACAACAGATTTAAAGCAGTGACACAATAAATGAATGTTAAATGATATCTAATCAATTCTGAAGCATTATTTTTTCTTGAATTACCTGGAGAGTGGTTTTCCGCTGGCAGCAAGAGGTGAAAATGTCACCTCGAACAGTTCGTCCATACCCGGTATACTCTCCACGAAATATTTAAACTTGAGACAGAAGATGCTGATGCCATGGTGGAGCACCTCTTCATAGTTGGCTTTCCCACCTGCAATCAGGTTCAACTGCTTCTCCAGTGCCGACCGCATCGTAGGGAGAACAAGCTCTGCGTCAATCTGTAGGAAACAATATTACAGGTATACAAATTGACAGGGTTCAGGTGAGTTTGGGGAACCAAGCACAAGTTAATCTGTGTAGAGGTCATTTCAACATAGTATTTTCATGCACAAAATATGAAGTACACAATTTTTATTAATACAAAGTGAACGTATTTTAATGTACAATATTTCAATTTTACCCCATTTTGTAATATTGTATAAGAATAAGTAAGGTGGACTTCACCACAACATACTCAAGCATTACAAATAACAGGTTTTTTTGAAGGGTTTTATTTGGTCAACCAAATAATTGGTGATCAAATAAAACCCTTCAAAAATCCTCTTATTGGTAACGCTAGGGTATGTTGTGATTAAGTCCCCCTTACTTATTCGACTCGTATACTGTGGACAAGTATGATTCCAGGTGTGGTGTGTGCAATTACTATACAATGACGAACCCCTTAACTTTGATACTTATGAACTAGTACAATTCATAGTGTTGTGGGTTTGAGTTAGATAAATGCACCCCTACCTTTGGATACCAGAGATAAAAGTATGATCCCGAGTGAAATGGGTTTCAGTTTATATAAATGATGATGAGCCCCTACCTTCTGATACCCATGCACCAGTACGATTCCCAGTGCAGTGGGTTTGAGTTTTCGTCCTCCAATAATGCTGACATAGTTCCTTTCGCAGATGTTGTTGATGTGGACAGGGATGCTGGCATCTGTTCCAATACCGTGTTTCTCCATCAAAGTGATCAGCTCACTCTCTGTCAGGTAATCTGGCGGAGAAGTCTGGCGATCTACCAATTTTACCTGTAATGGGATGTATACATTACACAGATAGAGTAAACAATTGAAACAATTTTTAAAACAGAATAAATTTATGGTTAAAAATAGACATAAAGACCTGAATGATATGTCTGCTGAAAGTATAACGATAGATGTGTTTATTTACTGCAAACCACTTATTGCACATTTGTGCTTATAATGAATTTATACTTGTGTCCTCTGACAAGGAAGTGTATATTAGGTTTCATGACAAAAAATAATCATAGGTACACTGTGTAAGGTGGCATATATCCTTAAATATAACAAAAACAAAGCATCACAAGCGATATAAATCCCCTCGCATTCACACATTGTGACATATGTAAGAGGAAATGAAGTTACTAGAGCGATGAAAAAGTTTTTTTTCTAAACATAGTTACAGTGACCTTGACCCTAGAAACCGAAACCAGATTTGTTCAGGGCATTGCCATACCAAACACTCGTATCAAGTTTCATGAAATTCTGTTTAGGAATGAAGTCGGCAGAGCAAGGACAAAGTTTTTTCCAAAATTAGTAACAGTGACCTTGACCTTCAACATAGAAACCTAAAATTCGAACTTGTTCAAGGTATTGTCATACTTAATACTTGCATAAAGTTTCATGAAATTCCGTTGAAGAATGAAGTCGCTAGAGCGATGACAAGTAGTGTAACATGCGTATGGGCTGAATCCTATATCCCCTCGAACTTTCGTTGCAATTGGATAATTATAGGTATATTGTGTAAGGTAGCGTATATATCGGAACTCTGACAAAAATCACAGGTATAATGTAAAAGGTAGCATACGTCCTTTAATATAACAAAAATTACAGGTATAATGTAGCAAATATCCTGAACATCGCTCAAACTGAACACTATGTGGTTTGTATCAGAGGTGATCAACAAGACTTTTTTTAATTTCATTAGTTTACATGGAGAGGTATACAGTTGGATGTAGACAGACAAGGTTTGGTTTATACAAGTTCCTGATTAAACAGAGCTCAGATTTGACAAGTTTAACTGTACAATAAACCTACCTCATTGATAGTGAGATTCTGGTCCTTTTTGAACTCAGGAAGAGTTTCCTCGTCAGCAGACTTCCACGTTAGTACCGTGGTGAAACCTGGATCCAGCACGACTTTACCAGTACAGGTAAACTTCTCCGCTCCAATCTCCATATACACAGTAGTCTGTAGGTACTTCATGTCACGACTCAGCTAGAAATACCATCACATCATACAGTTGCTATTAATAATAATGATAATAATAATGTACAACATTTGATATAGCGTCCTATCTAGCTAGAATAAGCCACTCTTAATCCCTTAACAGTACATAGATACACAGTTTAATTAGTATATACATTAATTAATATAATTTTTGAGGAATTCACATGAGCTGCCTAATCAGGCGCTAACTACTAGTCCTATGCCACCTGGCTAACATCTCCCTATGTGTGTATGCCTGTGTGTGTGCTGGAGACGTATTGTGTTCTGTTTGTAGTGGGATTATGTTTCCAATAGTATCATTTATAGTGCCACCTCACTTGAATGCTACATTACAGATACCGCAATATCCACCGCAGACCTTTTTATACTCCATCTTGGTTGTTGGAGTTGTGCATGCAGGAGAAATACACTTTCTCTGAATATTCCATGCGTACAACGACTTTGGGGATTGAACCCCGGCCGCCTGCGTGGAAGGCCAGAGTGTTAACCACTCGACCAATTCGCCCATAGGTATATGATCTAGTATTGGTGTGACATGAGGATTTGTTAACCTAACACAGTGAAGAACAGTGTTGATGATTACTCGGAAGGTCTCTGGATGTAGCATTGTAAACCATTGAAATATGGTCGATCAATGCAGAGGATGGTGAAGAATGAACACAACAGTTAAGAAAAAAAGAAAGCTCAAGGGGTTTTATTACATACTTACTAATAAATACGGATTTCTTGCATATGTGATACAACACAATTGCTCTAACTGATATCAGCCCTCGCCGTAACACACCCCAAAACCCATATCAGCCATCTCCATATCAGTCTGCAAAACCTGTATTACACCCCTTTTGGAACACTTCTGTTTTTTCCCATCTACCACTAATAATGTCATACGGAACCCTTGTTTACCAACAGTTCAACAATGGCTGATGCTGAAAAACGGCAACAAATGGGGGAGGGAACATTGGACTCTCTTGCCAATAGGATTCTTGAGTTAGAATATCTGATTGAGCAGGAGAACAATCAACCCATTGTGCCAGAATTGTCTGCCGTCATTGGTATCATTGACGATGTGGCGGTAGAGGAAGCAGAGCCTCAAGCTCTCACCGTTACAGCTGCAGCAGACGACATCTACGGCTTTGTTTTAAGCATGAGGAACAAGAATACTGTCAATATTTCAAAAGAAAAATAGACCATAAGACAGTAGATCTATCCATATTGTATAAGTAAGTATATAATAAACAGAATATTAAAAACATGCCTTTTTCACACCCAGTACCAACCCCAGATTCCAATATCGGCCCTCGTATTCTCTATATATCAACTTACAATAAGATGTTTTCCTGAACATCTTAGTATATTTTAGAGAGGTTTTTCTTTTTTTTGGGTAGTTTGACGCTATAAATGTATGGCATCAGTCCACTTAGGTAGCACTACATTTAGTTTTGAACTTTTGAAGCCAAAAATGTTTTACCTTATCAATGCTTACACCTAATACCAGGATGTAAATTAACAATATTCACAGCTGTGCATAGACTAATGCTTTGTCTCAAAAATCAAAGGGGGATTTATGAAACAACAATCACACGGCAGGCTTTTATTTTCGAAGACACTTTTCCAGGATACTTATAAGTTTATTTTTGATCATACATTACTTACTGTGGCTATAAAATGTCTGGTGATAAAGTCATACAGTCGCCATGGGTCGTGGCCTAACTCAGCCTCCGTAGCCGGCCTCATCGGTGTGATTGGAGGATGGTCACCTACATCTGATCCTTTTCTGTTCAGTGGTGAAACAGACATAATATGATAGCATTACATCAAGGTCCTACCATATAGTTAAAAACTCTCAAGGTCAGACCTTATATTTAACAAGCATTTTGTGGGTATAGATGAATCAATACATGTCTCCTACGGGCACTCCCAACAGACTAAAGAACCTCTGTACATAAAACCAGCATCCTAACACTAATATTAAGTGAACAGTGAGCCATTTCAAAACTTTAACCCAAACTTTAACCTGCAGATTTTGGCCAAAATAGTTAAGACCAAAACATGTCAAAAATTCAGAAAAAATGAAATTATTATTCCACTGTCACTAATCAACATTAATGCTAGACCCCTAATGAACCTCTGTACATAAAATCAGCATCCTAACACTATTATTAAGTGAACAGTGAGCCATTACAAAACTTAAACCTGAGTTAAGTTTGAATGTCGTTTTTCTTCGGGACAACAGCTTTACATCTATTGTCAAATGTTACAATAGGAACCTTAAACTTCGACATAAATTTGTTGAAGTATAATACTCAAGATACATTTGAACCTAACACTACTAGAAATGGATGTTTCATTTAATAACCAATCTTACTTTGGTTTCTGTATGCCAGTGTTGAGTAGGTCCGAGACAATACTGCCCCATAATGAATTGGACTGTTGCTGTTTCAAAGTTCCTCTACAAAAGAAATATGTTCAATTTAATACATATTAACCTATGGGGAACAACAAATAAATATATTGTAAAAAACTTTATTTATGAACAATTGCCCTCTACTTGAGCTGCACATACAAATCAATACATAATAACAACCAATTGGATGCATATTTACAAATACCTGGTAACCTAAAATGTATTTACAAAACCGTCAAGCAAAGAACTGACACTGCCACCTAGCAAGTAGTAAGTTAGAGTTGTTCCCCTCGACTATGCATGGAATCGTTATGAAGAAGTCATGAGAGGTTTATAGTGACTGGCAAATCCAGCAGCAATTTGGTCTGTTTGTATATCCAAGCCAACAATAGAATTGACTATCATTTTTATTTTTAAAAACAAATATGTAACATTAAATCTAACGCAGAAAAGGGGTATGTGTTAGAGTTATACCAGATGTTTTGCTGTGGGTTTTGCTTCCATTTTTTAACAATTTTCCGAATTCTTAATTTAGCTTATAATACACTGATCGTGTATTTTTCTGTACTGATGAGCTGTTTGAACCCTACCTGAGGTCAAAGTTTTCTGGGTAATGCGTGGTCTCCGTCCTGGGGTAGCTGATGTAACCCTGAGTGTACAATCTCTCAGCAATCTGCATAGTATGCTGTGGCCCCATACCTGCCAACAGGAACAAGAATTTCTTAATAGTCAGATATTGATACATTTTTGTACTTTGGATAAATAATTTACATTTTTACTGTCATTCCTTTCTCACAATATTCTAATTCATTAATTTTACACCTGTAATAGTGTTTTATAGATAGGATGTAAAAACAAAATTGTTAAACCAACTGGCCTTTAATTTAAATGACATTTTCTTAGAACTTAACACACATCAAACGCCTCTGATGTGGATGTTCATGTAAACTGATAATATTGGTTCTATGGTGCCATACAGGGGATATTGATTTTACGATAAAGCACAGTGGAGACTGATTGTACAGACATACAAGTGGTAAATATTTCTGGGACTTCACAATGGGAAAATTGATTCAGTGATGATATACAACAGGAGTTTGATTATATAAGAAACAAGGGGGAATCAATTCTATAATGACATACAGGGGATATTGAATATTGCATGTCAACATAAAAAGTATGTTTGTTCTATAAGGCCCAAACTTTGGGTACTAACAGATCTGCAGGCAGTGATATAGTTAGTCTAAAAGCATTTCAAAGCAATCCATAGTTCCCCACCAGTAATGATTTCTTTATTTACTGAGCTGTACACCTATTTCAGAATATAATCTGGTCGAGCTGGACATATGATGGATACAGACCTAGACCAGAACTGGCTGTACGTAACATCTCAACTGTGTTCAGGGCTATTGGACGACTCTTAAACTTCTCTTCTTGAACAACCTTCAGGACTCTGTCAAATAAATAATCAGATATATACCGGTATATGAAATATAAGATCCTATTTGTTACAGTTAAATATCTCCGGGGTTGTGAATCAGTTATGGGTATACACTACCTTACAACTGTGATCTGCACTTACATCTCCCTTAAAATAGCATTATTAATGCTATCGAATAATTTGGACTTGCAGAAACGGTACCAATTCTTCCTAGTATACTTTTCAAATATGCTAGCAATTCACTTCATCTAAAATTTAACCATTTATATGAAATTCTGTATGAAGCCCTAGTCAAACAGATGTAAATATTTGCAAAACCAGTTATATTTATGCAACCAAAATCGTTTTTCCCATGTGACTCTACTAGAAAGCAAAAACTTTCCAGTACTCTACCAACTGCGCTAAAAGGATTCCATCAAAATTAATAAGAGGCAAGTAGATAGTTTACCACTGTGATATCTGGAATCCCTTCCTACATTGAGATATAAACCCTGTGTATTTTATCCCATGGAAAAGAAGATCAAAATGTTTTACTTCAGTTGAGCCACGGCCTTTCCAAAAATGAAATATACATTCAAATATTTTAATATGGCTGGAATGATGGAATCAAATTCAAAACACATTGTAATTCACATTCAATCCAAACACTTCCCCTATCATACATATGTATTTCTTTCTTATCATTGATACTGTACCTTGCTGAATCTACACCTTTGATCATGTTGACAAACATTTGTGCCACCTCCTTGTCAAATATCCTTACTCTGTCCCAGTCAAGGTTGATAACTCTGCCACCAGGGTGAGCCACCTATCACACAAGAAAGTTACGAGGAATTTATTGCATACTAGTATCACCAGTCCATTACACAATAAATTACATGGATGTGAAATTTCATTGAAATTATTGCATCATAGGCCAAAACCAATCATTGTTGTTTCTGCCTCGGCTCTCATAGAATAAGGAGAGGTAGGGCGGCGTAGCTTTATAGGTTACAAAATGGTTTCACATAGTTGATTTAGAACCAGTTTCATCCTCAAACAGTGCTTGTTTATAGTTAGCCAAAACATATTAGGATAGGCACTACAATGTAGTGTAGGTAAGGAACGTGAAAGTATTATTGTTTTTTTTAAAATTTGGCCTCACCTGTACATGTATGACCCAATAAGGCTCTGGTTTGAAGGACTGGATCTTATCATGTCTATCCACACAGAACCCTAGTGTGGGAGTCTGACATGGTCCATATGATATCAGAGTACTATCCAGGTCACCATACTTCCCCTACAATAGCATCACCACAAATATAATAATATGAATCTAAATATGAGGAAATTACTTACGCACTATACTATGACTTTACAATGAATGAATCACATATACAACAAACAAGTAATGTTGATAGAGCAACAAGTTACATATCATTACTGTATATGACATATGTCCATCTCAACAAGGTGTTGTTACTTCTCACTATAATACTGCAACACTGTTGAAGCCAGAGAATTCTAAACTGTACTTTTATTCTAAGATCTAATGATTTCATCTGAAAGAACAAATCAAAATATGTAATTTTAAAGGGTTATTTTGTCTCTTAGGGCATATACACACATTTTATTTATGTTTTAATTTTGAGAATGCAGAATCTCCCTCATGGAAATTTATACAGTAATCAATACCACCTAAATTCATGCTATATTTTTTTTCTGTTTTTTCTTTTTAATAAATAAGATGTTATACAAAATGTACTTGATTCCACAAAATCTACCTGGAAAAATTTAGTTTGGAACCTAGTGAAGGCACAACCAATTCTGAGGTCCATTTCTTGGCGGGCGTCCACTGACAATGACTCGTTTTTGTTGGGGCTCACTAGTTTGTTCATGGCTTCCTTGATGTCTCGGTCTGTGATGGCACTGAACTTTGACCTATACACTGTCTGTAATAAATGTACCAATACTGTTTAGCACTGTATTCTGTGATGGCAAAAAACATATTGCAAGTTCATTCCTGGAAGAAATTCACTGGTTTACTCAGATTTCCATGAAAATTATCAATAGATAATACTCTAGTATAGACTACCTTTCTGTCATATATAAAAACAAGAAAGGTTTTGAGAACACTGATAATTCAAGGAGTTATATTTGCTTCTGTTCGGACGAGATATAATATTACTATAAGGCAAACCTGAGATAAACAACACCAATAATATTATTTTAATACTTTGTTTAAATACTCATAGAAACACATTCTATCTTTTTCACTTAAAGATTTTTTTTGCAGAGATGCTGCCTTTAACTTGTTACAGATGATTTTTATTTACGCAGGATACTCAATGACTGCTGGAGAATCTGTCCAAGACACCTTTAAAACCAACACCTGTTCATGGTTACACTAACAGAGCTCGTAATATTTAAGTTTAACTGTGTATCATGTTTAATCCTTCAGGCCCCAAACATGCTTGGGTATTACACTGTGCAAGTTTTTAGACTTACTAACAAAACTTTTCACTATTTAATTTCCAGTTTATAAGAGTCTGGATTGATAAGGTACCACTGTACAAGTAGATGACAAGCCCCCAATATTATATCTGTGATTTAGAGTTAGGTTATCTCCCTTATGCATTACCTAAGAGTTTAGAATGACTGCAGTAATACCAAATATTGTTTTTCTTTAAAATGTGACATTAATGAACTAATCATTAAATCCACAAAGTTCTAAATTATCAAAAAAATGACTTAATTGTCTATAAACAAGTAACATTCTTAATTAATATCCAATCATTAAAGATATTTTACAATTTTCTTTGAGTGGAACAATTCGGAAAAGAGGTGGTGGGGTCACATATACATGTATCAACGAAATTTTAATGGAAAAACAAATTGTGCCTGTACCTGTCCTGTTCCTCTGTTCATTGAGTTCTCAATACAGTCCAGCACCTCAAAGCAGATATTTTCACCCTCCTTGTCACAGTCTAGCCATAGCACCACATAATCAGCACCACGGGCCTGTTTACAAAGTTAGGTCACAATTGATTTTTTGAAGTGGGTGAAAAAATGAAAAAGAACTGCATTGAACAGTAAACAAAAACTTTTGTATTTTTAACGGCAAGCATTTTATCAATGACGTGTTAATAGAGAGTGAGGTTCTTTGAAATAACGTAATTGCTAACCTTAATTTATGGTTGAAAATGTATCCAAATTTTGTTTGACTAGAGTAACAAAAGAAACTCTATGTGGAAGGAGAAAGACAGAGAGTGTACTTCATTTGGAAGCAAATTCCAGACAACTGCAAATTTTGTATCTGCAGATTCTCTCTTGAAATCCCATTCAAACTTAAACTCATTGTTCATTTATGAAATACTGTGGTACCTCGTAAATGCATTTGTCAAATGAAAAGATAACAGGTATGCTGCACAAGTGCACATCATGTTAACTTTCTTATCATAAACCAATATTCAAGAAATATCAATATATGTTATTTATCTGGCTTACCCAGGCACCACCTCGAAGCTTTCATAAAAAATATACACACTTCCTATTAAATTAATTTCTAATTCATGAACCTAACTAATACACCTCAAGCATTAGAAACATTAATTAATATTAATTATCACAGCAAACATTGTCCTGTTTCATTATAATTTACCATTAAAAGTAAAATGTTTCACATTTTTATCATCTGACAAGTTTAAATGGGGTTATTTGCATAGTTCCCACACTGTACCTCTTTTGACAGAAATGCTGGCATCTTTAATTTTTCTGTTGCCTCTTTCTTGCTTGTTGGTGCACTAAACAGTTCCACCTAAAATAATAATAAGCAAGTTTAACATAATTTTCAAACACTATTTCATTGTTTCTTTCATTTTATATAAAGAAATTGAGCCAATTGAAACTATTTAAATTCACTGCAAAAGGTACACTAATTTGTAAAAAAATTGATACTGATATGCTAATCAAGCAAATTTTATTCCATTGTGTACGGGAGGGGGTCGAACAAGCAAATCCCAACTTCCTGCTTTACTTATTGATCTCTAGTGCACAGCTATAAACAAATGTGGGCTCACATCTAACTGGTAGCTAAAATATAAAAAAAAAGAACTGACACATCACTTCTCCTTCTACCATAGACTGACCACTGGGGCATGCAACTACTAATAATATTGACTTGTTTTAGGCTTTCAGTCGCTGGGGACGTTATAACCTAATACTAGTATTAGGTTATACGTACCCAGTGGCTGAAAGCCTATAGTAGTTGCGTGCCCCTGTGGACTGACCTACTCCATCAAGTTGAAGATCAAAGATCATGTCAGGGTTCTGCATATGAAAGGAAAGGGAGATAGGAATAGATAAGGAGTGTATTCAATTAATATTTAAAGGATGAAAGGACAGCTTTGAAAGAGGGCAGTTTCTTTTTACAGTTTACAATCGAAGAGAGCAGTTTATTCCAGGCAGTGATGGTTCTGGGGAAGATGGTTCGTTGTCTTCAGTTTGTTTTGGAGTGGAGTGTTTGGTAGAAGAATGTATGAGAAAATCTTGTCTGTCGCGTTTGGGGTTTGAGGACTTTTTGTAGGACTGCAACTGTGTTTGGTAAAAGACGAGCCGCTTCCTACCGACTTGGCTAGGGAGATTTTCTCTTTAGCTCATTCAGTAGAGCACAAGACAAGTAGTCCAGATGTACCCGGTTCGACTCCTGGTGGAGACATTGAAAAAATACTTACCTCTGTTACATTGGCGCCCACAAAGAGACCCAGGTAACATTGACAAATATACTCAGCGCTACTTTCACAAGAATCGCTATGACCCCTTGAAAACTTGGGACGAGTTCCTTGTATATATGTTACCTTGGTAAACACTAGCGCCTTCCTACCGTGTCGGCTAGGGAGATTATCTCTTTAGCTCATTCGGAAGGACGTAGGACTAGTAAGCCAGAGGTCCCAGGTTCGACTCCTAGCGGAGGCATTGAAAAAAATAATGCATCTGTGACATGTGCAATTTTGTACACCAAGAAGGAGTGCATCTCTATGCAGCCAATGTCTAGTAGCATGTTACTATAAGCATATGTCTTATTTAGTTACAATTACCGGGATTCTTAGTCCGAAAAACTGACTGTCTACTTTATAAGAAATTGATGGGCGGAGATATTTCGGACTGTGGGCTTCTCTGAATGGGATAGCGAGACATTAAATTCAGAGTCAAGAAATCTTACAGGGTCAACACGGTCCCAGTTATTGTATTTCCCCATGAAGTCCAAACCAAAAACATGACCGCAAACAGATGTCATCTTGTAAAACACATTTTCTCGAGTCGGTGGGAAAACGCCTCTGTATTCGTGCACCGAGCAAGCTCCATTGGACCCTTTCCTACTGTTCATTTGGCCATTTGACAATATTTTGGCAATTGATTGAGCCAACGATGGCTTCTCAGCCACCATCAAAACCGTCTTCATGATTTCTATTTAAATGCGGCGTGAATTTCTCGTTATTAAAAGAATTTGCATTAAATCCATCTGTCAGATATTGTCTGTGCTTCGTTGCATGGGCATCGCCATCTTGATTCTCGTACCATCTCGCGGTTCATATTTCAGCGAGAGTTAATCATAAACATGGCGGGAGATACAACGTGAATGTAAACATTTGGGATGAAGAAGAAGAAAATGTCAACACTTTGAAACTTTCTTGAGTGTGTTACCATACTTGGACATGGCAAACGTCGATTCGGATCGTGTTGATGATATCACACAGACAAAGCGTAAGTCATACATGAATTAGTAATGTAACAATAATTGTACGTCTACTTTCATTTTCATTTTGTGCAGTGTATTGATGACCACTGGTGACTTCTACATCTATATATATACACCCTCTACTAGTTTAACTGGCATAACACAGTGTTGCACTGAACTCCATTGGCATATAAAGAAAAATCAATGTGTAGTAATGGCTACATATATATACTTACCTTGTGTCCCTAACTCCTGAGCATCTGTGAATCAATCATGCAAATTGCAATATAAAATGATCATATTTTAAATATCTTTATCTTAATATGTACATATGCATACTTGTAACTTCTATTTTCTATATATGTAACTAGTTCCAGATATGCATTGTTTTATTGGTTAAATAAAAGCTCAATGAAATATAAACTTCATCTGTTTTACAACAATTATGAAACAAGTTAATTTAGATTTGTCAACTTACTAAACCGTCTTGTTAGCCTGAATGGTAGTGTACAGGGGGTCTTTATGTTGGATAAAACTGGAGTGCCTGGAGAAAACCTTCAGTCAGGCAGATAACCCACATAGTGAGTGAGTACCTTTGAGTTCACATCTGTGAAAATTAGGACATCCGTGGGAAGGGCCTGTCCAGCGACAGTAGATCAACGTGATCGTATAGTAATTTTGGTTTTCCCCAAAACTACCAACAAACTGACCGGTGGCAATCCCCAAGAATCTCCTGCTGCGTCGATCCATCCTAGCTAGCCGTTAAAACGTGGCAAACAATATGTACATTAATAACGGTAATATATATATATATATAAGACAGAACAAAACTTACAATTGTAGAGAAAAGAAATAAATTTTACTAAACCTACATATTAGCCCCCACATTATATTTTGCATACCTGCCAAGTGACCTGATTTCGTCGGGTTACACCCGGGATTTTAGCCCTTCACCCGCTTTTATAACTTCACCCGCCGGGTTACGATTTTGACCCGGATTTCGTCAATTTCACCCGTTTTCACCCGGAATCTTTTCGTATATTAGAAGTTACCGAAGTCACTCGGAATTCTCTAGACTTTTCCATCCTCCTTCATAAGAAAGACGATCTATTTCCTGTTTCCGTTTCTCACCAACAGGTAAGTTGTGAGTTGTTTATATACGTACTAGAACTGTTTTTACAAATGTTTATATAAAGAACGTTGTTACTGAACTTGCCGACAAGTTATTAGTCAGGTTTTTAACGAATAATTGAGTTGTATTTACGTAGAATAGATCGTATTTTGAAGGTAACGTTATGTCTTCTTGAAGGAAGAAGTTTTTATCGGGACTTGCAGGTTCTACTACACGAATTGCCAAAAGAAAAGATAATTGTACACATATCAAATGTCATAGGAAAATGAGTTATAGTGTACAAAGTCCCGTGGTCGTGGACCAAACGCTGCATTCTGCACTCTAGTCAAAAACACGCACAGGCATTTGATGATTTGTTTCTGTCAATCAAAATGATCCTTACAATAAGAGTTCAAACCCTACTCGTATAAAACTGATATTTTATATGAGAAGGGTGCAACTTCTTGTTGTCAGGACCATTTTCATTGACAGAAACAAAATGGTATTTTATATGAGCAGAATGTGACATCTTATTGTCGGGACCATTTCAATTGACATAAAAAATGCCTGTGAAAACACAGTATCATATATATTATTATGAATTAATTTTATAAGTTGTGTTGTTGACAAATCTTTTTATTTTTCAGCTTTGAATTTGGTATTGTGGATGAGGATCAGCTAGATCTGCTGGAAGAACAGTTCAATGAATGTAGAATGTAACTTTTACATCATTAAAAAATTTAAGTTCTAATTTAATATCTATTTTTCTTATATTTGTTGCGAAAAAATCCGTCGCGCATTATGACCCTCTTTTTAATTTTCAAAAGAGGGTCATAACCCTCTTTCAGCATGTCCAGGGTTGGCAGGTATGATTTTGGTAAAATAAGGCCTGCAGATACTTTTAAATAGTCTACGATAATAACCACCCCATCCCGGTACACTGATATATGTTGAGTCAACAACTTTAAGCTTACCCTAATGTTCCCTAACTTGAGTGTACTGCTTTCAGTACATCGGTACTTGGTAGTGACTGTATCTTCCCACGACTCACCAATTTAATCTGGTCATCTCAAAAGCATTATACCAATGTAAACAAATAGACTAGCACTAGTGATAGCTGCTACTCGAGGGGAAGCATCTGCTGAACAAATAGCGCTGCCATACCTGTTTGGTTACTTTTAGGATGGTATATTTAATTAGGGAATACACAAAGACACAACAGTAAATATAGAACAGTACTCAGGCTAATGACCCATTTTCCCACACTTGATTGTGAAGTCAAACCCAGGCTGTCGGTTAGTGAAAAAATAGTGCACTCTCTCTAATGCGCCGCCTGACCAGCCCAAGAGTTCAATAAAGGTATCCAATACGTTAATTATTAAACATTATTACAACACAAGTACTTTTATTATCATCTAATCACTGATACACTATATAGCTAGCTGCAGTTGGTGAGATAAGTGGTTTATTTGCAGATGTACTACAGCAGTATGTCTTGGATAACCACAGGGAGGAATTGGTCCAGGTTTTATTGGAGGAAGATGAAGAAGATCACTACTGCATTTCTGTCCAGTAAGCATATCATTAGGATCGATTGTTTTGCGATATTTGAATGAATTTGACATCACCATAAATAAAATACCATGATTTTTAGGAAAAAGAAATGTTAGCATCAAAATTCATGTCTGCATCAAATCTGACATGTAATTTTTTATAAATTATAATGTACACTAATTTCAATTCATGAGAGTTCAAAGAAACCAAGCTCATTATTACTGATCAAAGCCAGGCTCTGTAATAATTATTGATCATGTCCTAATTAGCCACTGATATGTGTTATTATAGAAACTGAGGTAATTGCAAAGAAACTATTAGCTGCTTAATAATTTGTCAGTATTATACATTTTATTTATATTCATGCTGACTAACACATATTTGCAGTATTAAATTTGCTTAAATAATGCATAACTAAATATAACAAAAAACAGGGATGTACATTTTATATTGATTATATTGGGCCTGGTGGCTTCTTTTATGATAAATATTCTTCCCCTGTCAAATTTTAATTGTTTTTCTCATGTTTAAAAATAAAATTATCTGTTACAAAAAAAATTAGGAAACAGGAATGTCCCTCTTGTTTAGATATGTAGGTGTAATAGGGAGTTTGAACTTGTAAATGATACGGTAAAATCACTGCAATAACAACACAACTTTCAGCGCATAGAAAAAATGAAATGCTTATATAATTACGATGTATCTAAATCTTTTGTACTCTTTCAGTGCTTTGTCCCTGTTTGAAAGTGACATGTCAATCTGCGACATGCTTCTTTCCCGGGCAGAGAAGCTGCTTCCTGTGTTTGATGCCGCCCTGGTGGAGGTCCAGACTAGCGTGATTGAGGACCATCCAGACAAAAATCAGATGGTAGGTTAGGAATTTTGTCCAGTTGTTGAGGCCTCATTCCAAAATGAAAATCTCATTGTATTTTCACAATTTCATTTTTTTTTTCCATTCAATTTTTGTTCATAAAAAAGTTTTGCATCCCTGCAAATGTAAATGATAGATTGGGAAAACATTCCTGATCTAAAGACATGAACATTTGAACAATGTTGAGTGTAACACAACACTAATGCTACTCATACAAAATTTTAATTAATTTTCCTCTGACGTGTAAAATATAAAAATAATATAATAAATTCATTTTTAATATTGACTAACAACAAGAAGATGGCATAAAATCCGAACAAATTATTAATTTAATATTAATTACTATTGGCCAGCTGATTGCCAACACTAGAACATAAGCCTGTAGATAGCACACTGAAATGTCTGGGAATCCTTCACAATGTCTGCTGTATCTATATACGTGTTGATGCTCTAGAGTCTAAAGAGAAATATTCATGGAAGAGTGATGTCCTTACCTGTCTGTCCAGAACTGATCAGGACCAACTTGCCTCGAACCTCAGATGTTGGCAGTTTTCTCAGCATCAGTGGTAAGTATTTAAGCTACAACTTGCCATCCCCTTTGCATCCCTGCGGAATATACTGTCAAGTGTATTTAAAAGTTTCTCTTAAAAGCTGATATATTTTTTTCTTTCAAAAGACAAAGTTTCACCAATTGAGTAACCAATTGTGATAAGCGGATGGACCTATATATATATATATATACACACTGTACCACAAACACTTGACTTCAGACTTTGAGAAGGATCATATACTGATGTGAAGTATCATTATGTAAAAATCAATTTCATCAAATTTATCAAGGACGTAATGGTTTGTAGTCCATATGTGTGGTAAGATATCATGGAATCAAGTTGAAGCCTTAGAGGTATTCTAACACAGGTACTGTGATCCGCACCACTGTGATGAAGATGCTGGAGTTTGAAAAGGAATACATCTGTACAAAGTGCCGATCTGTCATCTCTGTACAGGTAGGTACAAAGTGCCGATCTGTCATCTCTGTACAGGTAGTAGGTACAAAGTGCCAATCTATCATCTTTGTACAATTTTTAGCTCACCTGCCCGAGGGCTAGTAAGCTTATGCCATGGTTCATTGTCCGTCTGTCAACTTTTCCTTTTAAAACGCTACTAGTCCTGAACAGCTTGGTGGATTTTGACTAAATTTGGCCTGGAGCATCCTTGGGCAAATGAGGCTCAATTTTGTATAAATAGAGGGTTGGGGGCAGAGGGGTTGGGCCCAATAAGGGAACTTGAAGTACATCTTTAAAATCCTTCTCATTTAATCTGATTGGAGGGATTTCAACGAAATTTTGTGTAGAGCACCCTTGGGCAAAGGGGACTCAATAATATATAAATGTAGGGTGTGACCCCCAGGGGGCAGATCGGTTGGGCCAAATGGAGTGAACATAGTAATATATACAAAATCCTTCTTCTGTACCATTGAAGGTATTTAAAACACATTTTGTGTAGAGCATCCTTGGGCAAAGGAGACTATATTTGTATAAACAGAGGATGTGGCAGAAGGACAGGGCCTAATAAGGGAACTATAGGTAAACCTTTATAATCCTTCTCCTTTACTTTGATTGGATGGATTTCAACCAAATTTTGTGTATATCATCTTTGGATAAAGAGGACTCAATTTTGTGTAAATGCAGGGTTGCCTTTCAGGGGCTGAGGGGCAGGGCCCAATAGGGGAAATTGAGGTAAATGTTTAAAATCCACCCCATTTCATGAGGGCAGGAAAAAGGGACCCAATGAGAGATGGCTGTTGCTTAGAGACAGAGCCAATTTTTGAAAATAGTTGCGGTATTACATTTAATAAGAACATTTTCCCATGGTTGCTTTATTATCCAGGTGATTAATACAGGCCTTCTGGGCCTTTTATTTATTCAATTACATGTATCTCTTACTGTTGAATATAAAATATACTTTTGAAATTGTTAATCTAAGTGAAATTATGAGAACAATTTTAGTTTGCGAAAATTTTCCATCACAGTGCCTTTCTACTCACATTTTTTTTATATGTAAATGAAGTTTTTTTTATATTTTTTTAATTTCAGGCAGATTTTGAGCAGTTTAATGCAGTTTCCAAACCCAGTAAATGTACCAATGAGATATGTAACTCCATCACTTTCTCTCCCCTCAGTGATGCAGGTAGGTGAATTTTCAGCAAATTACTACATCAGTTTAAGATGTAATGATTTATCATCCACACTATATGTACTTTGGAATAGATGTAAAATCATTTTCTTCAGTTGTGTTAAAACACATATTGCAATACATTTTACAGAATTACAGTTGTCTTAAATTTGGGCACCGATTATGATAAAAAATGCATAAGAGAAAAAGAAACTCAGAACTGATCTATTGAACTGCCTATTCTACACTTCACTGATGTTGCTTTAACTTGATATCCAGAAAATATTTTAAATAATTTAAAAAAAAAAAAATCTCACAAGAGAAGAAGCTTCATGCCAGGAAAGTTCTTTAAGTTTATGAATTTATTTATTGCTATATTTTCTATATACTGCACACCTTAAAAAACAGCTTTGTAAATGGCACCTTTTAGCTTTATCATTGTCGCTATATATAAAACCATTAACTGAGGTTGCTTAGGTTAAAGATTTTGAAGAGTACTTATATACACCATCTTAAAGGTTAACCGTGATACCTTTTTCTTTTTGAAATTTCGAGCCTTTTTATAAGTGTGATACACAGCAACTGAAGTGAAGAAACTGTCTCAGTTATGACTACCTTGATCAGGTACACAGCTATTGACGTGTAGAAACTGTCTAAGTTATTACTACCTTGATCAAGTACACAGCTATTGACCTGTAGAAACTGTCTAAGTAATGACTACCTTGATCAGGTACACAGCCACTGAAGTGTAGAAACTGTCTCAGTAATTAATACCTTGATCAGGTACACAGCCACTGAAGTGTATAAACTGTCTAAGTTATGACTACCTTGATCAAGTACACAGCTATTGACTTGTAGAAACTGTCTAAGTAATGACTGCCTTGATCAGGTACACAGCCACTGAAGTGTAGAAACTGTCTAAGTTATGACTACCTTGATCAGGTACACAGCTATTGATGTGTAGAAACTGTCTCAGTAATGACGACCTTGATCAGGTACACAGCTAATGACGTGTAGAAACTGTCTAAGTTATGACTACCTTGATCAGGTACACAGCTATTGACGTGTAGAAACTGTCTAAGTAATGACTACCTTGATCAGGTACACAGCCACTGAAGTGTAGAAACTCGCTAAGAAATGACTACCTTGATCAGGTACACAGCCACTGAAGTGTAGAAACTGTCTAAGTTATGACTACCTTGATCAAGTACACAGCTATTGACGTGTAGAAACTGTCTAAGTAATGACTACCTTGATCAGGTACACAGCCACTGCAGTGTAGAAACTTTCTAAGTTATGACTACCTTGATCAGGTACACAGCTATTGACGTGTAGAAACTGTCTCAGTAATGACGACCTTGATCAGGTACACAGCTATTGACGTGTAGAAACTGTCTAAGTTATGACTTCCTTGATCAGGTACACAGCTATTGACGTGTAGAAACTGTCTAAGTTATGGCTACCTTGATCAGGTACACAGCCACTGAAGTGTAGAAACTCGCTAAGAAATGACTACCTTGATCAGGTACACAGCTATTGAAGTGTAGAAACTGTCTCAGTAATGACGACCTTGATCAGGTACACAGCTATTGACGTGTAGAAACTGTCTCACTAATGACGACCTTGATCAGGTACACAGCTATTGACGTGTAGAAACTGTCTAAGTTATGACTACCTTGATCAGGTACACAGCTTTTGACGTGTAGAAACTGTCTCAGTAATGACGACCTTGATCAGGTACACGTCAATAGCTGTGTAGAAACTGTCTAAGTTATGACTACCTTGAGCAGGTACACAGCCACTGAAGTGTAGAAACTCTCTAAGTAATGACTACCTTGATCAGGTACACAGCCACTGAAGTGTAGAAACTCTCTAAGTAATGACTACCTTGATCAGGTACACAGCTATTGAAGTGTAGAAACTGTCTAAGTAATTACTACCTTGATCAGGTACACAGCTACTGAAGTGTAGAAACCGTCTAAGTAATGACTACCTTGATCAGGTACACAGCCACTGAAGTGAATAAACTGTCTCAGTAATGACTACCTTGATCAGGATCACAGCCACTGAAGTGAAGAAACTGTCTCAGTAATGTCTTCCTTGATCAGGTACACAGCCACTGACGTGTAGAAACTTTCTAAATAATGACTACCTTGATCAGGTACACAGCTACTGAAGTGTAGAAACCGTCTAAGTAACGACTACCTTGATCAGGTACACAGCCACTGCAGTGTAGAAACTTTCTAAGTTATGACTACCTTGATCAGGTACACAGCTACTGAAGTGTAGAAACTGTCTAAGTAATGACTGCCTTGATCAGGTACACAGCCACTGACGTGTAGAAACTGTCTCAGTAAGGACTACCTTGATCAGGTACACAGCCACTTAAGTGTAGAGACTCTCTAAGAAATGACTACCTTGATCAGGTACACAGCCATTGAAGTGTAGAAACTCTCTAAGTAATGACTACCTTGATCAGGTACGCAGCCACTGAAGTGTAGAAACTCTCTAAGAAATGACTACCTTGATCAGGTACACAGCCATTGAAGTGTAGAAACTCTCTAAGTAATGACTACCTTGATCAGGTATACAGCTATTGACTTGTAGAAGCTGTCTAAGTAATGACTACCTGGATCAGGTACACAGCCACTGAAGTGAAGAAACTGTCTCAGTAATGCCTTCCTTGATCAGGTACACAGCCACTGACGTGTAGAAACTGTCTAAGTAATTACTACCTTGATCAGGTACACAGCCACTGAAGTGAAGAAACTGTCTCAGTAATGACTACCTTGATCAGGTTCACAGCCACTGAAGTGAAGAAACTGTCTCAGTAATGACTTCCTTGATCAGGTACACAGCCACTGACGTGTAGAAACTGTCTCAGTAATGACACTGTCTCAGTTATGACTACCTTGATCAGGTACACAGCTATTGAAGTGTAGAAACCGTCTAAATAATGACTACCTTGACCAGGTACACAGCCACTGAAGTGTAGAAACTGTCTCAGTAATGACTACCTTGATTAGGTACACAGCCACTAAAGTGTAGAAACTGTCTCAGTAATGACTACCTTGATCAGGTACCCAGCTATTGAAGTGTAGAAACCGTCTAAATAATGACTACCTTGACCAGGTACACAGCCACTGAAGTGTAGAAACTGTCTAAGTAATGACTACCTTGATTAGGTACACAGCTATTGAAGTGTAGAAAGCGTCTAAATAATGACTACCTTGACCAGGTACACAGCCACTGAAGTGTAGAAACTCTCTAAGAAATGACTACCTTGATCAGGTACACAGCCACTGAAGTGTAGAAACTGTCTAAGTAATGACTACCTTGATCAGGTACACAGCTATTGACATGTAGAAACTTTCTAAGTTATGACTACCTTGATCAGGTACACAGCTATTTATGTGTAGAAACTTTCTAAGTAATGACTACCTCGATCAGGTACACAGCCACTGACGTGTAGAAACTGTCTGAATAATTACTACCCTGATCAGGTACACAGCCACTGAAGTGTAGAAACTGTCTAAATAATTACTACCTTGATCAGGTACACAGCCACTGACGTGGAGAAACTGTCTGAATAATTACTACCTTGATCAGGTACACAGCCACTGAAGTGTAGAAACTTTCTAAATAATGACTACCTTGATCAGGTACACAGCTATTGATGTGTAGAAACTTTCTAAGTAATGACTACCTTGATCAGGTACACAGCCACTGACGTGTAGAAACTGTCTAAATAATGACTACCTTGATCAGGTACACAGCCACTGAAGTGTAGAAACTGTCTAAATAATTACTACCTTGATCAGGTACACAGCCACTGAAATGTAGAAATTACCAGGAGGTTAAGGTACAGGAGCAGGTCCAGAAACTGGCGATGGGCACCATCCCCCGATCCATGTGGATTGCACTGGAGGACGACCTGGTGGACGTCTGTAAGGCAGGGGACGATGTCATCATCTGGTATGTTTAAAAATATGTCTGCAGTGTCTTGAATGCAAAAACCACCTGTTTAACTGTTCATTCAGTGAAATATCTGACAGTAGTATTTGGCATGTGTTAATTACGTTTCCATTCACATTTGAACACAGAGGTCATGGAAAAAACAGAAACAATTCCATTGTGTTGATGACCCTTCTGGTGGCAGGGACACTTCTTCAAAACTCTAAATTTGTTTTATATTCAACAAATGTTTTATGCCCCAACCCCTTCCATAAGTATGAGAGCATTCTCAGACCCGATACCATTTATTTGAAGTGTCTGACCCTTGTCCAAAGAACTGGTTATTTACAAAGAATACCTGATGTGCTGGGCTCTCAGAAAAAAAGAATTGTCTATACAAGATTTATAAAAGCTGGTTATGGTGTATTACTTGATCTATGACATTTGTTGAATAATATGTTTTTTTTATAAACTCTACATTGGGTACATTTCAAATTATATTGAAAATATTAATATTGAGGTTTGAATGGAAATTGTTTTTGCTGAGGCTGATATTGGACTGTATCTGACTTTCTCAGTGGAACAGTGCTAAGACGATGGAGATCTGTGTCTGTTGATGCCCGCTGTGAAATAGAGGTTGTGATGAAGGCAAACCATGTCTTAGTGACCAACAAACAGAGGAACGCAGTGCTGGTCACGCAGGAGCTGGTGAGTCTAGATCACAGAATCTTGACCAGTGTGTTTGTTGTTGTTACGTAATTGATACACTTGGAGCACAGTACTGGTCACTCACAACAACTTTGTGGGTCACTCCAGATTGGTCACTCTCCACAGTACTAGTAAGTCACTTACGACTACAGTACTGATCACTGAGAACAGCTTTGCTGGTCACTTTGGACTGGCCACTCAACACAGTACTGGTCAGCCAGCACAGCAGTGTTGGTCACTCAGGGCAATGATATTGGTCAGGATAAAGCACTTATTACCCTTGACCACAGAACTGGTCATTCACAAAAAAATACTAGCCACTTTGAATAACAGTACTGGATAAAAAAAAGTAGATCTATGACATTTGTTGAAAATATATGAAAATGTTTTTTTTTCATAATCCCTACCATTTAGTACATTGGTTTTCAATTTTACAGAAGAATGAGATTGCCAGTTTTTGGGAGGAGCACAAAACTTGTCCACTGAAAGGTCGTAACAAGATTCTGGCCAGTCTGTGTCCTCAGGTGTATGGGTTGTATGTGGTCAAGCTGGCAGTGGCAGTGGTGTTGGCTGGAGGGGTACAGGTCAGTATAGATATTAATGGATGGTCAGCAATGTCCATTAAGGGTTATGCTACCTTATTAAAGACATGCACCTCCTTTACCAAAAGAGTTCAGCATTTAGGTTAACTTTGGTCAGATGTCCATCATGAAAGATAATACTAACTGATGATCTTTTGAAAATAGACAACATTAACACTCATATTTAATTTAACAAATTTAAAGAGAGAAAACTCAAATACAGAATCTCATATATATCATGTGGAAGGTTATCCTATAGCCTTAAATCTAACCCAAATCATCGGTATAATGTTAAGTCATGTGGTAACATATAATTCTGTGCATGGAAATTTTCAACGCAAAATGTAGAGCATGGATGTGATAACTCTACAATGTACAAGTATTGACTTAGAGGACATAAACATACCATGTTTCTACAGTAATTTCCAAGTGATTAAATAAGATGTTGCTCTAGTATTTTCACTGTCAATGTGTTGATATTTTCTAGACCTGTTGTTTTTGATATTTGTATATTTTACAGCGGATTGACGAGTCTGGAACTCGTGTGAGAGGAGAAATACACATGCTAATGGTAGGGGACCCAGGTAAGTGTATATGAATTGCAATTTATCAAGCAAGTCGTGAGATAATAAGGAAGGTGGCAAATGGAACAGGGGGCTTTATATTGAGGCTTTAGTGTAAACCATAATCCAATAAAAAGTGCACAATACATTGCGATTCATAGGAAACAAAGACCTTCACTTCTGGGTCAAAAGTCAAATAAATGCAAAATTTAAAGCGAAATCTTATCTGGGTTGTAAATTTTAAACCATTTAAAAATATTTTTATGAGAATTGAATTATATCTGTATCACCCACAGAAGGTGTTCAATGTTCAGCTCTAGGTCAAAGGTTAAATAAGTGTAAAATTACGCATATTGTACTTTTGACCTAATACTAAAAGTTCTTTATCATTATAGACATTCCTCCTATTGTGATGAAGAATAAAGTTCTGTGCGAAAAGCCAATGTTTTGGTAGTATACTGATTTTAACACCTTGCTAATCATTGCTTTGGACTGCTTGGAATTATTAGTTGAAATTTTGTTATCCAAGGTCTGTAATTAATATTTGACATATAAAGTATCTCTCGGTAGAATTTTAGAATCTATGGTGTTGGGGGTACTTAAAACTTTTTTTTCAAATGATAGAAAATAACTTTATACAAGTATTTGGAATACAACTATCTAGAAAGAATTTGTGTTTCATGGGTTCTGGACCCCTATTTATAGAAAGATCATGACTAGCAAGGGCATTAAACATCCTAAACATAGTCTTGGTTTCTTTTCTTGAAAATGTTTTGTCCTGAATAAAAAGGTTACCTTGTTACATTCAGTAAGTATTGTGTTTTAATGTTTATGTTTTGTTGACTCAATAATAACAGGTACTGGAAAATCACAGTTCATGAAGTACGCAACAAAAATTACACCTCGGTCTGTACTGACAACAGGAATTGGGAGTACAAGTGCAGGTCTGACTGTCACAGCGGTCAAGGTAGAGTAACTGTACTGACGACAAGTATAGGGGAGTACTAGTGCAGGTATGACTGTCACAGCAGTCAAGGTAGAGTAACTGTACTTACCACAAGTATAGGGGAGTACTAGTGATCTCACTGTCACAGTGGTCAAGGTAGAGTAACTGTACTTACCACAAGTATAGGGGTGTCCTAGTGATCTCTCTGTCACAGCAGTCAAGGTAGAGTAACTATGCTGACCACAAGTATAGGGGTGTCCTAGTGATCTCACTGTCACAGCGGTCATGGTAGAGTAACTGTACTGACCACAAGTGTAGGGGTGGCCTAGTGCTCTCACTGTCACAGCGGTTAAGGTAGAGTAACTATACTGACTACAAGTATAGGGAGTACTAGTGCAGGTCTCACTGTCATAGCAGTCAAGGTAGAGTAACTGTACTTACCACAAGTATAGGGGTGTCCTAGTGATCTCTCTGTCACAGCAGTCAAGGTAGAGTAACTATGCTGACCACAAGTATAGGGGTGTCCTAGTGATCTCTCTGTCACAGCAGTCAAGGTAGAGTAACTGTACTGACCACAAGTATAGGGGAGTACTAGTGCAGGTCTCACTGTCATAGCAGTCAAGGTAGAGTAACTGTACTGACCACAAGTATAGGGGAGTACTATTGCAGGTCTCACTGTCATAGCAGTCAAGGTAGAGTAACTGTAATGACCACAAGTATAGGGGAGTACTAGTGCAGGTCTCACTGTCATAGCAGTCAAGGTAGAGTAACTGTAATGACCACAAGTATAGGGGAGTACTAGTGCAGGTCTCACTGTCACAGCGGTCAAGGTAGAGTAACTGTACTGACCACAAGTATAGGAAGTACTAGTGCAGGTCTCACCGTCACAGCGGTCAAGGTAGAGTAACTGTACTGACTACAAGTATAGGGAGTACTAGTGCAGGTCTGACTGTCACAGCAGTCAAGGTAGAGTAACTATACTGACCACAAGTATAGGGGAGTACTAGTGCAGGTCTGACTGTCATAGCAGTCAAGGTAGAGTAACTGTACTGACCACAAGTATAGGGGAGTATTAGTGCAGGTCTGACTGTCACAGCAGTCAAGGTAGAGTAACTTTACTGACCACAAGTATAGGGGAGTACTAGTGCAGGGCTCACTGTCACAGCGGTCAAGGTAGAGTAACCGTACTGACAATAAGTATAGGGAGTACTAGTGCAGGTCTCACTGTCAAAGTGGTCAAGGTAGTGTAACTGTACTGACCACAAGTATAGGGAGTTCTAGTGATCTCACTGTCACAGTGGTCAAGGTAGAGTAACTGTACTGACAATAAGTATAGGGAGTACTAGTGCAGGTCTCACTGTCAAAGTGGTCAAGGTAGTGTAACTGTACTGACCACAAGTATAGGGAGTTCTAGTGATCTCACTGTCACAGTGGTCAAGGTAGAGTAACAGTACTGACCACAAGTATAGGGAGTACTAGTGATCTCACTGTCACAGTGGTCAAGGTAGAGTAACAGTACTGACCACAAGTATAGGGAGTACTAGTGCAGGTCTCACTGTCACAGTGGTCAAGGTAGTGTAACTGTACTGACCACAAGTATAGGGAGTGCTAGTGATCTCACTGTCACAGTGGTCAAGGTAGAGTAACAGTACTGACCACAAGTATAGGGGAGTACTAGTGCAGGTCTCACTGTCACAGCGGTCAAGGTAGAGTAACTATACTGACCACAAGTATAGGGAGTACTAGTGCAGGTCTCACTGTCACAGCGGTCAAGGTAGAGTAACTATACTGACCACAAGTATAGGGGTGTCCTAGTGATCTCACTGTCACAGTGGTCAAAGTAGAGTACCTGTACTGACCACAAGTATAGGGAGTACTAGTGCAGGTCTCACTGTCACAGCGGTCAAAGTAGAGTAACTATACTGTCCACAAGTATAGGGGTGTCCTAGTGATCTCACTGTCACAGCAGTCAAGGTAGAGTACCTGTACTGACCACAAGTATAGGGAGTGCTAGTGCAGGTCTTGCTGTCACAGCAGTCACGGTAGTGTACCTGTGGTCAGTAACAGTATTGACCATAGTTATAGGGTGTTATGGTGGTAAGTACTGTCACAGTGGTCAAGTTAGAATCGGTGTCCTAGTGATCTCACTGTCACAGCGGTCAAGGTAGAGTAACTGTACTGACCACAAGTATAGGGAGTGCTAGTGCAGGTCTTGCTGTCACAGCAGTCAAGGTAGTGTACCTGTGGTCAGTAACAGTATTGACCATAGTTATAGGGTGTTATGGTGGTAAGTACTGTCACAGTGGTCAAGTTAGAATCACAAAATTGACCAATGGTCAAGGTATAATGCATTGTTGAGATAAAATGTCATATTAGCTAGAGATTGTTTTACAGACCTAGATAGAACATTTATTTTGTTTATGAGGATTGTATCTTGTAAAGAATGAATAGCATTTTGGTCTGAATTTAATCAATTCTCGATTTAATAAACATAATCTAATACCTGTTGTTTATCATAATTGATTTATCTCAGTTCAAGAAAATCCCAATGCATATCACCCAGCGGCAGACAGATCAATCATTTGCAATCAACAATAAGTGCTTTATCATTTTTTGTCACCATCCTTGATACTCCAGGGGTTGAAGGCACAAAGATAGCAGTTTGATTGGTTTCAGGTAACAAAAACCTGACCAATCGCTAAGCTGATACCTGTCCTTTGAAGATTACAGAGGGGTGACATCCAACTTCAAAGCTAGTCAATTTTTACCGTTACACAGCCGCGAGATTCGTTTGATGTACATCAAAGAATCGTACTAGTCTTCTTGTCTCATCTACAAGGTGGCGCACACCGAGCCTTCAATTTTGCTATGACATACTGGAATATGGAGGATGTGATGAATCAAGAGGTTTTATTTAATTCTACTTGAGCAAAAGAGTTCCAACCTGTTCTCAGTGCATTTATTGCAGTCACTACAGTGACCTGTCTTTACGTTAGTTATCCTGGTTTATCCAAATCAGGAAAAAGAAATTTGATTTTTGAAAGTTTATTCATTTGTTTTCAATTTTCAAAGTGTTCATTTGTTTTTTACAGATTAAATTAATGATAATCAGTAATTTCACAAGTGTTTAAACAAAAGGAAAAAAATACTATATGATGTATGTTTATTGCAGGACGGTGGGGAGTGGCAGCTGGAGGCAGGAGCCTTGGTGCTGGCTGATGGCGGGCTTTGTTGTATTGATGAGTTTAACAGTATCAGGGAACACGACAAGGCTAGCATCCATGAGGCTATGGAACAACAGACCATCAGTGTAGCCAAGGTCAGGGTCATAGTCAATCTAACCTTTATCTGTGGTCAAGGTCAGGTTCAAAGTAAATCTAACTTCTAACCTTTATCCATGATCAAGGTCAGGGTTATAGTCAATCTAATCTTTATCTGTGGTCAAGGTCAGGTTCAAAGTAAATATAACCTCTAACCTTTATCCATGATCAAGGTCAGGGTCATAGTCAATTTAATCTTTATGTGTGACCAAGGTCAGGTTCAAAGTAAATCTAACCTCTATCTGGATCTGGGGTCAAGGTCTTATGTAACCTTTATATGTAGCCAATGTCAGCATCTCAGGCAATGTAATGGCAATGGAACATTTTGCCAGGGTCATTGTCAAGGTCGTTGACTTGAACTTTTAACCTCAAAGTCAGGGTCATAGGCAACACAATGTTTAGCCAGAGTCCATTCCAATTCTTTACTCGTACAAGTTTTTACAACTTATGGCATAAGGTCAGGGTCAAAGGCATAAGGTCAGGGTCAAAGGCATAAGGTCAGGGTCAAAGGCATTGTTACTTCTCACTTGACACAATGATTTTCATCCCTTTACTGAAGCCAACGGCACAGTCAGAGGCAAGTTTACATTTTCCTGAAGTCAGTGATAAGGCCTATATTATGTAAGCTTTAGTTTTCCTGATTTTACTGATATTGCAGCCTTTAACTTTATGTAAACCAAAGTCTGGTTCTTTGTGATAGTATCTTGTATCTTGAATGTTACATAAATTTACCAAAGACATTCTCAATTGCAGTAAATGAAAGCCATTCATCATTAATGAACACGAACATTGAAATATCACATATTTCATATCATATATATATATATATCATGTATTTGGAATCTAATCTTTGCAGCATATATACTTGGGTATTGTTATGTGGCTTCACAGAGCCTGATCAAATAGTTACATAGACCTTCATTTAGTTATGTCGACATACAAGGTCCTGATAGTTTGTTAACTTGTCCGTTATGATAATCCTTGACAAAAGTCATATAATTTTACCACTTTATCTACGATTGTGGTTAGGGTCATTTATTTGACAGCCTTCCTGTCCTTTATGATAATCCTTGACAAAAGTCATATAATTTTACCACTTTATCTACGATCGTGGTCAGGGTCATTTATTTGACATCCTCCCACATTGTTGGAGTTGAATTTCATTCAGTTCACTTAATTTTTTTCTGTATGATAACTTTAATCGCAGGCCGGAATGGTGTGTAAACTGGACACCAGAACAACAATACTAGCGGCCACCAACCCCAAGGGACATTACGACCCAAACGAGGTAACTACAGCTATCTGCTACTGATGTGTACTTAAAGAACTCTAATTCATATAATTCCTGTGATATGCTTAGTTTGAAACTTTTATTCCTTCAGTCTAAATAAAAAAGTAAAGTTTAATTATTCCCTGATCTGAACAGAGTTATGTCCCTTTGTTTATTTTTTGATACTGAAGTTTTGTCTGAAGGCGTGGAACTATGGATTTCTTGCAATTTTTTTCTAATATGACTTTATAAGGCTTCTTTGTATTTTCCAAGTACACCTTAAAAATAAAATGAGGTAAAACGGCATGGCAACTCCTTTTGTATACAATCTCAATAGCTGACTGTTCGGCGTATAGGATTGTTTGTGTGTAAAGTTAAACTTTGATATTACATATTTCCAAACTGATATATATCAGCCACACTCTTTTTCACACCAAGATCACAGAACAAGCAGAGGGAATATTTTGATATTTTTCACGAGTGTCTATAATCAGTTTACCATTTTATTGTAAAACCTCATATTTCAGTTGTAAAAAAGTTACATTATTTTCCTAATTGAGAAAGCACCTGTCTTGTGTTGACAGTCACTGTGTGTGAATGTAGCTCTAGCCAGTCCACTCCTGAGTCGATTTGACCTTGTCCTTGTCCTTCTGGACACTCAGAATGAGGACTGGGATAGGGTCGTGTCCAGCTTCATCCTTGAAAACAAAGACCCACTCGGTAAGTGGTTAAAGCAGAGGTATGCCATGTAACTGTCAGACCATGATAGATAAGATACTGGTAAGTTATTGGTTTTGATATACACAGACTCACTCAATCAATATTTATGGCGTCATCATCTGTGCAAACTTTAATCTTCCTTAAAGTTTCTACCCATACCTTCAGTATCAAATACTTGTATAGTTTCATTTTCAGCCAAAATCTGAATTTTCAGATGGCTGCCAGTGGCCATCTTTGATCTTGTAAAAAAAAAAACATGGTACTGTGTGTTCTTTATATCAATTACCTTCTCAAGTTTTCTTTTGACCAAATCTGAAAGTCAGCATGGGGCAGGAGACACATCAGTTCATTGGAGTATTTGTCTTTTTGAATAAACAAAATAACAGCATCTATAAATGTTTATGTTGGGTTGCTGTGGAATGCAGTTGAATGTTAAAAATGTGGTTCAATAGTACTTAAATCTTATTTTACTGAAAACAAGAGGGAAGATACCAGATTATTTTTCAAAAATGACAACAAGTCTGTAAGAACAGGGTCACAAACAGAGAAAACAGACTATTTCAGCCACCCAATCATGTTTGTTATTTATTACAGAAAGTTCTAAAAGTGAGAGTGATCTCGGATGTCGGTAGTGTCAGGTTTTGTTGTATTTTATACCTTCAGGTGATATAAACATGAAGCATTTATGGGGGATGGAGAAAATGCAGGCTTACCTGTCTCTGATCAAGTCTATAGACCCCCAGCTCACTGACGATTCTAGCAGGTAAGAAAACAGATTCATTTTATTGTATTGGAGAGAATGGATTAACTTTTTCCTTTGTGTTTTATATCAAAAGAGATGTAGGCGGTGAAGGAAGTTGTAATGACTGGGAGTCAAAGTCATAATGAAAAGGTCTATTGGACCTTGACCTCAAGTACCAAAATACAGGTACATGTACATCGTCAGTGTTGGGGTATCAAAAAAGAACCTGCTTAGAGTTAAATCCGGTTGTTTTTGATGTAGGGTGTTAAGGGAGTACTACCGAGCTCAGAGAGGAGCAGACGACAGGAACGCGGCCAGGACCACCATGAGGCTCCTACAGAGTATGATCAGGCTGTCACAGGGTAGGTTCGTGAGTTGGTAAACTGGAATAAATACAGCAATATTTGCTCACACCTGTGGGGTGCAGATCAATATTTTGAGGAATACATGTTATTCAACAAAATCTGTGGTTGGTTTGAAGTTGTCAGGTATCAATTATATCAATCTGTTAAATCCTGAGGACAATACATTTTAGAACAGATCTGCTAATGTTTAGTATGTCGCTGGTAGCAATGAGTTTTGGTTATATGTAGAAAAAAAGGAGATTAGAAAAACTCTCTAAGAATTAATACATACTCCCTTTAACTACAATCAACATAAAAGTGTGAAAAAATTTAAGAGTATGAATATATATATAGCAGAGGTAGTGTTATCCACATGACAACTTTTAGACAAAAAATATGTTTGTGGAAATTTGAAGACTTCTTTGATAATTTAAATGATTATTTTTAGCTCACCTAGCCCAAAGGGCCATGTGAGCTTATGCGGTACTGTGGCATTCGTTCGTCATCTTTTTCTTTTGAACCACTTCTTCTGAAGAACTGGAGGACCTTGGGTCATGATACTTGGCCAGTGGGTACTTTGGATAGAGTGCTATAAAGTTTCCTCATTAAAATGACCTTGACCTAGTTTCAAGGTCACAGGAGTAAAATATGTTATAAACTTCCAACAACAATATCTTAAGAACGATTAGGTCTAGAGTGATGATACTTGGGTATGTTATGTAGGGGTCAAATGTCAACGTGGGTTAAAATTCAAATTTCAAATTTCAAACGACAATATCTGAAGAACCATTAAGAACTTCTGGGCCTCTTGTTCTACTTTAATTTCTCTTAAACAGTTTTTAAAAATCTGATAGGTAGATTAACATTCTTTGAATAAAACTGGTATGCTAACTTCAGAGAATGCTGAAATAGAAAAAAAAAACAGCTATAGAAAAAAGTTCAATACAGAAATTAGAAGAAAATAATTCTTAATTGATATGGCAAATTTACATTCAGAGGTAAACCATGACTTTCTGTTTTGTAGCCCACGCTCGTCTGATGTTTCGAGATACAGTCTCAGTCCAGGACGCTGTGCTGGCTGTTACTCTTATGGAGTCCTCCATGCAGGTACTGAAATTGAGGGGACATTTATGTGTCCTTACTACAGCAGAAGCTAACCACTAGTCCAATTAATGTACTGAGAGGCATTTGTTGAACATTGGTCATTGTTACTCAAGGTCCTGTCTGCTTGTTTTTTGTGCTCATTTGCTAGGTTATGTTGACAGGATGCTGAGTTGCTTGGTGATGTTATGTTGACAAGTTGCTTAGTGGCTTATTGATGGGTGTATATGTTTGTATATATTCTGACATTGGTGCTTAGTTTCTACATAGTGTTTGTTTATGTTCACAGGGGGCTGCGTTGCTAGGCGGGGTTAATGCCCTTCATACCTCCTTCCCTGAGGATGCAGAGGAAGAGTACAAACTACAAGGTAACCCACTAGGATAGAAGGTCATGTAAAAGTTGATTTTACCAGAGAGAATGCTACACTTATTTATAATCTTATATTGTAAGTCAAATATACACCTTTTCCAAGTACACAGTGAAATGGAGATCTTCGATACTCTAGGGGTTCAGCTCACTTTCGCTCTCTGCACCCCTGGAATAAGTCGTAGCAAAATTGAAGGCATGCAGCTAGCTATTTGGTTGGTCTTTGGTAAAAATACAACTGACCAATCGCTAGACAGATACATATCCTTTTAAGATTACAGAGGAGTGACACCCGACTTCAAGCCAGTCAGTTTTACCGTTACTTAACCAACAGATTCTTTAGATGTACAACAAATGCACACTGAGCCTTTGATTATGCTATGACATATTCCATGATATTATTATTATTGATGGACGAGAGCACTGCTGGGTCTATGTGTACAGCATTATAATATTTACAATCACTGTTCATTTCCTTGTGTGGTGAAGTGCAGTGAAGTACATAACTTTGATTGTCTATTTCTGTGTTTAGTTAAGTATAGATTACCATTATTTTCCATTTCTGTGTTCCAGCTGAGATGGTGCTGAACAGACTTAATCTGCATGACCTACTGGATCAGGAAATGGCACGAATTGAGCAGGAGAGACTCTCAGGTGGGACAGGGTCCCAGGGAGGTGGCAGTTCCCAGGGCCCAGGAAATGTTGGAACATCACATTCGGGTCAAGGGTCAATATCACATACAGGAAATTCGGAAGTAGATCAGTCAAGGTCGCTAATAAGTGATATTTCAGTCTTACACCAAAGTCAACCACTGAGAGAGACACACCAAAGTTTTAGAACTGAGCCAACCAGAGAAGTGAATGTTGAGGCTCGTAGTCACCAAGAGAAAGAACTACGTCAAAATGTCAGGATCAAGCGAACTATGGATATGAGAGCTGACAGCCATGAAGTAAAGTTACCAATTGATAATTCAGCTCGATCAGACGTAGAAAGTGTTGTCATGGAAATAGGATTACAGACCAAAAGTGGAGGAAACAGGAAATCTTCTTCTGATTCAGACGGCCATGACATCTCTCTCACAGATATGTTGAACACCAGTGTAGAAGATAGCCAATCCAGTATAGGTACTTTTGTTGCTCCCTCTGTAGGACAGACGCCAACATTATGGAGTCCTAGACCTCAAACATCCACACAGTTGTCCCAGTCAGCCCCGAGGGACCACAGTGAATGTCCTAATATTAGTTTGTCCAATATGTCTGATATCTCAGAGTCCCAGGACCAAAGTGCTCTGTCACAGAGAAAAGAAATAATGCCTCGCCCATCTATAACACATGCAATTCAAAACCGTCTTCAGGAAGAGAAAAACCGGAAAATTGCTTCCAAGCCAAAAGCTGGAACATCCGAGTCAGATGTTTTGGATATTTGTGACAAGGATCACCAAGCTAAACTTGTGTATGTGAAAGATACAGTTATGGAAAAGCCTAAAGCTGGATCAAAGAAACTGGTGTCAAAACTACGAAGTAAAATAGAAGCATCTAAAAGAGAGTTCACTTCATCAGACGCTTCATCAAAATCTGTTGAAAAACTTGACGAGAATGCCCCTAAACATTCAACAGGAAGTCATGGACCATCTTCAAAAGTACAGACATGCAAAGACACTTCTCTGGAACAAAAAAATAACAAGAAAATTTGGGACGCCAACTGTGACAGTAGTTATCATCGAGTGTCAGACAAAACCATGTCCAAGTTACAAAGATTTATGTTTGATTCATCTTCAGATTCATCGGCAGAGAAAGAGGTCGGAGATTCTGAAATAATTGTGGACGACAGCCTTCTATCAGAGGAGTCTGTAGTGGTTGATAACGGCGATAAAACTGGACATAAAAGGAAGCGCAGCGGCCAGGACAGTGGAATGTCTGAAAGCATGCTTTCAGGTCACCTCTGGACGGACAAACTTGAACAATCATTGCAAAGTGATATCTCAGACTCACAATCAAGTGATGCTGACGGATCATTGGGATCATCAACAAACAAACTGAAAATTGTAGAAAGTTCTAACAAAAAAGTAAAGTTGTCTAAAGACAACTCTTGTGTGAAAACCAGTGAAAATTGCCCAGAGCAATATCCTAAAGATGTTAATTCAAATAGAGTGTGTAAGGAATTAAATATCAACAAATTCAAATTCACTCGTAAACCCATGTCATGCTTGTCTGTGCAAGCTCCCCATACTGACAGTAGTAAAGTTCAGATAGATAGATCATGTGACAGGAATAAAAGTGCAATGACCTCCCAAAAGTTGGGGTCATCACAAACATCGATATCATCACAACCCTCCTCCAGCTTTCTCAAACCATTGCAAACAAAAAACAGTGCATCCAGTCCATCACAAACAGCCACCAGCATGCCCCAATCAGCGCTAGCAAGTCCTGCCTGGCTTACCAGCCTGAACACAAAGAAGTCGTCCCCCATGTTTACTGTGCCCAGCTCTGAAGACAATGATTTGGACGATCTCGACCTGGAACTTGACTGAAGATTTAAATCAGGCCCTGATTTCTGGAAAGAATAACACTTGAGAAGGTTTTCAATGATTTTTTGATAAAACATTTATTTATTAATTGATTCACTTGAAAGTTCAAGCTAATTTGTATTTTCCCAGATTTTCAGTAGCTTCCAACCATTAAAAATAAACATTATGATTGCGACTAAAGAAAATTTTAATTGTGAGTCAAATCTTAGGTTGTCACCTGAAAGTATAAGCCTTGTTAGTTCTAAAATACTTTTCATTATTTTTTTTATTTTTTTATGAATTGTGCAAAACAGAAGTGCATAAATGAAAGTTCCATGCAAAACTCTTGTTTCTGTCATACTGGTGCTGTTTCATATATTGGTGCTGTTTGTCTGTCAGCCGACTTGTTTTAGATAAAATTACCCATAAGAAGGATGTATGATTCTCTGTTATTTGATTCCCTGATCACTGCATGTAGGTCCTTCCCTGATGTCTCACTGCGTGCTGTACTCCTGTAAATATAACCACTAGAAACATCCCTGCGGCAGTCAAACCCGAACAAACTCCACACCAAACCAAGTGTAGGTTACATGTGGCGCTCATCATTTTCTTCTTGTTTTTCATTTTTGTGTATTACTGCATCTCGACTTCCTTTCTAGATTTTATTGAAAATGTCATATTTGTCTACACCTAATTCACCGATGACAAAATTTTCTTTGTTATTTTTGGGCAATATTTCTGTCGAGGCGATGATTTTGTTATTCCTGTCTCTATATTGCTGTATAGCGTCTTCAGCATTGTCTGCTCAGTTGCACTTGCATTTACAGTGACTTGCTAAAGCTGTCTTCCTATGCTGTATCGTTTCTGTTTGCCTATGTGGTTTCGTAGGAAGCGTCTGGCGCGTATGACTGCCGTACAGTATACAATGCAGGAATGATTTGTTTCAAGGCGAAATATTGTCACCGATTTTATTTTCTCTTTATGTGAATGATTGTGAGATGCATTATTTAACTGATAACTGTCCTTCTATAGACCTCCAAACTATTAACTTATTTCTTCTAATATACGCAGATGATATGGTTTTGTTAGCTGAATCGGCAGAGGGATTGCAAAAAATGTTAGACACACTATTACAATACACTAAGAAATGAAATCTAACTGTTAATGTTGAAAAAACTAAAGTTATAATTCATAGGAATGGTGGTTAGTTGAAGGAGGAAGAAAAATGGTTTTATGATGGTAATGTTTTAGAAAATGTTGACAGTTTTAGCTACCTTGGAATTCTAATGAAATTCAATGGTAATTTAGTATTACACAAGAGAAATTAGCAGAACAAGGTAGGAAAGCACTATATGCTGTATCCAATGTTTGTAAAAGGAAATATTTCAATATTGAAACCCAACTTAGCGTTTTTGATACTTTTGTGTGCAGTGTCCTAAACTATGGAGCTGAAATTTGGGGCTTTCACAAAGCTCCAGATATTGAGAAAGTGCATTTGAATTTTTGTAAACGAATTTTGGGGGTTAAGAAATGCACACCTAATGTAATGATTTATCAAGAATTAGGGAGGCTTACTTTACAAATGATCAGGAAATTTAGAATTTTCAAATATTGGCTTAAACTTAGAATTTCGGACAAATGCATTTTAAAGGTACGATGAGATGATTGAAAAGGGCAGCGACTGGACAAATAACATAAGAAATTAATTATATAGGTTAGGTTTGGGATATTTATGGCTAACAGAAGGTAATGAAGTTCAAATTCTGAATATTATTAAATGTAGAATGCATGACATTTTTCAACAGGAGTGTCTAGATTTAATTAATTCATCTGCTAAGTGTTCTCTTTATAAATGGATTTGTGGTATTTTTTTGTCTTAAACAGTATTTAATTAAACCTATTGGATTACAAAATATAAAACAAATTGCTAAAATTCGGTTGTCATCGCATACGTTGAATATTGAAATGGGTAGATTTCATGGTTTAGAGAGAAAAGATAGAATTTGTATATATTGTAACACTGGTGATATTGAAGACGAATATCATTTTATTATTAGATGTAGTCATTATACTGATTTAAGAAACCATTTCATTAAAAAGTATTATCATAAAATACCTAGTATGGCATTTTTTTTTTTTAGATTTGATGACAACAAGAAATAATAAAGAACATTCTAATTTAGCCAAATATCTGAACCAATGTCAAAAAAGGAGATGCAATACTGTTTAAGATTAAAGGAATCACTCTCTACACTTTCTCTGTGATTTTATCGTATATGCATGGTCGGAAGATTGTATTCTATGTACTCTTATTTATATATATATATGTACTGTATAATTTGCACTGTATATATGCACTGTACTGATAAACCGCAAGGTTTAAGGTAATAAAGAATGAATGAATCAACCTGGATGGCGTCAGATATGGAGCTATCTCTCTCAGCCGATCGCGAGCACCGAATTCAAACGTTTTTTGTACGCTAACATTCCTATGCCCGTAGTAGCACATCTTCGCTAGCCAAGTGTTCGCTTCGTATACACTCCACTTAAGTGGGGTATATATGAAGCGAACACTTGGCTAGCGAAGATGGTAGTAGCAACCTTCTCCTGACTCCAAGCTTACTTGTTGCCCGCCGAATTTTTCTCGTAACCGGTCCAGGCAAAGTTTTTATTTTAGATCTCAGGATGTATTTTTAGTGCTATAGAGGCAATTTTTAAATCTTTTATTACGATATTCATTACAAAATTCACACAATTACCAATGTTTCCATACAGGAATTACAAAAGTAATGCGTCAAAATGAGCGTCCTATCAAAGGGCCCCGAAGTATATGGAAAGCTTCACAGGGGAAGTAAAACAATCTCTGAGTGGAACTCCTGTTTGTGGTTATAGCTGATGTATCCGTACCCTTTACCTTAACACAAATATGGTCATAGCAAAGCAATTTGAGGTATCGTATTATAATTGGTAAGCGACTCTGATACGGAGGTAACGATATTCATTTTAGTGAAATATTAGATATTATCTCTGGTTTCTACGCACGGAGAACGCCTGAAAGCCCACAGAAATGAGTTAAATATTCAGTCTATAGTCTTAATTTGAGTTAACATTAGAATACTACGTGATTAAACAAATCTTTGTGAATTTGTTTTTAAGAAGTTTAAATGACTTACAGCGACTCGGGGTAAAGTAGTACACCGATGATTACTTGACTCAAACCTATGATAAGAGACGGAAGAAGATAATTAAACAACGTCCTGCTTCTGACACGTTATAAACTGTGTTACTTTGTACTGGTATCAAGTCCCGATGTTCCATTGTTTAGGAGGACACCCCTAACCTAACAGTCGGTTTAAAGATAGAACCTTGGTTAAATGTTTGCTGCTGTTCCGTTGTTTTGGAGGGCGCCCCTAACCTAACAGTCGGTTTATAGATAGGACCTTGGTTAAATCTTAATGTTGCTGTTCCATTGTTTTGGAGGACACCCCTAACCTAACAGTCGGTTTATAGATAGGTCATTGGTTAAATGTTTACTGGTGCTGTTTTGGAGGGCACCCCTAACCTAACAGTCGGTTTATAGATAGAACCTTGGTTAAATTTTTACTGCTGCTGTTCCATTGTTTTGGAGGACATCCCTAACCTAACAGTCGGTTTATAGATAGAACCTTGGTTAAATTTTTACTGCTGCTGTTCCATTGTTTTGGAGGGCCCACTAACCTAACAGTCGGTTTATAGATAGAACCTTGGTTAAATTTTTACTGCTGCTGTTCCATTGTTTTGGAGGGCCCACTAACCTAACAGTCGGTTTATAGATAGGTCATTGGTTAAATGTTTTCTGGTGCTGTTTTGGAGGGCACCCCTAACCTAACAGTCGGTTTATAGATAGGTCATTGGTTAAATGATTACTGGTGCTGTTTTGGAGGGCACCCCTAACCTAACAGTCGGTTTATAGATAGAACCTTGGTTAAATGTTTACTGCTGCTGTTCCATTGTTTTGGAGGACATCCCCAACCTAACAGTCGGTTTATAGATAGAACCTTGGTTAAATGTTACTGCTGCTGATTCATTGTTTTGGAGGAAACCCCTAACCTAACAGTCGGTTTACAGATAGAACCTTGGTTAAATCTTTACTGCTGCTGTTCCATTGTAAGGACACCCCTTACCTAACAGTCGGTTTACAGATAGAACCTTGGTTAAATGATTACTGCTGCTGTTCCATTCTGTTGAAGGACACCCCTTGCCTAACAGTCGGTTTATTGATAGGACATTGGTTAAATGTTACTGCTGCTGATTCATTGTTTTGGAGGACACCCCGAACCTAACAGTCGGTTTATAGATAGAACCTTGGTTAAATGTTTACTGCTGCTGTTCCATTCTTTTGAAGGACACCCCTTACCTAACAGTCGGTTTATAGATAGGACATTGGTTAAATGTTACTGCTGCTGTTTCATTGTTTTGGAGGACACCCCTAAACTAACAATCGGTTTATAGATAGAACCTTGGTTAAATGTTTACCGCTGCTGTTCCATTGGTTTTGAGGACACCCCTAACCTAACAGTCGGTCTATAGATAGAACCTTGGTTAAATGTTTACTGCTGCTGTTCCCTTGTTTTGGAGGACACCCCTAACCTAATAGTCGGTTTATAGATAGAACCTTGGTTAAATGTTTACTGCTGCTGTTCCATTGGTTTTGAGGACACCCCTAACCTTACAGTTGGTTTATAGATAGGACCTTGGTTAAATGTTTACTGCTGCTGTTTCATCGTTTTGGAGGACACCCCTAACCTCACAGTCGGTTTATAGATAGGACATTGGTTAAATGTTTACTGCTGCTGTTTCATTGTTTTGGAGGGCACCCCTAACCTAACAGTCGGTGTAAAGATAGGACATTGGTTAAATGTTTACTGCTGCTGATTCATCGTTTTGGAGGACACCCCTAACCTCACAGTCGGTTTATAGATAGGACATTGGCTAAATGTTTACTGCTGCTGTTTCATTGTTTTGGAGGACCCCCCTAACCTAACAGTCGGTTTATAGATAGAACTGCTGTTTCATCGTTTTGGAGGACACCCCTAACCTAACAGTCGGTTTAAAGATAGGACATTGGTTAAATGTTTACTGCTGCTGTTTCATTGTTTTGGAGGACACCCCTAAACTAACAATCGGTTTATAGATAGAACCTTGGTTAAATGTTTACTGCTGCTGTTTCATTGTTTTGGAGGACACCCCTAACCTAACAGTCGGTTTATAGATAGAACCTTGGTTAAATGTTTACTGCTGCTGT